AATTAGGAATGGAATTGAAAATAAAACTCCGAGATCATATTCCCCTTATAGGAATCTTTGGTTGTATCATATTTAGAATATTGTACACATTATGGAATTGGGAAAGGTGCAGAGAAAAGCAACAAAAATGATAAAGGGGCTGGAGAAAGTCCTTTTTGAGGAACTTCTACAACAACTGAACCTGGTTATTTTGGAAAAAAGGCAAGTAAGGGAATACGTGATCGAAGTGTTCAGAATTATGCATAGTGTGCAGAGAGTAGAGAGGGGGGCATTTTTCTCCCTCTCCCATAACATTTGAACCCAGGGTCATCCCATGAAAGTGATTGGTTGGAGATTTAGGACACATAAAAAGAAGGGCTTCTTCACACGGCGCATAGTTGAACTATGGAATTTGCTGCCACGGGAAGTAGTGATGGCCACTACGTTGGCTGGCTTTAAAAGGGGATTAGACAACTTCGTGGAGGAGAGTATGAATGGCAACTAGCCTTGCTGGCTATGGGCTATCTGTGTCATCAGAGGCAGCATCAGAAGCTCCACCAGTCAGTGAGGAGCTTGGGCAGGTGGAACTCTCGTACCCATCCTGGCTGAGAGATCCTGTGGGCAGCTGGTTTGCCACCATGTGAATGGAGGGCTGGCCTGGCTGGACTGTTGGTCTGATCCGGCAGGGCTTTCCCACGTTCTTTTGATGGAATGTTTCCATGTGTCTTTAGCCCAGGTTTCTGAAGCTTTTGGGCTTTGTCAGCTTTCCACAATGGAGGGTGCTAACTTGGGGAAGGCTTGATTTCATGGTTGTCCTTACAACTCAGGTGTGTTCCCAGTACTTATACACTGGGATGCTGCCATTGCCCCCATGGTGCAGATTAGGACGCAGGTGTGATAGACCTGGACTAGCTGTTGGCAAGGCATGAGTAGCACCCTGCTTGAGTCACACCTCCCCTGCGTCTGTCTCTCTCTCTCACCCACTTCCTTTGCACATGGAGTACCTCCCTTACCACACTAACTTCTAACTTAGCATGAAATGTCCTCATTACTTCTCAAGTCAGCCTTACAGGAAACCTCAGCTAAATCAGGTCACTCAGACTATGTCCCAGTTTCTCCCCATCAGTTTTTCACTGTAGGTGGGGAAAGAAATGTGAGGAGGCAGGGGAAATTCACTTTGGCTAGCACCCAGGTGAATGTAGATAAGCTTAAGCTTAGCTGTAGAATCATGCATATTCTAAGACAGAAGCTAGATCAGGATCTATGGGAAATCTCTGGATGGTTTGCGTAGATAAGCAGAGATGCTAGTCTTCCAAATATTTAACAAAAGCAAACTCAAAGCAACTCCTTCCACTCTAAATTATACTGCTAAAGTGATAGGGGGAAAAAAGAAGTCTGGGATAACCAGATGCGGACTTTTGTGAGGGGACGACTTGGAGCTCCACTCAGATCTGATACTTGAACATCTGGGCTTAGACTCCTTTAAGTATTAAGATCTAGGGCTTTTGCACCTGACTCTGGTTGTTGGATCTCAAGGTTTTAGGGGAGGGGGGAAATAAAGTAGAGCCTACAAGTCTGCTATCTGCCCAGTTCTGTTCTAGGCTGGATGCATGAAGCAGAAAAGCATAAACATTTCATATACTCCTTTCATCAGAGGTTTAACCTTGCTGCTTATTACACTACTGCCTCTTTTTATCTGGAGGAAAGAACTCTGACACCAAGCTTATCAGTGTACTCTGCCAGCAAAACCTGAGTTTGGTCAGGTGGCTGGAATGGCTAACTCTGCTGTGTACGTAGCAATTGTTGGCAATGCAAATAATATAGAGCTGGGCAGACTTGTGAGATCTCCTTTGTTTTTGTTTTACTAGAAGCCCAACATCCACTATCTGGAACTTAGCCCAAAAGATGGTGTACTAAGCATGAAAGAAATCTGAACCCGGAGATTCGTCTGGAGTACCAGAACCCCAGTTGTTGTGGCGTGAGAACCAGGCACCCTCTTCTCACACAAAAATCCATCCAAATTAACCCAAACTTTCTTAATTTCAGTAAATTAGTAGTGCAGGACAAGAATCATTTTGCTGCTGCTACTGCTAAACTGTTGAAGGTCAGAAATTCTTGCTGATCTGCTGCAAATCAACCAGAGATCTGCCAGGAGATCAAGAGCAACTTTCTGCCTGCGTTGATACACTATAAGAGAGCAAGGTGAGCTGCCTTCCCCATTCCTGCCCAAACAGGTCCATTTTGGGAACTTCTCTGAGGAAAAAACTAGCATTAGGAAACCAGCACACCACTGTTATTACTGGCACAGAAGCAAGACTGAGACAACTCAGGATGTCTTTTGATTGCTCTGTATTGCTGCAAACAGCCGAGGTAAGGACAGACTCTTGTGCAGCAAGCCTCTTTGGAAGGGAAGAACAGCAAGTGAGAACCTTGTAAAAGAAAGCATTCTTGTAGTTCCAGCACAGCATTTTCTGTGTGTTTGTTGATGTTGTTATTCTGAGCTTCAGTAGGAACAGCATTCCATCATGACGCAGGGCAAGCACAGACAGACAGAAGATCAAGTTCAGCTGGTAGATCTCCAGATTTGCAGCAGATCAACAAGGGATATTGACGGCAAACATTTTATCACCCTTCCCCTAGTCGTGTAATGTCCACTGCAGAGAAGCTCACTGGGCTCCTGCATTGTTGTCTTGTTGGCAATTTTAAGAACATGAAGACATAAGAAAAGCCATGCTGGATTAAACCAAAGGTCCATCTAGTCCAGCACTCCATAAACATGCTGGCAAAACAGGTGCCCACAGGATCCCTCAAGTGAGAGGGGTGCAAGACCTCTGCCTGCCCAAGCTGCTCAGCAACTGGTGTATGCAAGTTTGTCACCTCTGGTGAAGGAGGTACCACATAGCCAGGAGACTAGTAGCCACTGATAACCTCCTCCTCCATGAATATGTCCAATCCCTTTTCTAAATCCATCCAGATTGGCAGCCGTCACCACTTCCCATGGCAGTGAATTCTATTATTTTTATGCTCTGTGAAGTACAGAATTCCATCATTTACCTATACGCTCTTTTATCTGTCTGAAACCTCTCAGCTTCATGAGATTATCATGGGTTTGAATGTTTTGAGAGAGGAAAAAATGTCCCCTTCTCCACACCATGCATTATTTTAAACCCTCTATCATTTCTCCCTTTACTCTGGCCAGGGCGACTTCTTTTATATTATTATTTATTTTATATTGTTATTTTTGTATTTTATGTTGTGAGCCGCCCCGAGGCTTCGGCGAATGGGGCGGCATAGAAATGTTTTAATAAATAAATAATACTCACTTTTTTCTAAGCTAAATGGTCCCAGTTGTTGTCACTTCTCATAGGGGAGCTGCTCCAGCCACCTGAACGTTTTTGCTGTATTTTTTTCCAACTCAGTAATATCCCTTTTCAGGTAAGACAACCAGAACTGTGCATAATATTTGAAGTGCAATTGCACCAAAGATTTGTAAAAAGGATGTAAGATTTTTGGCAGTTCTATTTTTCCATTCCATTCATATTCAATCCCAGGCTTTTTAGCCCTTTGGTATTTTTTTGCTGGTGCATTTTGTACTGCTGTTGACTTTTATCTTGGCTCTTATTTTAGTTTTATGATCTTTAATATTATGTTTCTCTATGTTGTTGCATTTTAAGGTTTTGAGTTTTGTCTACAACTGTCCCCCTGAAACCTTTCTGAAATCAAGCCCATAATGCACAAACTTCTAAATGTCTACTGAGAAGTTGGTTCCACTGAGTTCAGTGCGGCTTAACTCCCAGCTCAGTGGATAGGCTGCATCCTTCTTTAGCTTCTTCCATGGCTGTTCACAGTTGCAGAAGATACAAGGAAACACTTCCCAGGGTCCTGGAAGGCGGTGCTCCTGTACTGTCAAGGCAACCAAATGCCACTTGGCTTGCATCCGAGAAGTACCTGGAAGACAGGGGTGTTGCCCAGTTGTCTAGGCAGCACAAAGATTTTGTTATTCTCCCTTCCCCTTGCCCCCTTCTCACGACAAAGGGCAACCATTGCTCATCACTGAAGGGCACCCCAAAGATGTGTGGAAAGGGGGAGGATCCCTTGCTCTGCACAGCCTTCAAATAGGGTAGCGAAATGAGGGTTGATGTTTCAGCTCAGTCTTCCTCACAACCCCTTCGTGCAGAAGGGCAGTACTATGCCTATGGGGATGGGCACAGTGGCCTTGGACCTGGGAGACACGTTCTGGCACTGGCGAATATGTGAGTATCAGTATGATAAGCATAATCTTTATTTACTGTCCTGCAGAGATATAATAGGAACAAGGCAGGTTGTTTACTAGGAAGGATTATTCCAACTTCAGATTTTCTGGGTTTCCTGTCTGCTGCACAAGACATGAACACAGAATTAATGATTTCTGGATCCTCTTTCCAAGATCAGAACTGAATGGAGCTCACAGTCTCGTTCCACACAAAAATCTACTCCCGGCTAACTCAAGCCTTCTTCATTTTCAGCAGTACTGTACAGTTTAGGCCAGAGGGTGAAGGAATGTGCTATTCCTATTATTTAAAAAAATGGGACGCAGAAATCCTTGCCGTTTGACTGCAAATCACTCAGAAATCTACCAGCGATGGAGTTCACACCTGTTGGAAACTGCTGTCTGAGTTGTTTCCCCGGCGCTGGTTACCCGCGCGCCCTTCCTCCGGACTAGAAATGATTAAACCAAGCAGGGCTGTGGCCTTGCAGAGGTGGGTCGGAGGAGCGCAGAAACACGTGTGAGCAGAGGGGGAAAGAGCGCCGAGGTTCTCGCGGCCGGCCCCGCAACCGGCAGCCAGGGCCGCCGCCGAGGAATGCGGCCAAGCGAGACTGGCGAGACCGGGACGGGGCAGGGCCGAGCGGAGCGGCGCGGAGCGCGGAGCGAAGGGGTGGAGACTCGCCTACGGCCGCCGGGGCTGGGTACGCCGAGCTCCGAGCGCCTGGCTGTAGCAACGGCCATGTTCCGGCCCCGCTGAGCTCCCGCCCGACACCCCATGGGGAGTCCCACGCCGAGTGCCCTGCTGCTCCCCACGGTCTTTCTGCTGAGCTGCTTGCCTGCTGCAACCCGGAATCACCTGCCGCTCGCTCGCCTGCAGGTCCTCACCAACTTTGTAAGGCGCTTCCCTTTATTTCGGGGCGGGGGGATTGGGGCACGCGGGGCGCAAGGAGCACTTCCACCCCGTTGTGGGGTGCATCCTTGAACGTCTGAACAATGAACCCGGATGGGAAGATCACGGGCATCCCCTCCTCCCTGGTTGGTGACGCTTTTGAAGGAGGGAGAGCCGGGCCATGTGTTTTGAGGTGAGCGTGGCAGGTAAACAGCGCTCTTCTCTTTTCGGCCAGTGTTATTTATCGGAGAGCTAGAGGGTTTTGCCTGGGAAAGAGGTTCGCACGGCTTGGTGGCTTCATGAATGGGCTCAGTTAGCGGCGCTGACATCAGGGCAGAGCTGCAGCCCCCGGAGGACCAACAAAAGAGGAGGCTGCACCGAGCATGGTTATCGCACAATAAAGTACCCTGAAGTGCGGCCCTCGAAAAAATCTGGAGTAGCCCTGCTCATTTGCCGCTGCTTTTTTCCTCTCTTGCAACATCCGTGCTTTGTTTGAGCTTGAACTCGGTGCCAGAGTTATTTGGGATTTGACCATGACTATATGAAAAAAATGAATGATAGGGCAGTGAGTGTTGGTAAACATATACAGAAGACATTTGCTGCAGTATTGAGTTCAGGTGCATACTAATTCAGGACCCCTTCTTGCTTAATTGCTTAATTATAGCTTGCTTTGATTTCAGTTACTGCTGTGCACCAACTGCAAGATTCAGATTGGACCCCAGTCTGACAGTTTGGAAAATGCAGGGCAGAATCTAGATCCAAATTCAAAGCTTCATGCCTCCCATTGACTGTCATTGGAAATCAACAAATCATTATAACATTTTTGTTGCTTGATAGAACTGGTTGAAATTCACAGAACAAATAGGTTCAAGGGCTGTATTATTAAGATAAATGAAAAATAGAGTAAAGCTTGTTTTTGTTTTATTTATGTAAATTTATGGCCCACCTTTTTCCTGCAAGGAATCTAAGCTACCTTACAATAATCCTCTTTCTCCATTTTATCTTCACAACAACTCTGTGAGATAGAATAGGCTAAGAAGCAAAAACATTATAAAACACCGAAGTGTAATCCTTCTGCACCCTAAAGATTGCATGACTATCCTCCTACATTCCTGGCCAGCATTCAGCATGGTAGCTTCCAGATGCTTTGTACTCTAGATCCCAGAATTCCTGACCGCTAGCCATGCTGGCTGGGACAAATGGGAGTGGAAGTCTGGAATATCTGTGTAGCTCCAGGTTGGAGAAGTCTGCTAACAGTAGCTAATAGGGTGGGCTAGAAATCTAATAAATAAATATATACATTTCCATCCATGTACTCACTATTGCCTTGGCAGCCTTCCTTCTTGCAAATGAAGGACTGAGTGCCCTCTCCTGGAATTGTTTTAATGGGCACAACGGGTATTTTTTCATTATTCCATTTATTTCTTTAGGAATTAGGTTTCTATTTACTTCATAGAAAAATATCCTGTATGAGATGCTAACATGAATGAATCTGCTTTCTATACTGGAGCTTAAATGACAGCTGGACTTATTTTAATTTCCTCTCATGTTTACGCTGTAGGTGCTAGTGTTTATATAGCCAGAATGGTACCACATTTGTAGAAGAAAGCAGCAATATTACTGAGGGAGAGCCAGTCTGACATAGTGGTTAGTATGGGACTGAGGATCTGGGAGTTCTGAGTTTTAGTCCCCCCTCAGCTATTGAGCTCACTGGGTGAATCTGGGCTAGTAACAGATTCTCAGCCTAGCCTACCTCACTGGATTGTTGTTGCGAGGATCAAATGGCGAGGAGGAGGATTATGTAAGCTGCCTTGAGTTCCTTGAAAGGAAAAAAGGCAGAATATAAATATAATAAATAAAAAGCACCAAGCCTTACAGAAGTACCAAAATGCTTCCAAAAAGATAAAACACCAAAAGACCCCCAAGAAAAGCTCATTGAACCCTGAGCATGCTCAATATGACACAATGCTGCCTGACTGTTAAGAGTGGAAAGGTGGTACCGAGAGCACTGCACTCTTTGTTGCAGATCCTGCTGGCTGGAGAATGCTAGGAGTTGCAGGGTTTTTTTCTGTCCAGATGGGCATAGGTTTGTTGCCTTAGAAGTATGGCAATGAAAAGGCACACCTCTAATACAAAACAAAAGCCTCATCCGGTTTGCTGAGGGATGTGTATTTCCACATTAGGTTCTCAAAAAAATTCCTTCAGGGGACAGGTGAGAAAACAAAGTTGCATATTTATTTGGCTTATTCACAAGTAGACTGAATGTCCCTGCCAACTTTGGGAAAGCTGAGAGAGGTAGGCACGCAACCCAATCTGGGGCATGTTTGTGGGAAGTAAATCTCAATACAACATCAATTTTGAGGTTAGAGCTTAAGGAGCAGCTTCTTTTCAAGAGTTGAGCTGCTGTGCAAAATGCAAGCCACTTAGAACCAGTTTTTATAGTCAGCAAAATCAAGTTTAAGAGTTAAACAAAAACAGGCAGGCAACGCATAAAGATGTGTGTCTATGTTATAGACCAGGATGGCCAGACTTGCTCAATGGAAGGGCCAAATAGATGTTTGAGAGCTGCAAGCAGGTGCTCGCGGGTGGCAGCAGCGGGCAGTGAGCAGCAAGCAGGCACCTTTGGGTACCCACAGCAGTGAGCAGAAAGCTGCAAGATAAACTCAAAGAGCCGCATGTGGCTCCTGAGCCTTGGGTTGGGCACCCCTGTTATAGACAGCCAGACTAGCACCAACTATATCTGAATCTAGTCATAGCAATAGGATGGGCCTCCTTTTGGCCAAGCAAATGTTGGCATGGCTTCTGCATTAACGGGTGCTGACATTTAAGTGACATTTAGACTGGAAAAGCATACTATGTGAACAGGTGAGCAATTGCTGAAGCTGGCAGAGATTTCTGAAATGTATAAACCTTAGTTTGCAGATAAGCTGAACTATGTTGCAAGTACACCTATTCCCCCCCCCCCAAATTAGTTGTCAATACTTAGACTTGAAAAGAGCACCTGATAGAATTGTTAAACTAGCCACATACTAAAGATGTTTAGTAAGCGTAACTTCTCTCATCTGCTTCATTTAATGGGCAACATTTCCTCAGTTCCCACCTATTTCTGCTGCTGTGCACAGAATTGGGTAGGAGCTGGCAACCCCACTCTTGCTGCACGCTCTCCACTGCAAATAGGGCTGCCATAGAAGTTTGGATTGCAACAAGCCTTGGTGATAGGTCTTGCTGTACAAAATGGCACCTTGTCTGCTGTGAGCCGATCCACTGGTGGTCCGAGCTGCATTGCCTCTGCCTATCGCCCTGACAGGCCCTCTGTTTATTCTTTAAGCACGGCAAGGCACTTACAGGCAAAGGCTGCTTCTTCTATTGATCCCATCTAGAGGGTGCTCCCCCCCCCCCCGCTTTCCTTTGGCAAGGTTCTTTTGCTGCTATTCACGGTTGCATGTGAGTAGCAGAATATTGACACAGAACAATTTGCAATCACCACATTTCCATGCCAAGAAAATGTTGAATTTCTGCCTGTTGTGTAGTTATTAAACCAGAAGCTGCTCTGCCAGCTGGTGAGCAGGAATGTAGCTACCACACCCTGGTACACAATGTTCTTGCTTTTTACTCATCTTCAGGTTCAGAAATCCTTTATATGTGTTCAGAATAAAAACACCTTAGTTTGGCTTGATTATAAAAACTGTATTAATTTGAGCAAATATGGTAATTGCTAGACATTATGGTAGGTTAGACTATAAGGCTATTCAGGAGCCAATGCTTGACTCCTTTTCTCACACGCTATTGCACAGCTGCCCTTCCTCAAATTTTGCTTTAGTGGACATCTTCAGTCCTTCAGTAAGGGAGGGCGACTTTTGGTCCTCCAGATGTTTTGGCCAACAATTCCTGTTAACCCTAACTAACATAGCTAATGGTGCTATGTGAATGGGGCAGCATAAAAATGTTCTAAATAAAAATAAATAATAAATATCAAGAAAGGTGAATACAGGAGGAGGGCAAATGCAACCTGATAGAGTGAACCAAAACTTGGTGCGAGGACTCCCATGACTGCAATTCAACATTTGAGGGATATAATCTTTTCAGGAAGAACAGAAGGAACAGAAAGGGAGGAGGAGTCACACTAAAGATAAACATCTCTGCACAGAAATACAGAAGGATTAGCTCAGTAGCCCCTCCAAGAGCATTTGGATTAATATAAATGGAGCAAGGAATACAAAGGCACAGTGGTTGGAGTACATTATCCAGTCAAAGAAAAGAAGACGAAACTTTTGAAACGTAAATTGCCAGTGTTTCAAGGACTAATGACGTTGTCATTATGGGGGAATTCAATTTTCCCAATATCTATAGGGAGACACATTCTGCCAAATATGGCCCTTCCAAGAGATTCCTAACATATGCTGCTTATAGCTTCCTCCAACAAAAAGTGGAGGAAGGAACAAGAGGAACAGCTATCTTTGACTTGATACTAACCAGCAGGGAAGACCCAGTGGACAAAGTGGCAGCTTCAGGAACTCTGCAAGAAAGTGTCTATGCCACACTTGAATTCTTTATTCTAAAGGAAGCAAAAGCCAAGTGTAGCCAAACATGTACCCTGTATTTCAAGAAAGTCAATTTTAATAAACTCAGAGCAATGATAAGTAAAGTCCCATGTCAAGTGACTCTAATAAGAAAAGGAGTCCAAGATAGGTGGGAATTTTTAATGAAATTGCAAACAATTCCAACAAAGAAAAAGTAGAAGGCAGCAGAAGAACCCCATGTGCCTTCACAAAAACCTTACGGGGGATCTGAAAAGGATATGTATAGGAAATGGAAGGAAGGCCAGGCTACAGAGGAAAGAATAGAGGCGGGTAGCATGGAATTGCAGAGATGACATCGGAAAGCTAAAGGTAGGAATGAACTGAGGCTAGCGAGGGATATTAAAACCAGCAAAAAAAGTCTTCTTCAGATATGTCCAAAGTAAAAGGCAGAGCAAAGAACTGGGGGTTCAGCTACTCAATGTGGATGGCAAAAAGATAACAGATGACAAAGTTGACAGTGCCCCATGATAACTTGATTAGCAAACTGGCTGAACATGGGCTAGATGGAACTATCAGGTAGACCTACAGTTGGTTACAGAATTGGACTCAGAAAGTGTTCATCAATGACACCTTCTCAGACTAGGAAGACATAACAAGTGGGATACCACATGGTTCAGGCAAGGGTTCAGTCCATTGCTTTTCAACATCTTTATTAATCATTTGGATGAGGAAGTGTAGGGAAGGATTATTAAATTTGCAGATGACACAAAAGTGGGATAGTTAATACCCTGGAAGATAGAAGTAATATTCAAAGTGATCTTGATATGTTGGAGCAAGACTGAAATCAATAAAATGAAATTCAATAGGGACAAATGCCAAATTCTGCACTTTGGAAAAAGAAAGCAAATGCATTGTAACAAGATGGGGACTACTTGGCTCAACAATCCTGAAAGCGAGAAGGATCTTGGAATTGTTGTAGATTGCAAAAAGGCAATGTGATGTGGTTGCAAAAAGGCAGATGCTATTTTAGACTGCATTAATAGAAGTATTACCTCCAAATGACACGAAGGACTAGTTCTCCTATACTCAGTACCAGTTATAATTTATTATTTATTTATTAAAAGCTTTTATATGCCATCCTTTATATAAATATCTCAGGATGGCTTACAGTACTTTAAAAGAACAATTTAAAACCACAACTGCTTCCAATAAACAAGTTAAAACAACAATAATATATAAAACAATAACAGCAATGAACACAAAGTAAATCACAAAACAAAACAAAAGCGACTGTACATTAAATTTCCTGACTGTTTACCTAAGGAGGTTGTGGGCTCACTAGAGGTATTCAAGATGCTGGACAGCCATCTGAGAGGGATGGTTTGATGTGGAGGATGTGAGGTTTAACGTGAAGCCCTGCTTTGAGCAGGGTACTGGGCCCTGTGGCCTCAGGCCACTTCCACCTCTGCGATTCTATGATGCTGTCATTTTAGTTAACAGAGGTCTTGGGCATGTCTTAATCGAAAGAGTGCAGAGACACATGTCTAATTGAGTAACATTTTCAGGGATAATACCCTGCCCACAAATTTTTCAGTGATTTGTTATTGCAGAATTCTTACACAATCGGAGGTGCGTCCGTTCATGCATATTCAGAGGAGAGGCAGAGGTTGATCTTGTATGCACAGAGAAAACCACAGGGAGGATTTGGCATGCTCACTAAGTGAGAACGGAACAGGCTTGTAAATTGCCACTTTACTCTGATAAGAATCACCTGTGGGTGTCTAGGCAGCAAAGTGTCACAAAACTTGGGTTGTGGGTTTTTCCTTTTCTTTAGATTACAACTGACTAATATAGGATTGTGTCAACAAGCAACCAACTATGATGTGTGCAGCTATTTTGGCTAGACAGGGTTAAGATGCTTGTTTACTGAAGCAAACCTTTCATGTGAAGCTACCATCTTCATAATTTTGTCAAACACATCAGCTCAGTAGCTCTTAGAATGGAGGTGGGAAACCTGTGTTGTTGACCTACAATTCCCCTCATTCCTGACCATGGATTGTGCGGGCTGGGGCTGATAGAAGATGAAGTCCACAGAATATGGAAAGCACCAGGTTTCCTTGTCCACTTATATCTGTTACATCCTATCCTATATCCAGCATTTTTCCAACACTGTGTGCTGCAGAATTCTTCAAAGAATGAAAGAAAATCTGTGTTAGACCCAGATCTTATCCAGTTTCTTTCTATGTCCAAGCACATGCCTCTAGGATAAGGATGGGAAAACCTTTTCAGCCTGGGGACCACATTCTGTCTCAGAGAAGCTCTCAGCAGGCTGTGTTCCAATGGTGCTGGTGGGGGGGGGGGCAAATGGATGGAGACAAACACAGACAAAAATCAGCATCTTGCAACTTAAAAGCTCTTCTTTCCAGTGGGAAGAAAGGCATTTAGGCCTTTTAGAGGAGGAAGAGGAACAGCTTTCTGGGTGAAAGTCTGCACGTGGGCCTAAGCTTCTCCACCTCTGTTCTAGAAATTTCACAAGGTGGGCATAGAGGCAGTAGCCTTCTTCCTATGGCTTGGCTGGTTTTAATGATACACTGCCTCTTCCCATTGTGCCTCTATCGGTAAAGAAAGAAAGAAAAAACTCTCAGATGCCTGGAAAACATATCTATTGTGCCCAAAGTGATTCAGAAACAATCTTTTTCCTTCCAGTATCTTTTCAAATCAAGTCAGAGCTTTTCCTAGAAGCAAATGACGAAACGGAGGCTGTCATGCTTTGGGTACATCATGAGAAGGCAAGACACTCTGGAAAAGGCACTCATGCTAGGGAAAGTGCCTGCCCACTCCTTAAGATCTGGGTCAGAGGTCCTTCTCCAGGAGCCCTCCATGAAAGAGATTAAGATGGTGGCTACTTGGAGAAGGGCCTTTTCTGCAGTGGCAACCATTTATGGAATATGTTCCCCAGAGAGGTTTGCCTAGTGCTGACACTTTATTCTTTTCGGCACCAGGCCAAAACCTTTTTATTTTCCCAGTATTTTAAGGTTTAAATTGAGATTTTAAGTGGGTTTTTACTGTATAGAATGGATGCTGTGCTGCACTTTGTTTTATTGGAGGACCGTCTGGAGACCACTTGGTAGCGGACACCATACAAAAGTTTTAAATAAGTAAAATAAAGTTGAAGGCAGAAGAAAAGGAAGACCAAATATGGCATGGATTAGCTCCATAGAGGAAGCCATAGCCTTGAATGCACAAGAGCAGAGCAGAGCAGGGCTGTCAAGAGCTGGACATTTTGTAGGGCACTCATTCATAGGGTCACCATAAGTCAGAGATGAGTTGATGGCCCATAGCAACGTACCTTCTGCATTGAAATGATGTCCTCCCAAGATGAAGGAAAACAAATTTTGAAATGCATCAGGCAGGAATTACATTCTTTTCAGGTACCTGAGATTTTTCTTTTCTCCCCCCGCCCGGCACTGCCTTTTGGGGGGCTATCTCTACAGCGGACTGCTGTCACCACATGTTATATTGACAGATTCTCCATAAATGAACCATTTCTGCTGTACAGAAGTACTTCTCTTCCCTCTCTCATCTTTGGACTGGCCAGGGCTGTCAATCATTTGTGGAATCTGCTCACAGTCTCACAGCCCTGAGTGTGGCCCGGTTGGTCTGTTTACTTAGGGCAAATACCTTGCCTTGCAGTTGCACAGTTAGAACAAGGGAGTGCCTTGACTCCACTTTCCCCTACTAACCGTGTCCTTCTCTTTTGTTTTTGCAGGATTGCAGAACTCATGGTGAGTGTCTATAAGCTACTACTCTGTGGTGACTGTGGCTGTGGCAGGAGACAATTGGGAATGGAGACTGGAGGGAACTGGTGACGAGATTTGGCATGGGTTACTGGAGGAGCACTAACAGAGGGGGAATGGGAGCTTTTCTTACTTCACTCCCCCAACTTGATACTATCCAGCGGTGCTTGCCTACAACTCCCAGCATGCCCCAGCCAGCATGCCCCTGGTTGAAGCATGCTGGAAGGGGGGAGACACTCTTCGCACATAGAGGAACAGATGCTGGATCAGATCTTCCACCCTGATAGCCTAGCTTTGTATGCATGGAATTCTTTTCATAGGAGGGGGCACAAGAAAATGGTGTTATTTTCCATGAATGGGATGCATCATTCAATATGCTCCCCTGCATTTGTAGCTTGAAGTAGAACCAGAGATTTTCATACAGGGGAGTTAAGTGAAGAAATATTTCTATTTCACAACAGCTAAGAACTTCTCCCTCACAGGAGTCACTTATTTATTTATTTAACTTTTCTAGTGCTCAATAATTGAAGCTCTCCGGGTGGTTTACAACAATCCAATAAGATACCATCTAAAATACACCACACTAGAAAAAACACTGGGGGGGAAATTGCCATGCAAAAATTTAAAGCCGCATTTAAAACACATACAGAATCCCAAGTGCCCAGGGGTGGGTACCTCTGAAGTAGTAAGGCAGTGAAGTAGTAAGGCAGCCCAAAAGTGCTGCTTTTGGGGACAAGTCACCGTTCCTTCAAGTGTGACCTATCCTACCTGCTCACCACTCCATAAACGAGGCTGGAAGTGCCATGTGGGAGGCACCGCTTTGGGGAGTGACCCCCCAACTTGATGTAGCTGCTCAGATTGCTTGAAGAAGTGTTTTAATCTGTGCATTGAAATGTTATGCTTTTTTATTTTTCTTGTATTTTAATTGTATTGCACAAATTGTTATTAATTGTCTAGATAGCTTCAGCTATGAGGCAGTATAGAAATGGAGTTAAACATAAAGAAAGGGTGGCCTAAATGATCAGACATGTTCCTTTAATAGTGCAGAAGAGGTAATTTTAACAGGTGTGACTTCTGTACAGGGGTTTGATCTGCTGAAATGTCTTGTTCTACACCGCTATTAAAAGTGCAGGAGCTCTGCCCTCTTTTGCATCTGGCCACCCTACTCTGGATAGCTATAAATAGCCACTGAAAACTAGTTTGTATCTGGCTGATATATAGGCACTATAATACAGACCAGGACCCAGAACCAGCACCCATTACCCAGAGTGAGCATTCTTGTATCTCTGCATTGCAAAGAAGAAAAGGCTCTTGTGTCAGTGTTATACTGCCTTTCCGTATACCCATTTCCCTACAGGTAAGCCCTGTTAAACTCATGGGGCTTCTCAGCGAACAGGTGTAAAATTGCATTGCGAGTTACTAGAGGGAAGCCCTTCTCTGGTCACTTGCCGCTCACACACTTAGGGTGGGTTCATACATAATGGCAAGCCATGGTGGAAACCACTGTGGCATGGCGTATTATGTGTGAGCCCACCAAGAGTGGTCAAATATGGTGAGGGTGGTCTCTGTGAAACCATAGAGAGAAACAATGGTTTGCTGTATGATTTCCATGCTTCACCATTGCTTGCTTGTGCATTGGAACTTGGTTTCCACATTTCCACCAGCAAATGTTGTGGCAAGACCAGCCACAGCTGCATTCTCCACCATGTTACTCTACCTTGAAACTGCTGACATGGCCGCAGCCATCTTAGAATTGGCTGCTCCCTCTCTTCTTTGCCAGCATGTTCCCTTCCCAGTGTCCACCTGCATCTTTGGAATACGGTGGCAGTGAGGCATCGCACTGAGCCGTCTCCAGGAGTGGCAGCCCTGGAGATGGCCTTGCACTCCTGCCTGGTCGCTGCAATTTATTTGAGCGGCACTTGGACATTGCAGTGCCCTTGCTCCACTCCTGTGAAAGTTTCTGCTCTGTCTCCTGCCCTCTGCTCCACTCCTGTCTTTTCCCCGACTCTCCTCATACTGTCAGCAAGACGCATTCTCCCCTATTCCTGCCACAGTTGTGTGACAAACACATTCTCGGGAGCCGGCTGAGACACTTTCCCAGACAGGTGCCCCCACGTGCTCGCTCAAGAAATTCTTCCCAGCAGGACATGCCACCACCTCCATCCCTGGCATGACCTGCCTGAGCGGATGCCTTTCATGCGCCTGACTGAGGAGGGGAGGCAGCCCCTTCCAGCGTATGTGAGGGCCATGGATACAGTAAGGGAAAAGTGGGGAAGAGGTGTGGGTGGATGTGCCTGCTCATTGGCATGGCATAGAGTGCGGCAGCATGAGGGAGCGCTACTCTCGTACTACTATAGAACAACAGTCCTATTCTAGCGAGTAGGCAGTAAGCTGGGGTTGATTTTCAACTGTGGGAGCTAATGGGGTACCAGCTGCCCTTCGGAGGAAAGAGGGAGAAGTATGGAAATCATGCATGCATGGGAGCCACTCAGCTGCCTGAACCAGGGTGAGAGACCATGCCACACAATCATGGCGCAGCGTGGTTTACTGTTACGTGTGAACACAGCCTTACACTTGTCATTTTCATGACACAGGACAGGGCGGTTTGTCGGTGGTGTTGATCTGGCAGTCGATGTGGTGCAGTGGTTAGAGGGTTGGACTGAGACTTGGGAGCTCTGGGGATCTGGTCCCCCACACAGCCACACGACTCACTGGGTGGCAATCGCTGACTCTCAGCCTAACCTCCCTCATAGGGCTGCTGAGAGGAAAAGGTGGGTTATAAAGTAGCCGATGGATAATCAGGAACCTTACCTTGATCTTTCCGATTTCCCTCACAGTGCATGGTATCCTGCCCAAACCCCGCTGCCAGCGGAAGCTGCGGGAGGGCCTCCCCCTGCCTCTGCCCACTCTTGCCCTAACCACAGTTCAGCTGTGCCGAGGTGAATGCCAGCCATGCGTCCGTGTCCATGTGGCTCTCAACGCTACAGGTATGGTATGGCCGGGGACAGGAAGCTGTCGTAAGCTGGTGGTGGGAAGAGAACAGAATGGCCACTTGCTAGAGTAGCCGTTAAGAATCAGCAAAAAAAGACATGTCCCACCGAAACAAGGGGGAATAGAGGACACCACTTGGCATAAAATGTACATGTCCTAAATTAGAACTATGGAATTGATCATTGTCATTTAAATAGAAGCACTACGTTCACTACAGGATGGAACTAAGTGACCGGGGGCCTGTGTGCTTTGCCCAGGGTGCTGTCCAGGAATGTTAATGGGCAGTTTCAAGGTCCAGCTCTTCCTTCTTGATGCTTCTTTGTCTTCATATTGGAACTGAACTGGACGGCCATGCAAAGCAGAGGCATCCTCTGTAAAAGAGGATGCACAGAGGAGCGCAGAAAGAACTGCAGCACTGCAGACTCGTCCTTGCCCAGCTCCAGTCTTCCTCTGAGGTGGTCCTGACGGCAGTCCAGAGGAGCAGACCTTCAAGCATATGTATCCTAAATCTGTGGTGAAGGGCTTAAGTTAAATGAACTCACCCTTCAGTTTCCAAATCATTTTGAAAAGAATGATGACATAAAAATGGAGGAGCTTGGCGACTTTTCCATTCTTCTCTCTGTATAGGATAAGAAATCTCCCTTTGAGCAACTGAATGTCTTAGAGCTCCCAACATCATGGCAGAGAAGGAGTTTCTGGAGCTGTGCAGCACACTTCAAATGCATAACACAAACACTTGGAGGCACTGTGTGTGGTGGGACCAAGGCTGCTAGCAATCAGGGTTTCTCTGACCCTGTGTGTGGTGGGACCAGGGTCATGACTGGTGGGCTGTTGTGATGAAGGCCTGAATACACTGTCTTACCCTTCACACCATCTCTTCTGTTTTCTCACTCTAGGCATTGAAGGGCTGGAACTGCATTTTCTGGTTCTAAGTTCTAACCGACCTTCTTGGCTTCAGGTGCTGAGGAAGAGGAGGCATCAGACAGACTCAGGAGCCTTGGTTAGTAATAAGTATTGGATGTGGATTGGGAAAGGAAGCTTCTCTTTTCCTTTCCTCTCCCTGGCAGAGTGCAGATGCTTCTGAGAGCTGTGTGGCAGACAGAAATTCAACTGTGTTGTCCCTTATTTCCATGTAGGGTGTCTGCCTATTGTGCAAGTGTTCAAGCAGCTTTTCCCAACCTGTGCCTTTCCAGATGTTGTCGCTTACAACTCCCATTATTCCCAGCCAAAGCTGGCGACATCATAACAATCCCTCTTAGTGGCTTCATTGGGAAATTGCTAGCTTTTGCAGAGTACTTGCACAAAGGGGTGTTTTTCAGCAGCACCATTGCAAAAGCTAAGAGCCAGTGGAATGTTTTAGGAGTCACAGGGCAAGAAACCTGCTTTCTGCCCTTTGGAACAATCTGGGCCCAATTTTTTCTGGTGGTACTTAGCCACCAAGTGCCTGCATTTTTGTACCTCTTCCTCTCAGTTCCATGCACACCATTCCAGTCGTCTGTGTGTGTGTGTGTGTGTGTGTGTTGGCATTGGTGAGGGAGGGGGAATCTACAACTGAAATACTGAATTTGTTCTGAGTTTATAAGTTTATGTTTATTAAAGGTTTATAAGTATCTTCCTTAGAGACTTACTCCCAGGTCAGTGCAAATGGATTATAGCTGAATTATAGAAATAGAGTAACCTTGCATATTAACTATGAACTATTTTGTTACACACCCAGCCTCTGAATATTTTCTCTATATATATATCAAAGGTGCAAAACCTCAGGCCCAGGGGCCAAATGTAGCCCTCTGGGGTTCCTCCAATGAGCCCATCACCATTCCCCAACCACCAAACTGTTGGTGTTTTCCAAGGCGCTGTCCCCCCACCAGGTTTCTATAAGGTGAAATGCCCCTCCAAAGGCTTAGTTACTGGCAATAGGAGTTTCAGGTTACGATGTGCTTTACCTCCACCCCCTTTGGCTCCAGCCTTACCTGGAATGCAAGTCTCCACAGCTTCTCTGAAACAGGATTCAGCCCTCAGGCTGAAGGAGGTTCAGCATCTCTGCTCCATACCACACACAAACTTTGTTTTTGTCTCACTGGAGGGGAGATGTCAGAGGAAAGGAAGGCTGAGGGAGGGACAGAGTACAAGAATTTGTTTTCAGTGACAGAACTTGTTCTGATGGTATGTAAAAGAATAATGAGCAGGCTGACTTTAAGCACGTGCAAAGAGCTTTTTTATAAATTTGCTGTCGGTTAATTGCATCAAGGATACACACTTTTCTAGGATTAGGGATAACTGCATCTACGGCTTTCCTTTCCCGATGAGCTTGACTCCATGGCACCTCTCATTTTTTATTACTTGTGGAAAAATCAGCTACCAGGAGGAGGAAATCTGAGGAATTAGCAGAATCGACTTACCTGTTCTAAGATTAATTTCCTGAGGGCTAGAAATTTTCTTTTAAAAATGGAGAGATATGTTTTAAGATCTTATACAAGTTACTGGATTTAACGTGAGAGACAATATTTCACAGCACAGCTACATCCATTGAAACCTATTAAATCTTATACTGTTTTAAATTAAGAGATTTAGAATAGAGTAGAATAGAATAGAAGGGTTTAAGAGGGAAATAGTAATCCCTGGCTATGGGGTTATATCCACTGGGGATAGGTGGAGGATACTGCCTGATTCACAAGGCACATGCATGAAATTTCAGTGGGCGCTGTTCTCACCTTCTTTCCTCAGTGGCAGATGCAGTTTGATTGTTTCCTAGCAGAGAGCGGCCAAAAGGTGCTTGTCTCACTGGAAACCATTCCTAATGGAGTGCTGAGCTTAAATCAGAGCCTTCTCGTTACTCTCAAGCAAACAGGTAAGATACATCCAGAATATACCATGTGTCTAGTCTGCTACTGTTTAGCTCTCCTATCGTTAAGGAGCCTGAAATTATGTGCTTAGAAATCCCACGGATTCCATGCTGGGCACAAATGGTGCTTATGAAACAAATTACTGTAGATGCAATTTTAAATTGTGGCATACAGCACAGTGCTTTTGACTCATGTGGGAAGCTGGAGAAAGATCATGGTGGACTTGGGGTCAGATGAATTTATCATTTTCGGTTCCTGTCAGTGTCTTAATATTCCAGTCTTGTATTTGTGCTTTTCTTTCCCCAGGACCTGAGTTCCACCACACGTGGGTGCCAGCTACCCGGGCTATTGGGGTATCTGTTCCAGAAGGGCCTGCCATCACTGTGCGGCTCTGCCACCAGCTGGCCTTGGAGTGTGAAGAACTGCAGCAACCTTTCCACCAGCAGGTGGGACATTTGTGGGAGGAAGAGGAGGAATGGGCTCAGCTGCTAGGGAGGAAAAGCAAGCAAGCAGAACTGGAAGCTCCACCAGGTAGGGTGGTGGCCCTTGGGGGTGTTCAGGAGCATGGGAAGCAAAAGCAGTTTCAGTGCAAGAAAGGAGCAAGTGGTATTGATCCTGGCCAAATCTGCCAGCTTTGCATTCCATTGCATTTGAGAGAGGGAGGGAGGATCAAGTTCTTTTCATCTGAAATATGAATGACTTTGTGAAGTTGGTAAATTCTTACCAAATCAAAGATGGGGAAAATGAAGATGGTGTGGTGACAGCAAAAAAGAAGTAGGTGGAGGGGACCTGGAAATTTTAATAACCATAGCAAGAAGAACAAGGAAGGTGATGTGGGTCCAGTTGGGGTGTGGGGAGAGAGTTTCTGCAGAAACCTGTGAAGGTCTTAGTGAAAACCTGGATGAAAACACGAAGAAAGATTTGTGAAGCCCAGCAGGTAGCAAGGACAAATCTGCAGACAATGGGGCTTGTTATGTTAATTATTTATCTGGATGTCAGTATTTTACCCCCCCCCCACTGCACACTGTTTGCACGTGTGTGTTTTCAGCAACAGCAACAACATAAATAAATAAAAATAGTGCTTACCAGAAATGCATATAAAACTTTATGGATTTTATCACATCTGGAAGTTCCCCTTTAAATGGAAAGAAATGCCAGATGAAAAAAACAGTTTTTTGTAACAGTCGGGGCCCAAAACAAAGACAAAAAGATGGTTGCAGAAATGGCACACCCCTCAAATCACATTTTAAAATAGTCTGTGGGTTTCAAGGAAAACATTTAAGATTGTGAAGAGAACTCCTATTTGTCAACCTTGCTTCAGAATTGGTTTTTGCTGAGTTAAAGATAACTGTAGAGGACACAGAGAATAAATGACAGAATACAATTCTTTCCTTGGGACAGAATGAGGGCAAAGCAAACTAATTTTAGATGAGTTGATGTTAAAGCAAACTTCTAAACTTGCCCACAGGGAAAAGGGTTAAGAAGGAAGATTTTTCTAGTCCGATCCATTCCAAGTGGATTATTTACATTAAAACTCTTTATAACTATATAAGTGTTATCACTGCATTTTTGCAAGATCAGAATGTTGCTGTTATGAGCCATCAAGTTGTCTCTAATTTATGGTGACTCAACAGATGAAGGCCTTCCAAAATGTCCTATCCATGACAGACCTGCTCAGCTTTTTTGTGTTCAAGGCTGTAAGATTAGGATTACCATATGCCTAACATTTTAAATAAAACAACAAACATATTATTAGATGCAATGAATGTGGTTTTACTTTCAACATCCCAAGTTTTAGATGTATGAAGATTAAGGCAAACCAGCTCTTATTGTTTAGCCACCAATAATGCTAAATCTAAGGTAATATGTTTTGCTAAAAATCAAAAATGCATACATGGCTCATTAATTCTAAAGAGCTAGAAAAGGTATGTTATTTTGGCATAATTTTTTGCAGTTACAGGATCCTGTGAGTTACTAATAAAGAAAAGTGAATTGAAATCACTTGCTTAATATGACTGTTGAATTTCAGGCAGCCTTGATCCACTGGACCTATTCTGACTATTTTTAAAGCAATGTTGATCCCACTGCTAATATTCAGTGCAGAAATATGGAGAAATATGACTCTCATCAAGATGGAAGAATTCAGAATCATTTTTCTCATGTGGTCCTGGGATCTCAATATCCACTCCAGCTAACTGAGTCATTGTAGAGCAGGGATGGGTGCGATTGCTGGCTTAATTTGTGCCTGGAGGACAAATTGCTAAGGAAGGGCGATCCAGTTGTCAGAAATCAGATTGTTCTTAGAGGAACAGAGAGTAAACTGTCTAGATACTTAGTAGATGCAGAAATTCCTTTGTAGGATATAATTCCATGGGGAAACATGCTTAGAAATTGATACAAAGAACTGTAGGTGTTGGTGCCCAGCCTGATATAGCATTTCTTATATCTTCTAGAACAGGTTGGTGGATCGCAGTAATGAACATCGGCACCATAGGGTAGGGTCTCTTTTATTCCCCATGACAATGGAGCATTCAAAGGCTTTTGCTAGATTTGTTTCAAACAGATGGGTTATATGACGAAACCTCATCGATTTTATGGTAGTGCAGCCAAGCAAGGCTGGTGTCAGCCATAGGTACGGTTGGACCCCTGCTGAGAAGCCTTATCCCTGCAGGGTCCCAGGTGAGGTGCGTTCCAGGGTTATGCTTCCTCTTCCCATTGCAACCTGCTTGTTCACCTGCTCCTCACTCTGCCCCAGAGAACAGCAGTGGTGAAGAGCAGCAGCAGGAGATGCTACAACCGACTTGCCCACCACTGCCTCTCTTCCTGTCAAGCAAGTAGTAGTGATGGTGAGAAAGTAGGAGGAGAAGAAATGGCTGCTGTGGCTGGTGAAAAGGAGGCACTGGGTTTCTTGCCCAAAGAGCCACAGATGCCTGGAGCTGGCCCTGTACCCAAGGCTGGCCAAGTTATTTAGCACCTGAAGTACAGCGTCTCACAAGTGCCTATCATGGCGAGCAGAAACGCAATAATAATACATTTAAAAGTAGCAATTTGCTGACTTTTCTCTGGAACAGCCATATTATTAAGCAAAGTTAGGATGCTGACTTGGACAACTAAATGGCACCCTGTTCATGGACCCGGTTTCCCAAAAGGGTGTGCCTGATGCTGACTGTATTCAGGGGTGTGTACAGCATCAGGCAACCCCCTTTCTATTTTCCCAGTATTCTATTTCCCAGTATTTAAGATTGTGTTGGGGTTATATGTATGCTTTAAATCTATTGTACTTTTTATTGTTAACCATTCAGACACAATCTTAAATATCAAAATATGACCCCAACAATACCCCCCAAGGCCACACACATAGTCCGTAACAACGCAACCATATCATATAAAACATAATACACAATATAAAATTTAGCTAACAGTATAAAATAGTCAAAATAATCATCATCATCATCATCATCATAAATAAATAAATGTAGGTGTTAAGCAAAGGTGTTCACATTGTTATTATTACATTTGCCATTGTTTTGTTTTTACTGCTAGGAATGGGGAGAGGTACTTGTGGAATCCTGTGCCTCATGCACCAGATCAGTGTGTCTGGCCTTTAGTAATTTGCATCCTAAGTCTGGATATGGGGGGCTATTTCTTGCTCTGCCTTAGGCCTTGTGAATTTTTATGGTGGTGGGGTACAGTTGCCATTTGTTCGACCTGAGGCAGCTAATTGTCCAACCATAGGGTAGACTTGTACTGATCTACTACAGAGCTGCTGCCTAGCAGAGTGCACTATTTCATGGTAGATGGACAGATTGGTTGACCCAGAATATGGCAATTCTCTATGATTCACTGCAGTAGAAATGCAGTTTTTGTTCCATGAGACTTTATCCTTTGCACTGTGGGCCAGGGATAGGCTGGGAGCGGAGAGGGCTCATTGGGCTAAGCAGTGATAGGTGGTCCATGGGGTGCTCCTTGAGGTGGAAGTCTGTAGAGGAAGAAATCAGAACTGGAGGACACGAAAAGTGTTGCGCAGACTGAGCAGATTGTGGCTGATAAATTGTTCTGTTCTGCTTCCAAGGCTCACTATCTTTTATGGCAGCAAGGAGATCAGAATCTGCTGGTATATTGAGGATGTTTTGCAATAGATCAACAAGGATTTCTGACACACAGTTGTCTAACAGCAGCAAGAACAAGATGATACTTTTGACTAAAGTCAGCTGCTGAAATGAAAGAAGTTTGGAGTAACTAGAAGTGGGCTTTGTGTGAAAGTAGTTCTGAATGCATTCCCGGGCTCACATGCACTCTGTTCGTTTGATTCTGAGTTCATACCGACTGCCTCAATTCTGCTTGGCAGATCTTAGATCTAATAAAAAATAGAGGCTGAATACTACCCAACCCTGTTTTATGGCCCTGTGCTTCTGTCCCTTCTCCTGGCAGGTTTCAGTTTCCAAGGATCACCCTGCTGTGCTGCCATATGAGTTCCTGCTTCCTTGTCTGTGCATTGAGGTTTGTATGATGTATCACCTGAAGAGACCCGCTTCTGTCAGTCTCCTTGGGGAAGAGGTGCAGCATAGAGAACTGGGTGCAGATTAAAAAGTCCTGCACTGAGTCTTATAGTAGGTTCCAAACAGACATTTTGCATCTTTAAGATTTCTGAGAGTTGCTCCCCCTTCCACTGCAATGTCCTACAGAAAATGGTCACTTGCCTATGACTGGGGAGTAGGGTGGCCACTTAGGAATTGTACAAAAGAGGAAATGCATCATTGAAACAAGAGGATGCAAAATTGTTTTATGTTTGTTTCTGCATATAGATAGATATGTGAGAAATGAAGATTATAATTAAATAGAAATACAGTAATTGCAACAACATGAGAAAGATTTTGACCAGGTCACTTGTGTGCCTGCTTGTTTTGCTGCTAATTGTGGATAGATGACATGCCTTAGGGGTTTTTTCTCTAAACTAGAGTTGGACAGGGCTGGCTTCCAAAGATAGGATGCCTTCAAATAGAGGCTGTCCTCTCTAAAAGGGAACATGCGTTTACCCTACCAAAGGGAACAGAATATCCAAGGCAGTATGGACTTGCCATCCTTTTTCCCCCTGGGGTGTTTAGCAATGTAGGGCTAATAGTGTCCCAGCTGAAGCCCCTGAGGGGGTCAAAGCTGGGAAGCAGCCAACCTGGGTCTTACTGATATTCCTCACTTTTCCCCACCCAGGCATCGTATGAGCATCTAGACGGCTTGCGGAAGAAGGTGTGTCCATTCCAGGATCAGCCAGAAGCCTGTGAGTCTTGCTTTTGGGCCGCCGGGTGCTGTGACAACAGGGCACTCCCAGCAGGCACTAACCAGGCCTGCAGAGATGATGCGCATGTTCCCCGACCTGGTGTCTGCTGCTCTGAGCCAGTGTGGCCGAGTGCTGGACTGGCAGCCTGAGAAATTCTAGTTTCTAGCTTCTAGTTCTAGTTGTCATCCAGCCATGCAGCGCACTGGGTGACTGGACTAAACACTCCTCCTCAGCCTAACCTGCCTCACAGGGTAGTTGTTGTGAGGGTAAAAATGGAGCGGAGGAGAACTGTGTAAGTCGTCTTGGGTTCCTTTTTAGTGGAAAACAGCAGGATATAAATACAGTGTAATAATATTGTTCTGGTTTTCCAAACAGAGACTTCAAGTGGAGTAACCAAATAGCACACATTTTATTTCTTATTAAACCCATCCTCTATCTTGTTGTCATGTGTTAAACTGTTGTAAACTGCCCAGACGGCTTTGGCCATTAGGTGATAGAAAAAGGCCCTACCACTCCCTAAGCAGAATATTAACATCAATGTCTGAATAGAAAAGTGTTGTTTTTTCCTGCTAGAGACTCTGCTTGATTTAAGAGACATTTTAGCAAATAATCTAGAGAGAGCTAATGTGATGTGGTGTGTAAAGTAGCCAATTCGGACCAAATGGTTCTGCTGAGCCATGAAGCTCCCTGTGTTACTTCAACCAGTTGCTCTCACTAAGCCTAAAGCAGGAGTGTCCAAATCGGGATCCACTCATCTATACCTCCTGTTAGTTCCAGATGGCATAGCCACTGGTGAGGGATCATGGGAGTTGCAGCTGGAAAGCTACTAGTTGCCCTCCTCTGGCCTAACACAATTCATAGGATTATTGCAAAGATGGTGTAAGATAACACAATGTATGTCCCCCTGAACTGCATGGATAAATTATATTTTACCATAGCATATTCAAGTGGTTTTGGACTACAGCTCACATCCTCCTTGACCATGGGCTATACTGCTAGAGATGATGGGAGTTTTCATCCAAAACTTCTAGAGATGTTTTGTACTGTGACTTTCATCATCCCCAGCAAATTAGGAGAAGACTGTTCTGCAAGTACATGGTTTGGAGCTGACTTTAAAACTGTTCAAGGGTGTTGTAATGTTTTAATTTGGTTCAAATATTATAATCTAATTATTTATTCTATTAGCTGCAATGTGGGTCTAAAGCAAACTAAAAGGCAAGATAAGAAAGAGACAATGAATAGACATACATACTGGAATAAATTCAGTGTGTCCTCCATATTTTTTTCTGTCTAGGAAATATAATGTCCACTTTTGTAGGGTTATCTGATCTTTTTGTAGCAAGTGCTACATTAAAACAGCAGGAGCATTTATGCATTTTTTTAAATCAGTGGAGGTTTGGCTCATATCCCAAAATCCATTTTCAAAGCATTGAGACTTCATTTATGTCTTTTCATGCACTTGTCTGCTTATCACTGTATATTTTATTTGCTTTTTTTAATTTACAATATATACCACTCCATTCCTAGGCAAATTCTAAAGTGGTGAACAGTTTAAAAGCTAAAGCAGATTCAAACATAACAATACTTTTAAAACAGGATAGCATTAAAATTGTGTCTGTACATGTAGGCAGGCTGGAGGGAAGGCCATCCCTGAATGCAAATAGAAAAACTTCAGATACAGTGTTTCTCTGCAGTCAATTTCTGCCTTTTTTACACAACACTGGGAAGAATGGTACTGGGTTAATAGGAATGGGGAAGGAGGGCATGGCATAAGATACTATCTGTGTGTGTCATCAGCCTGGAAGGCAAAGGTGCCCAACCTGAGATCAATGTGCCAAATCCCAGAAGGCCATGCCCCTTTTCCTGCAGACACCAATGATTTGGTGTTTCCTGGCTTTTGTGCATGTTTTCCCCCATTCTGAAATATTAAAATGCCTGAAATATTAAAACACCAGGCTTAATTACTGGCTGTGAAGAGCTTTAAACTTGAGTAAGCTGGTACATTTTGTCATTTTGGCATCATCTCCCATGACTTTGGCACCATCTACCACTGGACCTCAGCCTCTAAGTGTTTCTCGGAAATTGAATTTGGCCTTGGGTCTGAAATTGGTTTGCAGCTCCTGCTCTAAAGAATGAGTGCCTCTCAGGACTTCAGATTTCTCCGGATCTTATTTTTTTTCCTTCCTGCTTCTTTAGATGGTTCAGATCTTTGGTCTTCAACACAGTTCCACGACTACAGTATCAGCGATAAGGCCAAAATGGTTATGTCTCTGAATGGCCGCTGTCCGCTTCAACCCGATGCTTCCCTTTGCTGGAAGGAAAGTGCAGCTCCAGGAGCAGCCTGCCAAGACATCCCCAATTCCACGGTCACAGTATTCAACCAGGTACAGAGTTGGGGTGGTCATGCCATGGGGACAGGGGGGCCTCTGGTGACTGGAAGGTGTGTAGCAAAGCTCAAGGGCAGAAGGTTCTAGAAAGCCACAGGTCCAGATAAGGATTTGGAGACTTCATTGGGCTGAACAAGTCCATCTCCTAGGAGGATAGAAGAAACAGGTGGTAGAGAGAAAACGGTTGATGTGGAATATATCCTAACCAGACACATATTGAAGCAGCCTTCCCCAATCTGGCTGTGCAGTCTGGAAATGATGAGGGAGTTGGACGTTTTGCACATCTGGAAGACACCAGGTTGAGGAAGACTTTTCCAAGGAGTTTGGACCTTCTGGAGTTGTTCTTACATGTATGCTTCACTTTTTAGAGAGGAAGGAAACCATTCAATGGCAGATATAGGGACTCCTAGAGTGCCAACATGTAGGGTTGCTGGAGCCCTGCCTAAAGGAAGTACCGGTACCATTAAATGCTGCAAGAATTCTGCTGTTCTTGGTACCATATGGCTTGCCTGACTTTCCCACCTACTATACAGGGAGACAGGAGTTCTGTTGGCCACAGCTAGGGATGCCAGAGGATCTCATTAGGATTGGATCTATAAGTGAAACAAAGCAATTTACCCTTCCTAGAGTTTTATTTTTATAAATATATATATATGTGTGTGTGTGTGTGTGTGTGTTTATTTGAATGCAGTTATCATTTGGATTCTGCACTTTTCTGTATGTTGTGGTGCAATTCGTAGATCAAAAAGTGCATTCAAAATGGGTATATATGGGAAAGGTTTGTATAAAATGCATAAATTAAGAAAAGTTGTGTAAGTTGTGTACATGCAAGAATTCATGTGGTTTTTAAAAAATATATCTGTAGAGTTTGTATGGATTAGATTTAAGACTGAATTGATGTAGACTGGATATAGAGTGATTCATACCTCCTTAGCCACAGCATGTTGAGCTGTGGACCAGTGGGGGAACACAGCAGGAGGTCAAGTCGTTGCATCCTCTCTTTGAGATCTGGAGCACAGGGATAGGCACAATCCTTTACACTGGAGACAGATGCATGAGGCAAAAGGGAATGTTTGCTTTCAGGAAAGCCATATCTATGGCCTTGTAGGAGCTGCTACGAGAAAGAAGAAACACCCACTTTTCTGACCTATTTTTCTTACTCTAGGAGTACGTCCTTAAAGAGGTTGATGTGCATCCCCAGCTTTGCTTCAAGGTAAGACACACACACACACACACCTGGTTACTTGTAACACACACAGGCTTGAAAGACAGTAACCTGCTGTTAAAAGCCTGATGAGGCATTGTTGAAAGAGCTGGCTGTGTTTGGCCCAGAGAAGGGGAGATTAAGAGGACATATGAGAGCAATCTTCAAATGTTTGAAAGGCTGCCATTCAAGAGATGAAACAGACTTGTTTTCTTTTGCCCCTCAGGGCCAGGCTAGAACCAGTGGGTGGAAACTGCAGGGAAGAAGACTTGCAATAACATTAGGAGAAATGTCCTAACTCTCAGCAGTGGAACAGACCGGCTTAGGAGGTAGCGGGATTTCCTTCACTGAAGATATTTAACGACTGGACAACAACTGCCAGCAGTGCTGTAGTTGCATCCTGTATTATACATGGAGCAGGGCCTTGGACCAAATGACCTCTGATTCATTCCTAATTCATTCCTACCCTAATGGGAGAATATGATTTGGCATCCACTGAAATGGATGTGGTAGACTTTGTCCAAAGGAAGTCCTCTCATGTTTTATCATTTAAACAATTATACCTTCATGCACGTCTTGTAACTGAAGAGGTCCTCAGAAGCTTCGGCGAATGGGGCGGCATAAAAATGTTTTAATAAATAAATAAATAATAATAAGCATAAAGCGCTGCCTCAAGCAAGGGCTGGAGTCTGTGCAGCACAGCCATAACATGTGCTGATTCTAAAGTCAGTGCAGCCGCATTCAGTTCAGCTTGCTTTCTAGTGAGTGTACATAAGATTGCAGCTGTAGTTGCTCCAGATGAGCAATGATGGGTTCACACTGCAGCCGCAATAATTGGAGTCGAATTTCAGGAAGAACTGCCTAGATGCATTGCTGCTGGAGCACTGAGACCTGTTGCTTCCAGGGGTGCTGCACTATCTTTGTTACTGGAGTCCTTTAAGATCAGCTTGGGCAAAGACTTGATTGAATTAGCTGAAGGGGCCTTGGGCCACCAGGCAGTAGCTGGCTTAGCCATCACAATCGGGATGCACTGCAGCTGTGTTGGAATTCAGTTCAGCACATCTAGAGGACCCCAGGTTGGTGAAGGCTGAGAGAGAGGGGCTTGTTCAGTCCGTTCAGGATCTGTACTTAAGGTTGTTCATCATTGTTGGAGTGGGCAGGCTTAGTATATCCGCCTTGCAGGAGGGCTGGAGGCTAAACTCGAGGACTCCTTACATTTTGTTGTCCTTTGTTTCTGTGAGCATAAAGGCAGGATTTAGTATGGCCAGTCACAACTCTTCCTATTACTTTTCCAGTTTTCCTACATGAACAGTAGCCACATTGAGTGCCCACACCAGACAGGTGAGTCTGCTTAAGGCACAGCGCAAGCCTCATTTGGTTGCATGGAATGCTGCAGAGGTTATGGGGTAAGGAGGGGACTCCTAAATACTGCAAGCACCTGAGGCAAAGAGGACGCCTATATCTATCTCTCTATATTCTAGACAGAGTCCTGCTCAACTGATGTTGCTTTTCAGAGATTTGTGACTGGACTGCAAGTAGCAACCCAGTAGTTAATGTAAATATATATACATATGTGTTAATCTGTTAACCCAAGCTAACTAGTAGAAAATGTGTTGTCCCTGAACATTGAACTGTTGAAGGCAAAGAGTTCCTTCTTGTTTGTGGTCAGTTAAAACAAGATAAATATTCCTTTTCCCTCAAAGTTATTTTGTGAAAACAGGAGGGTCTGTTATGGGAATTTTAAAAGCCAAATGCCCTTGGCTAGTTTTGAATGGTTTTACAACTTGTTTTCTCTGATAACCTGGGAAAACTCTGCTTGCTTTGTTAGCAACGAAACCAAAGTGCACCCACGTGTGGCAAACATGTGGAAATGCAGAGATGTGGAAATGCAGTTGCCAAGAGAGGTCATAGGTTCCCCATACTAGAGACATTCAAGGAGAAACTGGACAGTTGTCTGAATAGGATGGTGTGACTTGGCACCCTGTATCAGGAGGAGGTTGGACCCGATGGCCTTTTTGGCCCCTTCTGACCCTACTATTCTATGAATCTATGCATTCTGCAAGGTTCTAAGTAATGTAAGGGTGCAGCTCCCACTTGTTGAACATGGGTGGTCCTGTACTTCTCAATTTGAAAACGAAATGCTGGTCCACCAAATGCTGGCATTGTTTCTGCATCATTTGAGCAGTCCCCAAGCATACAGCTTACTTTGGAAATGAACTGAAAAAGGAAAGTTTTTTGCAACAGAGATTTCAGGAAACCTCTGCTCAGTGACATCTAGGATGCGTGGAATGTTGCAAGTGTCAGTTGAAGAGGAAAGGAAAATTGGGGTGAAGAAAATTGGCCTGCTTCTCCTCCAAACAACTTATAGATTTGGGGAGCAGGAGAGGGTGGGTAATATATAGCATGAGGTTGCTCTTATTCTTATAACCCTAACTCTTACCCATGCTAAGAATGGAGAGGCTTCAAGAACAGAGAACAAGATACCTGTTTTCCTTTCCCACTTACCAGAAATCACCCTTCTTGCTAAATAACAACATATGGCAGAAGGTGGTCCTTAATATACCACATATACTGGCATATAAGGCAACTCATGTATAAGATGAGGTTGATATTTTGGGCTGTTTTTCTTTTGTTTGTCATACTAGGGCATATAAAATGACCCCAAATTTTTGTTTTGTTTTGTTTTGTTTTGTTTCAAGGGCCCTCTTATATGCCAGTATATAAGAGTATATCTCTAGGAAAGACCACAAATATTTTTAGGAAAGCCCATGAATATCTCTAATGAAAATAGTGACTATCTCTAGGATCTTCACATCCACTGAGAGACAAACACATGAATGAGGCTGGCTAGTGCCAATAAAGAAAGAGAAAATGACAAAATCCCCAAAGTCCTTAGAGGCATTCACAGTTTTTCTGTAGGGATATTGCGATGTTACCACTTTTGTGGGGGTCCTACGGTTTCAGGCATCCACTGGGGGGTTTAGAATCTATCTCCTGCAAATACAGGGGTCTTACTGTATGAGAAAACTTTTCACCTGGTATATAGGACAACTCCTTGATTTTTGCCTTGCTATTTTCAGTTTCAAGATCCATCTTATACATTGGTATATGTGGTAACCAAGCCTCAAGCCATGTCGAGCTTTAAAATAGGAACATTTATGCTTTTTACGGTAAAAAACTGCCTTAAGCTTAAATGATGATAGTGTACATATAAATATAAATAAAAACAGGAATTTGGGAAAGTTGTGATCTTGATGATTCCAGAACCAGACAACGTGGCCCATATAATGATTGAAACCTCTGGAGTATGAGCTGAGTCTTGGGACACCTTTGTGCTGTTCTTCCCTTCCAGACACTGCCTGGAATGTATCCCTGAGTGCCACGTTTTTGCAGCTCCATTTAAAGTTCCACTCCCGCATCCCAGCATCTTTCAGTTCAGCCATATGCCAGCAGCAATCTTCAAGCAAGTGTGAACTCAAGCCACCTGTCTATACCATCACCCATGTAAGTGATGGCTGCATCTGAAGCTGGGGATGGTTGGAACCTAGGGGAATTGTGGGGGAGAGTGCTCAGGAAGGGCAATTTGGTGAGGAAGGTCTGGGAAGATGAGCTACACTTTATCCAGAAGATAACAGAGGAGTGGACCTTGAATCTACATCATGCTTTTGCCTTCCAGCCAGAGGGATCAGCCTTGAAGGATCAAGATCTCATCCTTCCTTGGCGGGCCTTGAAGAGCTGTGTACTGGTAAGGACCAGCTTCAGTCTCCCTTGCATTACATATGCAACATTAATTGAGCAGAGAACAATTTTTAGCAATAGGATGGACAGCTACAAAGCCAAGAGACCAATTGCACTAGCCAACTACACAACAGCAGCATGCCATGTATTATCAAGGAAGGCTGGATATGCACATGGTAGGCGTCTCGTAAGCAGAGCCAGTTGGAACTAGGGGTCAGACTAGATGGCCCAAGAGACCCCTTCTGACTCACTCTGTTTCTATGTTTCTATGATTCAGACTGGGCATTCTTTTCTTATGAATGTATCATTGTGTTGGTTATCACAATTCCAACTCATAGGGCACATGCTGACCACAACCCATGGGGTATTTAAGGTTGTCAAGTATTTTAAAAAGAATGACAAAAGCAGTCTTGAGAAATGTTGGATATGAGGACAGAAATAGCATTAGAAAATGCTAGAGAAGTGTGAAGTGTGCTGTACGAGAGAGCCGAGCATTACAGTGACAGGGAAAGCCCTCATGCAGATCAGCCCCATGTCTGTTCAAGTGTCCCATGCACTGTTGTCTTCTGGTTTCTCAGGTCTGGCGTTCTGATGTGCGCTTTGCTGGCAAACAGCTTCTGTGCCCAAATGGTAAGTTTCAGTGCCACTCCACGTTAGGTTGAGAATGGGATGAATAAAAGTACAGTCCCTGTACTGTACAGTCCCTGTACAGTCCCTGGCCCTGTTATGGAGAGTGGTAGTTGTGTCATGTCCTCCACATTCTTCCTCAGAAAGGGTAAGAGAGCCAGCCCTAGGACTTGCTGAGGTGGGAGACATTCTGTGCCTCATTTATAGAGGGTGTATGAAGTGCGTGGATCCTTTGTGGGCTTTACATGCAGAAACTATCTTGTTCAAGTTGCTGACTAGGAAACCCATAAGGACCCGCTTGGAGAGAGTAGGATAAAATCCGCAATGAGAGTCAATATGATAGTGAAGTTCCATGGTGGGCTTAGTCATAAGGGCTGGTTAGAACTCTTCCCCTTTCAACTTTATGCGGGTAGAGGACATGTGGGCTCCATATGATTTTGACCTGTAACTCTCATCATCCTCATCTTTGGCGAAGTTGGTTAGGGCTGATGTGACTTGAAGTCCCAACAAAATCTGGAGAGGCACACATTCCCACCTCCTGAACTTTAGGATGGCCAAGTGGGACCTGTCACACTGTGTTGCAGTTTGGAGTGTGCCTTTTCTGGGGTTGAGCCTGGCTAGTCCTACTTCCTCTTACAATCCTCTTTTCCATTCTCCCTCCCAATCCGCTGTTCTCTCTTTCACGTCCTTCTCTCCCTCCTGCAGTCGTTCTGTATGCCGCGAAGCCTGCTCAGTTCTCCCTGGGTCCTTTTGGCAGGGGTTTCCTCTTTTGGCAGTACTTTTCACTTCTGCAGTCCATGGGGTTTCCCCAAGCCTGCTGTCAGCTCCATTTTGTGTGTGGATGGCACTGCTTTATTCAGTCATTCATTCATTTAAAACATTTATATGCCATCTAATATTTCAGTGAAATCTCAAGAGGGTTTATAAAAACAATATATCGGGATCCATGCACACAGAATGAGTTTGCCATTAGTATACAAGATGACTGCAAAGATAATAAGCATGATTGAGGAGATGGAAAGGCAGTGGATGAATGACTTTTGTTGAGATTTTGCAGCCAATTTGAAACTTCTTTCTCTCCTAGTTGTACACAGGCACTGGGGCCTGCTTGCTTTTGCGGTGGGTCTAGGATTGGGATTCCTGGTTGCAGTCGTTCTGCTGATTCGCTGGTGTCTCCACAGACTCCACAGAGGTAAGGAGCATCAGCAGCACTGTGTGAGCATGTGTAAAGGTGAGAAATGCCACCCAAATGTAGATTCTAGAAATGCAGCACTGTGTGGTGAGAAAGAGAGGAGGTGTGATAAGTTTCCAACACAGTTCCATCCTACAGAGGAGCAAGTTGAAGAAGATAGATAATCTCTGAAAAATGGTCATTATGGTTTGTGGCTAGGTGCTTACAACACAATAAGCGATGGTGGGTTGTTGGGTTTTTTTTACCATTGTTGATTTTCTGTGTTGTCTGAACTTAGACATGGTATTTCATAAATTTGGTCTTCAGAAACCATGATAAGAAACAATGGTTTGTTCTAGGGTTTCTCGGTACCACCATGACTTGTGTTTTCATCAGTTCAGGATCATGGTTTCTGTGGTCCTGATATTCAGCTGTCACAGAGTGGCAACTGCTGGAGCTGCTGCAGACATCCAGCCTTTATGTGTATATCAGTGAGGAAAAGGCAGGTGACATAGGCAGGGAGTGATGCACCTTGGGATTTAATTTCAAGTTCAGTTACTGATGGGATACATGCCAACTGAGGGAGAAATGAGTATGGGGATAGAAACTATGATAAAGTGGAAAGAAACCATGATTGTCAGTGAGGTAGATTATGGTAAGAAACTGTGAACCCTGGTAACTACACAGGGTTGTGTGTTGTGTTTTGTGCATGCAGCCTATTGGTACCTGTAATGCAAGAAGAAGGGCTCCACTTGTGGAAAGTCCCTTTCATAATTTTCATCAGGGTCCTTTAGTCTTTTTAGCATGGGGGAAGGGACTGCTGTGGGACAGATGGGATGGGGAAGACTATTTTCACCAGTGCAATTGATTCAGCTTAAATTTGAATCTAATCCCCCATTCTCAACTTAATAACACAACATAAACAAAGCAAGTCTCTCAGCCTGGCTACAGGTGCCCACAGCCTGAGTTTTGACAGTGGAGAAGTCAACAGAAAAGAGAGAGAAGGGGAACAGGAATGGATGTGAGCAAACTCTGTTCTATGTACTCAGTTGGCAACAAGGAGTAAGGAGATAAATCAGGTCTTCACAAAAAAAGATGGTTCTCCTCGCAATTTGCCTTTTCCAGTAAAAACATAGCTGCCATAATAATGGAGATGGAAGGAATTTGGTGGAATGAAGCAACCCCTAATACCCTGGCTGAAGTCTCTTTCTTTCTTCTCTTCCCAGATATACCCAGAAAGCGCTGTTCCCGTCCCATCCTACTGATCTATTCTCCTGATTCAGAGGAACACAAGCAGTTGGTCTGTGCCTTCGCTGCTTTGCTGCACTCAGCACTGGGCTGCCCTGTGCTTTTGGACCTCTGGGAGCTGGGCCATGTGGGGAGACTTGGCATTTTGCCCTGGATGTATGCCCAGAGGGAACATGTGGGCCGGGAGCATGGCCAAGTGCTGCTGCTCTGGAGTGCAGGCAGTGCTCATGCCTATGGACTATGGCAAGGGAAGGCAAGCAGAGATGGCGGGAAGGCCCCAGAGTCCCATGACTTGTTTGGGGCAGCAATGGCCTGCTTGCAAGGCGAACTGCAGTGTGCATCCGGGACTGTGCAACAGAGTGACTGGGTGATCGCCTACTTTAGTAAACTGTGTGGCCGGAGGGACATTCCCCATGCCCTGCGCTTTCTTCCCCGCTATCGCCTTCCTCAAGAACTGCCAGGCCTGGTCAGGGTCCTGCAGGGCCCTTCCAGCAGCACACCCAGCTGGCTCCATGCAAGCGCCAAGGCCATGGTGTGCCACCTGCTCAAGGCTGAGAAGAAGAAGGGCCCGCGGAGCCGGCTGTACCAGCCTTGGAGGACAACCACAGAGAAACTTGCTGGTTCCCTTGCCCCACTCACTCATCCCAAATTGTGCAGGCCAAGCTGCACCTGAGTGACCGCTAAGACAAGTCCACCCCCGTGGAACAAGTTTGCGTTATGAAATGGAGCTGCCTCACAAGTTGCTTGCAACCAGGGCAGTTGATAGGGAGGAAGGAGGCCTCAGAAATGCCTGCTTCATTATGGAGCCTAGAAACCCAGGCATTTGCGACCATGCTGGGTCTCTGAGTCCAGTGCCACAAATAGGAAAGGCCAAACTCAGCCAAGTGTCTTCAGGCAAAGACAGAGGCTGCTTCGTTCCCAGCTAGGCCCGTCCTCCCATGGTGGCTGTGGCAACTGTTGCCACGGCGATAACTACAGTGTATTAATGCTAGAAACAAGCAAGAGTAACAGGAAGGTTGACCTCGATGCTGAAAGAAAGCTGTGCAATATTAATACTATACCTGTCACGAGTGGTTCGTGCAACACTCCCTAGCAGTGCCGTCACCTGGAGAGCTGCTTTCTGGGGCACTAATGCAGTTCAGGCACCAGGGAAAGGTCTCACCACCTAATTGGATAATACTTGCATTAGTGGAGGTCAGGCAAGCCATCACTTCAGGGCTGTAGCTGCAGGATGCTCTGTGAGGATGAGGCTGGTCCCCAGAGGATTGTTCTGGGCCCTGTCCAGATTTTCAGCTTTCATTTGGACAAGTGGCTCTCTGGCCCTTTTACTGGCAGAGATAGAAGGTGAAGAGTACGAGCAACATTCAACCCAGTTGTACACTAAACGGTAATAAAATGAAATGGCTGTAAATGTGATTAGGCTATTTGCACTTACGTTCTGGCTATCAACATGCCTCACCATGACCTCTCCTGTCCAAACAGGATCAAAGCTGACATGTCCCTACATACACAGCATAGGCTTATTTTGCTGTGTATATTGAGTAAGCTGCAGGGGATTCTTATACAGGTCCTTTTCAGTTCAGTCTGGAATACTAAAAGTGACTCGTTAAAATAACATTTGGTACAAAGGCTGAAAGCACACTTAGTGTATATACATTGCTGTTCTAATGTCTTTTGCAGTGCATGTGCAGTGCTGGGTTATCTGTTACAGAACTTGTAAAGACTTACACATTTATGGATTATGGCTTTGAAGATAAATGTGAAAACTTGAAGATATTTGAAAAAAAAAAAGGACTATAGTGTTGACTAAATAGTCTGCGTTCTGGTGTGCATATGCCCAACATACACAACAAGGGAAAGTTTTCTTTCAAAAGATTTATTCTCAAGAATAACCACCTACCAATGAATTGTTCCAGATGGCACACCAGAACAGTCCTCAGGTGGCCCATTTATACATTGATCATTAAAGGGCTACATGTAACACAGTTAACACTTTCCAATAGGTTACAGAAGTAAAAAAATAAAATACAATGGCGTGTTCTTTTTCACCTGCATACCAAAGAAGATGCTTCAAAGGAGGGGGAGGATGGGGTGCTATTGCATAGAGAATGGGGTGGGCTGGTATGGATTGCCTCTTGTTTGAGCTGCTGTTAGCTGTCAAGTGCCGAGTAGCTTTTTCTGGAATGGTGCCTGGTCAGTGTCAGCTACCTTTCAAGGATGCACACATGCTAATTTCGAGAAAAGAGAGTTTTTCTTTGACCTGGTAATGTGTCAGTGATTGCCTGATTATACCTACCTACTGATTTGTGCATCAGTAGTGTAAAGGGGACCCCAATCATTCCCTAATGGCTTGGGGAATTTTCTCTGGCCAGCTCCTTTCCCTCTAAGATGCTATTATGCCTCAGGGCCTCTAACCATTTTATAGCAGTAGCAATAATGCTATGAGAAGAAATGAGTTCTTTTCTGAGGTTGGCCTTGACCTCAGGGATACCAGATGTGGCCTGGTGCATCTCATTTTCTTAAAAGTCCTTTCCATGGTACAATTTTAAACTGGAGCAACACATCAGTGTCCTTTCCATGAGCTGCACCCTGCCTCTAAGAATATTTACCCACCAGTACCTACCATTTATTTCAACATGCCTTACTTCCATGCAAATGTCCTTAAGACAGCACTGTAGGTAGCCTTCCCCAACATGGTGCCCTTCACATTTTGGAACTCCTAGCATGCCTGACCACTAGCAGTGCTGGCTAGGACTGATGGGAGTTGAAGTTTACAATATCTGGGATGGCTTCAGATTGGGGAAGGCTCCAGGTGTACATGTGGGGGGATTAATAAAACACGTCATCTTGCTGCTTGACTTTGCCTGCAACCACAGTGGAGCTTGTCAAGCATATGGCAGGTTAGAACACAGGATGGCGGTCTGCTTGCTCCAAAGGTGTACAGTCCTAGGTTACGTTACAGTCCTAAAAATGGTGCAAACCAGATCTCATCAGTTCCCTCTCCCACTTGTTTACCCTTGCAAACACAAATTTGAAACCCCATCAGGGTAACACCTTGACTGTTTTAAATGGAAACGTGGTCAGCAGAAAAACAGTTAAGCATCTTCACCTCCTCCTGCTTGTCGGCTGCTCAGAATCACAGTCTGAACTTTTTTGTTCCTAAAAGAAACCCACTAGGACAGTATTACATTTCCCCTTACCATCGTTTGTCTGCATGAAACCATTGATAAACTACTCGTCTTCAGTAGCCTAGCATGTGGTGAACTTTCAAAACATACATCAGAACTCAATGAAAAATCCAAGCGAGCAGAAGGACAAAATACTCAGATGATCACCAGCATGCCAAGTGGTAAATTTTTCAAATGTCTTTATACTGTTTTTATGCCACTAAATATTAAGAAACATCCCTAAGCAGTTTCCGCATCACACCAAAATCATATTAAAAATGCAAGTTTAAAAACAATGCAATTAACAGTAATGGTACAGAATACCAAGCAGTACAGGAGCAGTAAAATAGGATGGCATGGTTAATTTATATAAACCAGGGGAAGTCTGGGTGAACAAGTGTACATTTTGATAAATTTAACAAGGCTAAATTTTTGCCTCTGTCGAAGAAATTCACAGCAAACTCCAGTGAGTATGAATTTCTGAGAATCTGACATGCAGATTCCAGAGCAGACTAGCTTTTCCTGAGCCAAATTTGACTTGTGGTCTTCCTTAAGAGTGAGTCAGTCATGAAAAAGCCCTTGCTTGTTCATGGATCCAGATGTTGGATCTAGGTGTATTGGATCCAGACATTGTGATTCTGCACTTGTAATAGGGTGATATCCACTCTTGTTGAGGCTTTCCCTTTTGTGCTGCATGTCAAAGATTCTGGTTTCTGCAGCTGGACTCTAGTGAGCTTTAGCTCTGCATGTGGCAAATGCTTGCTTTAGCATCAAATTAGAGTTTTCCAATAATTTCTCTTAGAGTTTGCTGTCTGAAACGCTGATGACAATTTTTTTGTTGAGCATCTGCAGAGGGCCCAATATTCACAGGGCTGAGATTTTTCTCTAAGTTCTGTGACAAAACAATCTGCCTGCTTCCACAAAAATGGCTGAAAAACACAGGGGAGCCTCTGGGAGGATGGCAGTACAGTGGTACCTTGGTTCACGAACGCCTCAGTTCATGACCAAGTCTGGTCGCCAACAGAAATTTCGGGAAATTTTTGCCTTAGGTCATGAACTCCACATCGAATGACGACCATGATCGTGGCCATGTTCCCACACAAACAAGATCGCAATCGCAGCCATCTTCCCTGCTCATGGTCACCTGTGGTCACTTGCTGTGACACTTACTGAATAATGGCTCCAAAGAAAGTGCAGAGTAAGCATGGTGGTAAAAAGAACGTGCAGAGCGGTAATGAAGGTGACAAGAATGTGCAGGTTTTTCGCCAAAATTGACCCTGCAGCTAAGAGACAAAGAAGAGAGGCAACTCCTGAAAGAGATCTCCCCAATGTCCTTATGGAGGGGGACCCTCCCTTCAAACAATAACCTCCCCCCACCTAGGTTAGTGTTCTCTACTGTACTGTACTTTATTACTTTGTTGATCTTTGTTACTTCGTTTCAAATTTTTGTGATTAAAAAAAATATTTACAGAACGGATTAACCTATTCACACTGAACCTTATGGGGAAATTTGACTTGGCTGGCGACCAATTTGGGTCTCTGCCAGAGGTGTGGAACAGATTAAGTTCATGAGCAGGGGTACCACTGCATTGTGTAAAGGACCCCCAAACCTCCCTGAGTGAAGGATTACGGGTACAAAATAAATACCCTGTCTAGAAAAGCTGTCTGCTCTCATTTTCTTTCAAGGTTCTCAGAAGGAGATTTAAAATGCTTTTTTATTTTAAGGCACACACTGGGAAACCAGGTGGCTTTGTGAGGAGAGCGGCCCACTTCTGGCACCAGGCAATAGCCCTTGGCAGCTTTCCTGTGCAGCTGACACAGGAAAGTCCACCCCTGGCCTCACACTTCTGACTCCAGAGCTTCCACAAAACCCTCCTTTTATCAGTAGCCTTATCACAAGGGAGCCACACACCAGACTTTCTGGCTCTGCACAGAAAGAGAAAGGAACTGCCGAAACCTTCTTAAAGGTATACACACCTACACATATCACAGTCTCTACTTTCTTGTTCTTCAACAAGGTTGAATGTAAAGGAAACTGGCATGATCATTCCTTGTGCAATAGCTAGAGATCACTCTATATCTGTTCCCTATCAGTCTTCATGCATTCAGTCATCAGTTCAGTTTCCACTGCGCCACAGTCAGAAAGCAGGTGCTCCTCAGGAAGGAGCAAATAATTTCATTTCAGACCTGTCATGACTCTGAGGATTGGGGGATAGGAACACTGGAGCCCCACAAGATCTGTGTTGAGACCAGATCCTTTTCAATGTTTTGCATACATGATCTGGAATGATGAGCAGCGATGTGGCCAGATTAGTTGATGATACCAAATTAATTAGGATGGCTAAAACAAAAGAGCAAGAGCTCTAAAAGCATCTTCCCAAACTGAAAAAATGGACCTCAAAAGGGCAAACGTGGCTGAATTCAAGCACATGGAAAGTGTTGCACATTGCCTCAGAAAGCTCATTTTCTCATATAGACTGATGAGCTCTGACCTGGCAGTGGTTGAACAAGAAAGAGCTCTTGATTTGTGGTGGGAAGCTTGATAGAGATGTCAATGCAGTGTGCAGCTGTTGTGACATTCCGGTTATTTGAATGGCATGAAGAAGTTTGGAATATAGCTGTTAATGATAAATTGGCGTGCAGGATTAGGGTGAAAAAGGAGTGATAAAGAAGAATGATTTTAATGATATATGGTCAGTTCATATGAAAATGTAAACCAAATTAAGCCCTCCAGAATTCCTAGAATTAATGAGCAACCAGTCGGTGTTGAATTAATGCTTTGAGTATTTGTGCATTTCAAGCAGGTATACTTTGTTTAATTAACTAGAAATCTCCTTCAAGACATTTTGTATATCCATTTTGAGTTGTAGGTCGTGCATTTTGCTATTGGCTTGGCTTCATTATAACATTTGTTTAAGGGCAAACATCTTACTCTTTAAATTGCTTTTTTCCCCTCTGTGTGTCATCTGTGGAACTGATGTCACAACTGTACAAATATTTTGGGTTTCTTCTAGTTGTGAATTCAACTATAAAATAATTGCACCTGTCTTTCAAGCCACTAAGGCTGTGGCTCCCAGCGCTACCGTTAGGCTGCTGCCCCATGAATGTTCGGACAAACAAGCAGCTCCCAGCCTTTCCCTGCCAGCATGGGAACTATAGGACTTTGTGTCCTTCCTAAACTTACCTAGGCCTTGGTCCTTAATTTCTTTGGTTCATGCAATATCAGTTTTTTCACTGAAGTTAATTTTTTATCCCTACTCGGGGACTGAAATATTGATTGAATCGTGAATTCACAACAGCTGTCTTCAGTTCCAGTATAATGGCTACATGTGCAACTGGCCAGATTGACAACATGTGTCTTCTGACATAGGTAGACCATCTCTGCCTGATACACATATTGGCTGTTTGTGGCAGTGAGTTGCCCACTAGGTATTGCCTTTATCCTTTTCTACCCTACTAAAGGTCGGCCCCATGAGTTCTAGGTTGAGATTAAACTTAGGTCTCTGATTAAAAGCTACTGGTTTTTTTAATAGAGCAAGATACTGATAAAGACAAGGTGCAGTGAACACCTTTGTCATCTTTGAATGTAGGATTCTCAAATTCTATAACGATGCCAGATTTGCTTTTTAAGAAATCTGTCAGATCTGAACTTGGCTGTGAACATTTGTTTCCTGTCATTCTCTTAGCCTTTGGAGTCTCCCCTTAAGCAGCCTTCCTGGTATTGTGCGCAGGCTGTTCTGCCTGTCCGGACTCCACACTGACTTCCTGCTACGCCCTCTCCACCTTTCCTCCACTTTGACGTAATTTTTCTTGTAATGGCACAACAGGGAGGGATATTGACTAAGCAATGCCCTGGCAAACAAGTTGTATGGAAGTTCTCTCATCCTCTTTGATGCTCAGGTTCTTACGTCTTCTTGCTTCTGCCTTTGCTCTCAGTCAGCTTGGATCTTTAGCCCTGGCATGCAGACCTCCTGCTAGTTTCTGCAGTAACTTCATGGAAATGCTGGAAAGGAACCAAGTCCCTGGAGGAGAAATTTCGGGAAATGTACCAGCTATTTGACAGCTGTGCTATTGAGGCAGGACCCATTTGTTTTGTGGAAGTGCAGGTTCTGAGATGAAAGAGACAACATCCACCATTCCAGTGATGACTTAAGGAACAGAGCCTTTACCTGGCTCTCTGAAGACCCCAGAGATGTACATATTGACACTGGCACTGGTTCTAGTGTACCTACCTTCTGCCTGCTTTCAGCCAGCGACTTTTCCGGACTCTGTCAACTGCTCACAGGTAGGTACAAGCATTGGTCAGGATGGTTAGAGACAGTCTATTACACTAATCAAGTACCCTTCGTTCAGATAAATTTCCTTTTTTCTCTGTCCTTCTCTGTTGTCTATCTGTGCCTCATCATGTTGTTCCACAAGACGTACAAAGAAATCAATTAAAATTAATTGATTGAATTATCATTCTAATTCTATTCTTATTGCTCATTTCTTAGAAACCTTATCAGGTATAATAAGAATGACACAGAATGTCAGCAACTTGGACTTATCAGTATACAAATCTTGGTATCCCGATGAGGGATTTAAGAGAGCAAAATCCATTTTGCCTAACAAGCATCACATATCTGTCACAAGTGTAAAGCCAAGCCAAAGCAACTCTGAAAAGGGATTTTTCTTGATCTGAAGGGAGTACTAATACCTGACTTGGCCAGGACAACATGTCATTGTAGTAAAACCTCAGTGGGACTGTATTTAATTAAATGAGAGTTAGCTACCTGGAGTCTGTGACTTGTGGCCCTTCAGACATTTTGGAGTTCTACTCTCATTCCTAGTCAGCAGCCGATAGGAAGAATTGTAGGGTGAGGGAAATTGGGAGTCACAATTTCCCCCCACTGCCCTGAATATTTTCTGTCATACTCCTTGTGAAGGTGCTTCAGAAAGAGGGTGGCCAAATTAAGGAGTGAAGGAAATCTGAGTGGATACAGTCATGGATTACAAACTTACCCTATGAAAATTCCCTTTTACACACACACACACACACACACACACACACACACACACACACACATTTATATTTATATTTAGGTATGCAGGAATCCTGTCCTACTTTATTCTGGTCACCCTAATAATAAATTATAGGGGGAAATCTGCCCCATTAGTTTAATCTATTTTTAAAATGTGAAGTTAATTCTACTTAGCATTTCTAATAATGACTGTAGAAGAGATGTGTGCGAGGAGGAGAGAGGGAGTGTGTTATCCTTAGCACTAGCAAACACAGTTCTCCAAGTCGGAGTCATATAGCCAAAATGGCACCAAACATGGACACATTAGTATCCACAAGGGCAGGGGAATTGCAACTTCAAGTACAGGCTGATAAAATTGGAGCTCGCAGTGATGGATCAAGAAAGGGAACTTTGGATTGCGGTGGACAGCTCGATGAAATGTCAATCCAATGCACAACTGCTGTGAACAAGGCAAGCTCCATTTTAAGCAAAATTAGGAATGGAACTGAAAACTGCCAATATCACAGGTCTCACACAAATCTATGGTGTGACTACATTTAATACTGTACTGTATTATGTGCAGTTCTGCTTGCCTCACCTGAGAAAGGACATTATTGAGCTAGAAAAAGTGCAGAAAAGGGCAAAGAAAATGATCATGGGGTTGGAGCAATTCCTCTGTGAAGAACAGTTTAGAATAGCTGGGATTGTTTAGCTTATAAAAAGGCTGATAAGGATAGATACGGTAGAAGGTGAACAGATTTATATGCGGTGTGGAAAAATGGAGAGTGAGCTATTTCTCTCCTGCTCTCCTAATACTAGAACATGGGGTCATCCCATGAAGCTGAATGGTGGAACAGTCTGGACAGATAAAAGGAGGGACTTCTTCACCCAAGGGATTCACTTCCGCAAGACGTAGTGACAGCCACCCATTTGGACAAATTCTTGGAGGAGACCAGTATCAGAGGCAGGATGCCCAGGTGCACCAGTTGCTGGGAGCCTGGGGCAGGAGGCAGCTGTGGGATACTGTGGGCAGCTGGTCTGCCACCAGTGTGAATGGAATGCTGAACCAGATGGGCCACTGGTCTCATTCAGCATGGCTTTTCTTGTGTTCTTATTTTGTTATGTTTTAAGGGGGAAAAAACAAACTTTAGGTATAGGTGAGGAAAACCTTCCAATAGCAGTCCAGTAGGCACAGAATGCTGGCTGAGTGTTCTAAGAGAAGGTGATTAGCGGGGAAATGGAATGGCGTGTCCCAAAAAAGGTCATGGCTGGTTAGCTGGAATACTGAAGAGGAGCACTTGCACTGCAACATTTTGTGGCAGATCTCATTTCCTCTCAATTAGTTCACATGTTGCTCAAGTGTGGGTTTATGCATGTTTTGTTTATGCATGTGGCATGTAGGTCATAGATTCAGTGAAGGTGTGTGTGCCTAGACCTCTTAGAAGAAAAGGCCTCATGGAAGACTTCATACACAGATGGCCTACACTGCCCTTCCCCTTTGCCCGACACATACACACTATGTATGTATGTATGTATTTTCATTTTTATACCACCCAATAGCCAAGGCTCTCAGTAGCTCACTTAGCTGTTACCCCCTAAACAAAACCCTACAATCCATTGTTTTGTAGGTTTCTGGAAACTCGGGTAAATAGGATGTTGGGCATGTATCCACCTGAGATGCCAGTTAGCCATTGTACTGTTTAAACTGGGGCCCTTGTATTGCTTGTGTTTTCTTTCCTTGCTCACTTTGCTCACTGAAATCTGTGCCTAATCTGAAGGCTGCTGTGGAAACGAAAGGGTGCTCTGGTTTCCAAGAAGGGAAGCAAAAGGACTGCCAGTTCTGCATGGTATTGGGAGGGCCTCTTAGGCTCTAGTTTGTTTAGTGACGGCCACAGCCCTTTGCCCTGGCAACACCGAGGTGTTTTGGAGCTTGTGTCCAAATAGATAGTGCAGGCACAGGAATACAAGGTCACACAGTATCCTAGAAGGGGCTAGTTTGGTTCTGTTTATAATGTGGCTGCCTTCCCACCCCTGTTCATGTGCCTTTTATAACATCCTGCCTGATACCTACCTCTTATCCTTATGCAAGAAAAGCTTTGGCTGCTGATGTGCCAGATTGCTGATAAAGGCATGGGAGCAGGGCCAGAAAAGAAGGTAGCAACCCTAAGTACCAGGCCAAGGACCAATTCCTTGCTTGGATGCTGGGGGAGGTGAGATACTCTCCACCACTGAGAAACTACTACCACCACCACCACCACCACCATGAGTATTACTCCTACACCCCCTATCTTTCTTGATGCAGAAGTATTTAAAGATTGCCCTCCTTCACTTGGAACTCCTCTTCCTCCCTCTCTTGTCTTTCCCTGTGTCAAAGTTCAGATTGGAAGCTCTGCGTGTGCGGGGAACAGGGAGGTGGAGGGCATATTTATCAATAACGTTGCATCTCCATACCAACAGCTCCAGGACAGACCAAAAATCCAGACAGTTGTGTAGATACACACATGCATAACACGTACACACAAGCAGCAGTAGACATTACAGCACCAAATTCGTTAGGATCAGCTGACCGTCGCATAACAGTGAGAGGTGCCAGTGGAGACTGGGCTAGTTAGCATTTGGGGCTTTGGCTGGGGAGACCTGGGTGCACATCCCTGACCCCCCATTCAGCTGAGAAGGTGACCCTGGGCCAGTCACTGTCTGAACCTAGCCAGTCACCAGGTTGTTATGGCAACAAAGTGTGGGCTTGCAGCCCACATGCAGATATTCCACTCTGTACTCAGGGGGTGAAAGGAAGGACATATGGGGAGGAACAGGGACGCTGGGTAGAGCACAGGCTGCCAGCTACGGTGCCGGTGAGAGTGAATTTGCACAGTGTAGTATAGTTTTTCAGATTTCTTTTGCTTTCCAACGTAATGTCAATGTCAAGGTGGGCAACATGTGGTCATCTAGATGTTTTGGCCTGCAACTCCCAAAGGACCTAGACAACATAGTCTGTGGTGAGGGATCATAGGAGCTGTAGGCCAAAACATCCGGAAGGCCACAAGGTGCTTACCTTGGCATGAGAGTAAAACTAGACACTTTATTATTTTACACAGTAAACCCAGAAAAGGCTCTTGCCAGGGCCTTACATGAATAAATACATAATATAGATCACAATTCTCAGTGAACTCAGCACAAACCAACTTTACTGATTCCTTCTGAACAGCAGACAGACCCAAACACCAGAAACACACGGAAACCCAGAGAAGCTGTTGTATTCACACTCCATGACAAAAAGGACACACCTGGAGGAGGGGGGCAGACTCTGGCAATGCATTAACCGAGTCTGCAGCTGATGATCAAGCACATTAGGAGACGCTGCCCCACTTCAGTCCTCCTGTGGCTGTTGCATGCGGCACCGTGAGAGCACCAAGGCTCCCCTCTCCTTGCTGCAGTTCCTTCTCCTGTTGAACTTTTTGTGTGCTTATGTGTGGGTGGGAGACAGGTTGGTTGTTGGTGACAGATTATTGATCTTACCATGTGTCGTTGGCCCCCTTGGCCCTCCCACAAGTGTCCCAGGAGACAAGGCAGCAGAACAACTTGTATCGTCCACCCTGCTGCAAGCATGAGCTGTTTTGGGCTCCCTGGCTTTTTAATTTTAACTTCAAGCATTTCTTTTCTTGAGGTCACAAGAGACTGCTGTGAAGACAGATTTTGTGATCCTCATTTGAGCAGCTATGGGAAGTCTCTTTCGAGTTCACCAGCAGCCCTTTGGAAGTTACTAAACTTTTTTTTTTTAAGTTTGGGCGCTTTTCAGATAGTTGGCAGTCGCTGCTCAGGAGCCACTTAAGAGTGGCTAGGAGTTTTGCCATTCCTGCCAAATAAGTTTGGTACCCGGTTTCCAACACCCACAGCTGGCCTGGTCTCTTGGGTTCAGCCAACATGATTGCCCATCATGGGCACAACAACCCCTACTCAAAAAAGCCCCCTCTGGGAGCCAGTTTAGGTGTGCACAGCATGATGCCCTGCCATCAGAAGGAGCCCACAATGGGCTGTTGTGTCTTGAGAACTGATATGATCAGGAACAGTGACTGATACGAGGGAACAGGCACAGATGCTAAATGACTATTGTGCCTCTGTGTTCTCCCCAAAGCAGGACGGGGGATATCCGCATAGGGGATTAGATGAGGCTGGGGACTTAGGGGCACAGATTAGTCACTCCCCTTGAAGTCGAGGGGCTCCTCAGGGCATTGGACATTACAAAGGCGCCAGGCCCTGACGGGTTACGCCCGAGAGTACTTAGAGAGTTGGCAGGGGTTCTCTCACGCCCGCTGGCCTCCATTTTTGAGACCTTGTGGAGAACGGGTGAAGTTCCAGAGGACTGGAGGGTGGCATCAGTGGTTCCAATTTTCAAAAAGGGTAGTAGAAAGGACATGGGGAATTATAGACCAGTTAGCCTTAATGGAAAGGCTCATAATAGAGAGAGATCTAGTGATGCTAGATAGGGAAGGGAGGCTGACAGCCACACAACATGGCTTCCGCAAAAACAGGTCCTGCCAGACAAACCTTGTAGAATTCTATGACAAGGTTTCGAGATGGCTAGATGGAGGGGATGCAGTGGATGTGGTATACCTGGATTTCAGCAAGGCCTTTGACAAAGTGCCCCATGATATCCTGGTGGAGAAACTGAGGAGTTTTGAGATACACCAAAGCACTGTCCGGTGGATTAGGGCATGGTTGACTGACCGAAAGCAGAAGGTAGCCATTAGCGGGGAATCATCGGGATGGCGGCCAGTGACAAGCGGGGTCCCCCAGGGCTCTGTCCTGGGACCGATCCTGTTTAATCTTTTCATTAATGACATGGAAGAAGGGGTGAACAGTCTGCTGATCAAATTCGCAGACAACACTAAAACTGGAGCAGTGGCCACAACTGAGGAGCAGGTACTCCAGATCCAAAAGGATCTGGACAGACTATGGAAGTGGGCAGGAGACAACAGGATGGAGTTCAATGTGGATAAGTGCAAGGTCTTGCACTTGGGGCATAGGAATAGGTGCCATAAGTACAGGTTAGGTGACAAGTGGCTGGAGAGCAGCACTAGTGAAAGGGACCTCGGGGTGCTGGTTGACTGCAGGCCAAACATGAGTCAGCAGTGTGATGCGGTGGTCAAGAGGGCGAACGCCACCCTTGGTTGCATAGCCAGAAGTGTGGCTTCTAGACCAAGGGAGGTATTACTACCACTCTACACGACTCTGGTGCGTCCGAGTATTGTGTTCAGTTTTGGGCCCCTCATTACAGAAAGGATATAGCCAGGTTGGAGCCAGTGCAGCATAGGGCCACAAGGTTGGTGGCCGGTTTGCAGGGGATGCCGTATGAGGCGAGACTGAGGGAACTGGGTCTCTTCAGCCTGGAGAAGAGGAGACTCAGAGGGGATCTGTTGGCGACATACAGGTATGTGAGGGGATGTCACATGGAGATGGGTAGAGACCTGTTCTCCCCTGCAGAGGAAGGCAGGATGCGCTCCAACAGAGCAAAGCTCAGGGAACCCAGGTTCCATTTGGATGCCAGGAAGCACTTCCTGACAGTCAGGACCTCGAGGGTGTGGAATGGGCTTCCACGGGAGGTCGTTGAGGCCCCATCGGTGCGGGTGTTCAAGGATAGGCTGGACGTCCACATGGTGGGCATGTTGTGAGCGGAGCCGGCTGGTGCCGAAGGTCAGACTAGATGGCCTGGGAGGCCGCTTCTGTTTTCTATGTTTCTATGAGAACCCAGTCAAAGCATCCTCAAAAAGCAGATGATCACCAGCTCAAGGTGTTCTAGCAGATTATTTTCCCAGCAACGAGAACTATGTTACTTCAGAGTCAATAAACCAGTTCTTCCACTGTTAATATTTACAAAGAACAAGTCTTTTGTAGAGCTAGTGGGTATTAATTGTCCATTCAAGGCCAGGCCAACTGAAAATAAGACTGCATTACAACAAAGGTGTCTCATGGCAATATATTGTTTGTGGCTCAGAAAATCCATTCTGCACTCCTAGCTACTGCAGGGCTTGTAACTCCATTCAGAAGGACAAGGAAAGTCTGAGCAGGTGACAGATGATTTCTTCACAGAAAATTCAGAGTGCTTTGACCCTGGGAGCCCTGACTCCACTTCAACACCCAATACAGGATGTCTTCTGTTTTAGGTACCAATTTGGTACACACAAAATTCTGGCACAGACCCTGAGAAGGAATTTTATTCAATCTCAGTGTAGCTGGGTGCTCAGTGGGGGTGAAGGGAAGGGGCTTTTTCCTGACTATCCCCTTTCTAATTTCTAAATCTGTCCCTTCTCTGTCCTTCCACAGGGACTAGGCTGCCGATTCTTGGGTAAGTGTTAGCTCTGCTTTGCTTGTGTTCCAGCCACATAGTCCTGTTCAATAGGCTTTATTAGATTATGGTAATAGCCCAGCCCAGCATGAAGACTGCAGTCTAACAGGCTTGTCTTAAAACAAATCAGGCGGGGTTATTTTGCTGTGTGAACTGTTTGATTGTTGCTAGGTTGCTTTGTTTTTAATGCATGCCATCAATACCTAGTACATAGGCAAATCATCGATAGACTGGTTCAGTGACATCATTCCTAAGGTGTTAAAGGTCTCTACAGCAGTATTCCTTTTTCTGGGAAAGAGGAGAGTAATTGGATGGAGATTAGTATTAAAAAGCTATCTTTGGGCTACCTCTAAATTCTTGTGGTCTGATGCAAAACCTCCTCATTTGCAAAACCCTAAATGTCATACTGTAGTACCAGTCCTCAGGCATGAACTATACATCATGAAGTGCCAATGTACAGATGTGAAGGGTGCATAATTCTGAGGTTTGCCTCCTTTATACTTTATACCTCCTTTATACCTTTATACCTAATACCAGGATGTTCCTTGTTGGGAAAATTCAGATAAATCCTGATAGAAAAACGTTGCTTATATGTGCCTTTGTGTTATAAAATCAAACCTGCACTGCTTTCGCAGAAAGCACCCCAATTCCAAGCCAAGTTACTGTTTAGCATTTGCTGTAACTTTGAGAAGTGGGACTTGATGGCTTCCCCAAGAAGCTGTCAGGTCTATTCTTTTGATCAGTAAGTGGGCTAAACTGCTGTGCTGCTGGGCTGGTTGATCGGAAGGTCGCCGGTTCGAATCTGCACAATGGGGTGAGTCCCCGTTGCTCCATCCCAGCCCCTACCAACCTTCCAGTTCGGAAGCATGCACATGCAAGTAGATGAAAAGGTGCCACTTCAGTGGGCAGGTAACAGCGTTCCGTGCACTTCGGTGTTTCGTCATGCCGGCCACGTGACCACGGAGATTGTCTGCGGACAAGCGCTGGCTCCCTCGGCTGGGAAACAGAGATGAGCACCACCCCCTGGAGTCAGACTTGAATGTCATGGGGAAACCTTTACCTTGTTTAAAGAACTGATACATCTGCCAGATGAACAGCATTGTAGTCACCCTCATTTGCATGCCAAGGCCCAAAATAATCCCTGTGCCTCAGTGATCCTTATGTTAATCTCCTGCAATCAAATGCCATTGTACTGAGCCCCCTTTGCAGACGTTTCACCTTCTTCCGAATGTGTTCACCTTACTTTGTCATCAGCTGCCCAGCTGCTGGGCCCACCTGGCTCAGGTTCTGTCAGACAGGTTCTAAAAGCTTGCCGTTGCCCTGGAGAGCGCGACCAGGCAGCATGCTGCCGTAAGCAACTCAGGGGTCCCGGCCGTTCTATTAATAAATTCCGGAGGCTCCAGAAAATCCAACCTTCCCTACGAACCTGTTTATTTTTTGTTCTTGCTGTCTATATTGAGGAATGGAGGAATGTTGTCCATGGGGTCATGATGGGTCAGGCACGACTTTGTGACTGAACAACAACAAAAAATCGATATGAGCCCCAGCATCCTTCAATAAGCACAAGACTTTCTTAACCAGCTGAGAGAATCACGTGTGAATTCTTGCTTTCTGAATGGTAATTGTGTATTCTCCCTCTTTCCTCCCAGGACGGGATGTACTGTGCACCCCTGGGGAAGCGTCACCAGATCCAAAGCTATATCCAGTCCTGGTGCTGACCCAGAAAACCAGGAACAAACTCCGATGCCGGCAGCATCAAGACTGTACCCCCTGTGTGCACGTGATGCTGCAGCTTGGCCTCACGGGTGAGAAAGACGGTGCAGGAGTCGCTGCTTGAAGGCTGGGCTTGCCATGCCACCACTCTTCCCATCTGAGTTTGGCCCCTGACTTCAGCATGTCTCTGTGTCACTTTAGGTCTGGTTTTTCAGTCTAGGGCACATGTGAAGAACCCGCAGCCTATGCAGTCCTTGATCTGGATTCAAACCCTGCCTGTAATGCCTCTTCTTCCATATGGTGAAATTAATCTGCTTAAATAATGCTTCATCATCGCCTTTTGTTTTCTTGTAGGGCCACCCGCTCTGGGTACAAGCCAAGAACTGCATGGTGACACTGAAGGTGAGCTGGAAGAGAATTGTCTCCAGAAGCCCCTGCCTACCAGTCAAAAATCTCCCTCCTGACACTGCTATCCCTCACTCTTTCTATCCTCAGAACTCCTGCAAATGCATGTATTTCTCTCAGTCCAGACCCACCATTCCTCCAACTGTTTAGCAGTGGAAATTTGGCTCCCCCATCGTCATGACTGGCAAACTAGAAACCTGGTAAGTTGCCTGCAGTGGTAGACGAACGCCAGGTAAGAAAATAACAGCTGCCCTGGGCGGATGCGAAGAAGTGGTGGTACCCCCTCTTCACCATTTCCCCTGGCCATCCATCTCTTGCCATTTGCCGGCTTTTCTTGGCCACCCTCTGGGTGTGACCTCTTACGCCAGGTTGCACGGAGGCCACACCCCAGCAGGCAGCCCACAGACAGCTTCCAGTTCTCCTTCGCCCGGCTCTTTGCAACTGTTGTCTCTATTCACCCGTCCTCTGGCAGTACGAGCAGCGACCAGTGCTAGAAAGAGGAAGAACAGTCTTTGCTCCTTTGGCTGCTTTTCTAGGTGGTCACAGCCGCTGGGCCTAGTCAATGCCAGCTCCGCTCTAGCTTTTGGAGGGCCCTCAAAGGCAAGGCCACCTCCATGGGCTCCCCTCCTTCAGTGAGGTGACTTTCTCACAGCCACTGTCACCAGCTCCTGTTGAGCCTTGTTGGTCTTCTCACTGCCATCCCTTGCTTGCTGGACTGGCTGGGAGCAGTGAGCAAGCAGGCAAGCCCATCTCCTGCCACTCCTGCTCACCACCATCATTGCCTGGGCCAGGGTAAAAGGCAGGTGAAGAAGCAGGTTGAAATGGGGAGGAGAGGGAAGAACTCCGGAAGATTGTGGTCAGCAGGCTCTTGCTGGGATGTGGGTCCTTGGCAAGTGCCCAGTGATGCCTACCCTTGACACCAGCCCGGAGCCTAAAGGAGGAAGGGAAGTGAATTGGCAGCCATGACAGTGCTGAGGAGGTTGACTTGATGGCCACCAAACACTTGATCATCATCCTCATTAGTAGCAAACATTCTGAGAAAACCAAAATACCACAGGAAGAACAAGTTAGTCGATGAGAACTGCAATCCTTTTTTATACATATGCACAGAAGTTAATTTCCTTAGCACAAAAATCAGATGTGGAGAGAGCCTAGAGCCCTGCCAGTTCTACTGGCACTGAGAGTCAGTGTGTGGTGTTGGGTTAAAAGTGTTGGACTGGGACTTGGGAGGTCCAGGTTCTAGTCCCTGCTCAGCCATGGAGCTCACTGGGTGACTTTGGGCCACTCACTGACTCACAACCTAACCTACGTCACAGGGTTGTTGTTATGAGGATAAAATGGAGCTTGAAAGCTGCCTTGCCTTCCTTGCAAGAGGAAGAAAAGCAGGATATAAACGCAATGTCATAATAATGACACATGCTATTTATTTATTTATTAGACTTGCATTCCACACTAGGCAATTATTTACGGCTTCCTTTTATACTAGCACATTCCCCTGGAATATCCACCCTTTTATTGACTCACACTGTGATTCTCTGGAGCCATTTCACTACTGTTTTTAAAATGTTTCTGGTTTTTGGTTTTTTGCTTCCTTAAGGTGAAGAATAGGCAGAAGGACTTAGGTTCTTTAAGAAAGGAAACCAAAGACAGGCAGCCTGCTTGAAGGCAAAGCATGAGGGAAAGGGCAAGAGCAGACACTTCGTTCGCTGTTGTGCATCTGTGCCAGAAAAAGGAGCTGTGGCTCAAGCGGCGGAGCCCATCCTGCGCATGCAGAATGCCCCCGGTTCAGTCCTGTGCATAATCAGGCAGGGCTAGGAAAGAAGCCTTCCTAAAAACCTTACAGAGCTGCTGCCCGTTGGTGTTGATAGTACTGGACTGGATACACCCATGTATGACTCAGTAGAAGGCCACCTCCTCTGTTTGGAGACAAACTGCATAGCTGGAGCCACACTGTGGGTTAAAAGTCGCTGTGGCTCTTACTTAAACCAGCCTACCCTAACCTGTCATCCTCCAGATGTGATAGCCATGCTGGCTGGCAAGGATGGCGGTCGTAGTCCCACACACCTGCAAGTGCCAGGCGGGGGAACGAGAGAGAGTCCCACAGACCTTTGACAGTCCTGTCTCCTTCCCTCCCTCCCTCCCTCCCTCCCTCGCAGGGCTCCCTCCACTTCGACTGCTTCCCGGTTGCTATTGGTGGGGAGCTGCATTTCGCTGCCTTCACCTTGCCCCGCTACACCTCTGCAGATGTGATCCGTTTCACACACCACGGGCCAGGTGAGCTCCACTTAGGCTTACAGAGATGAGAAGCCAAGTGAATCGAATTCTTTGCTGTTGTGTGATCATTCCTTTCCTGTTCGCTGCTTACCTGTGCTTTCTTCTCACAGACTGTACCTGGCACAAAGCTAAAAATGCAGTTCGCCTTTGCCAAGGTATGTTGCAATGGCACTGGTTTTCTTGTTAATATGCTGCTTCCTTGACATGAGCATGAACAGGGGCTGTGCAAACTCTGCAGCAGCCCATGCAATCAATATCTTTAGTTTCAGGACATTCCCATGAATCAATGCTTTGTTATAACAACTCAGAGTCCCACCTAGGCCAGCCAGATGCCCCCAGGTGGTTCAGAAACAGGGCTTGATGGGAGAAACACTGGCTCCTTTTCATATTATCAGTGCGGAGAATTTTGGCTTACTGTATGCGCTGCTTGATCACTGGGCTTCTTCTACCAGTGGGAGTGACTAAACTGGAGATTTATGTGGGTCTTTTTTACTGTAAGATCCACCTGCGACCTCCAGCTTGTTGCTTTCCTATTAAACTGGAATCTTAAATCAGGAAAAATGTCCATGGGCAGGAGGAGCCTCATGGGAGCTGTTGAGCTGCATGAGCTGGAGATGTTCACTCATTTCGTGGTGAGTCCAAATTGTGGGATCAAACACGGGACTGGGAGAGCCTCAAGGTTTCTCTTGTCAAGCTTTCTGTCTTCCTGTGCTTTGAGTGCAAGCACTTGTACTCTGCTATATTAACCCTTATTATCACCTCATTGTTCAGTTGTTATTAATCAGGGTTAGGATTACTAACCCTGCAGGTGCAGGTGTGGGATCTGTTGCAGAATTTGGCATTGTGTGAATCCCAGCTTTCATTCTTAAGCAACAAGTGCCCCATTCTTGTATGCAGACATTGGAAGTGTGTAATGGTGTCTGAGTCTCATGAACTCTCAGAAATTAAGTGAAGTTTTGCAGAGGCCCTAATCTGTATAATGTATTTTATTAGTGTGATTTGGGAGTCCTTGGCTGCAGAGCATAAATAGTTCTCGTTATCATATAGAGTAAGAATGAATTCTGTGAACTATGGCGGAGGTGCCTGGGCACAGAAGACGTGTAATAAAGAGGCTACAGGAAAAATGTCACCAGATGGATTTGTCTAAGTCAGTTAGTTTGCTTCTGTACTGCCCAATAGCCAAGATCTCTGAGTGGTGAACAACATAACATGCAATATAGATTTATTGCTTTAATTGCATTAAAATTAAAGCCATATTGAAACCCACATTTTTTCAGCTAAGCAGCTAAACCAGACTATACTGCTAGGCCTGCAGAAAAATGGCTGGCAATACCTTCTCCCCCACCACTGCAAAGCACTATTTAGAGTTGGTAAATTCCGCAGCAAAGAGGAAGGTCTTAATCTGTTGCCAAGAAGATAATACAGTTGGTGTCAAGCAGATCTCATGGGGAGATGGTTCCATAATTTGGGGACCAGCACAGAAAAGGCCCTTTTCCTTGTTGCCAGCAGCTGAACCTCCCTTGCAGGTGGCATTTGGAATAAGGTCTCGGATGCTGAGCACAGTGTTGAGCTGCATTCTGGTTGGAAGAGACATTCCATCAGGTATTGTGGTCCCAAGTCATGGGGGATATGATATTTTAAGAGCGATCATATCTATTTTTTGCCTGTTATGTGATCCGGGAAAGCAGTGCAGGAGACAGCTTTATACCATCTCATAGCATTTATCCATCTAGCTCCAGAAGCAGGGGCTAATTGTTAATTGTGCGCTAATTGCTTGGGAATGTGGGCAGGAGAGTGTCATTGCACTTGCAAACAGCTTGCAGGACCCTGTGGCCGCTGTCTGGACAGAACACTCACCTTTGGTCTCATCCAGCATGGTTCTTCTTACGTTCTATGCTTCGCACACTGATTGCTGATGGATCTCCAAGGTTTCAGAAAGGGGTCTTTCCCAGCCCTCCCTACCTGAGCATACCAGGGATCGGACCTGGATCCTTGTACAGGTGAAACATGCAGTCCACCGCTGTGCTATAACCCTTCCCCATTCATACTTCCATCCTTAATTCTGTGGATTCTTAAAACAAATGAAGAAGCAAATACTTAAAAACACCCCTAGCACCGCTCAGAGGATAAGGTGGGGTGAAAGTTGTGTTTATGATACACGGTGCTCGCCAATAGTTCCTTGCACAGCTGCCATTTCCCTGGTTGTTCAGTTGGCTGGCAATGGCCACGTTCCAATCAAACGGAGTCATGCTTGTGCTGGAAGACTTGTGCAGCTGTGAATGCGTGTGGAACATCAGCAATAATCTTTTTGCTGCAGTGCCCAATCTGGAGGTCTCTGTGGATTTGGAGAAGGCTGTGCTGCATGTGCGGGATGTCCCTGAAGGACAGCATTTCAACCTCTGGTTGTATCTGAACCGGACAGGCAGATTTGAAGGGTTGGGCAAGGACAACCTCAAGTTACTGGTGAGTAAAGAACCCTCCTTGACATTTTTCTGCTTTACTCATTAACAATCTGGGCTGAGCTGAAAACAACAGAATGAAATTTAGTTGGAACAAACGCCAAGTTCTGCACCTAGGAAAAAGAAACCAAATGTATCGTTACAAGGTGGGGAATACTTGGCTCAACCATGCTGCAAATGAGGACTTTGGAATTATTGTAGATCATAAGCTGAATATGAGTAAACAATGCGATGTGGCGACAAAAAGGGGAAATGCCATTTTAGACTGCATTATTTTATTTATTTAAAACATTTATATGCCATCCTTCACTATCGCGTCTCAGGACGGCTTGCAAGATTAAAACCAATAGACATAAAAACAATCAATAAAACAGTACAATAAAATTACTATAAACCAATACAGATAAATCAAATCAAAAGCAACTGTGAACCACTAAAAATGCTAATTTTTAAAATAATGATTAAATAAAAAGGTTTTATTTAGGGTTCAAATTTATTTTATTTGGAAGTATCATTTCCAAATCCCTGGAAGAACTAGTTCCCCTTTACTCAGCACTGGTTGGGCCTCATCTTAGGTCCAGTTCTAGGCACCACAGCTGAAGACAGATGCAGACAAGCTGGAAAGGGTTCAGAGGACGGCAAGAAGGATGATCTGGGAGCTGGAAACAAAGCTCTGAGAGGAGAGATTGAAATAACGAGGCACGTTTAGCCTTGAGAACAGAACATGGAGGTTCCGTTCTCAAGGAGCTCTCATGGAGCTATGATAGCACTCTTCAGGTCCTTACAGGCTGTCACAAGTGAAAGGCCAGGATCTCTTCTCAATCCACCCAGGACATGGAGTAACATGGGTGGAAGGGTGCTGCTGCCCTTATGTCCTGCTTGTGGGTTTACTGCAAGCAGATGCTTGGCCACTGTGTAAACACGATGTTGCACTAGACAGAGCTTTGCTTGATCCAGCGTGGCTCATCTTTTATTCTTATGGGGTGGTGATAGCTGTCCTCTTTCAGATACACAGTAATTCTCTACAATCAAAGCTGCTGTTTTTGCACAACACCCATCAAATCGTGCTCATCCCGAGGTGACTTGGTTTTCTCTTCTAGCTGCATTTCTTATTTGCACGCAAGTAAAGAACTAGGAACTAGAAATCAAATGCACCATCATTTATCATAATGCATAAATACATGTGCTGATTGTTTACTGAAGGAGAGAGGTAGCAAGATGTCTTTAAAAATGAGTCATTTAAGAACAGAATCCTATGCATTTTTAGATAAAAAGAAGGCCATACAACTCTGAACCTGCCCTAGCCAGCATGAAGGGCTGGGGCATGCTGGAACTTCTGACTGTTCCCATCTAGACATGACTAAAATGTGCCTTAAAAAGCAAAAACTAGGAAGCTTCCAGAAGAGGAACTTATGGCACCATCATTCTACTTCATTTTACCCAGATTGCAGAAAATGATGGCCTTCGAACATAATTCTTCCATGTTTTCCGACATTCTTTTTACTTATTCCTGAAAATTGCAGGAAAGGAACTAAATGTGGAATTGCTGCACAATGCCTTCTGGCAGTCTCCTCCTGGGCTTGGCTTCCTCAAATCTAAAAGGGGGTATATGCAGTCACATCCAACCCAATTCTGTTAGTAGACCTTTTTTCCCTACCTATTCTTACTCTCTGTATTTCCCTTTCTTTCGTTTTAGACTGGACCAGAGAATATGACTATACCGATCTCCCAGGTGTTTCCTTGCCTCTGCCTACAGGTAAAGATGTAAGACACTTCACAGGGTCTTGCACTGCTTTCCTTCCCCATGACCTCTGACCACAACTGTTTCCAGGTGAGTCTTTGATTCTGCAAGTAGCCGTCTTCATACATGCATTCTACAGAGGGTCCAGAGGGCAAGGTCTTCTAGTCATAAGAATTCCGTGTTTTCCACCACTGCTTCTGTCCTCTTCTTTAGTGCTTGAAAATCTATTAAGGAGGAAAAGGAAGAATTGCCTTCAGAGTGGTAGTGCTAGACCTCCACCCACTTTCCACATTTCAGTGTACCCAGTTGGGTGCAAACAGCCAACGGTGCAGTTAGGACTAGACGGGGCTGCAGCCTAGGGCCCCACAGCACCTGATCCTGCCAAATAGCCCCTCAGAGATCAGCATGTGCAAAAGCAAAGTTAGCTTTAGGCCTACAGTCATGGCAATGATATCCTTAAGTGAGCTTAAAATGCAAAATTGCACACATTCAGGGTTTGTTTGATTGTTTTTTTAAATCAGGATTAGCAAACAGTTGCATTTATTTATCATTATTTACATAAAATATTTTAATCTTGCTCCTTAGGCAAAATTGGCTTTTGGTGTGGAATCAGTGAAATAGGACAGTTCTTGTCTGTAATCTTACAATCCAAAAATACATAGCACACAAAGAAAAGACGATGGGGAGGGAGAAGGAAAGCAAGTTAAAGGTGCGATTGTATGCAAGAAGAGCTGCAGCAGCCTACAGTTCCAAGTGTACCCTGGCCAGCCACCGCAGTGGTGGTTGTGCTGGAGTCGTGGTGCTTTTCCTCTCTGAACTTGCCGAGGATTGTGCCCTAACTTGATCGCTTTTGTTCTAACATACCAGGACTGTAGAAGCAGTTTCTGAAGTCTTGAATGGCAGTTGAGGGGTGAGAAGAGAGAGATGTAGGTTGTGTGCTTCACACAACGTAACTCACATAGTCATCAACCCCCCACCCCAAAAAACCCCCTCTTAAGTCCAGAATCTGAAATTACCTTGCTGCACCACTTAATTCAGTTCATAGATATCTGTATTAGTCCTCTGCACTGGACTAGATCAAGTTTCTATCCCTCATTTTGTCCCCCAAGACCAGTAGAGGGCTTTGTAGTTCTCTTTGTTTCTCTGCTCACCATCTCTACCTCTTATTTTACTGAATATTGTGTTTCTAGGTCTGGCCCAATGTTAAAGACCAAGATCTATCATCACGAACTCACCTGTGCCCCTTTGCAAATGGTATGAAAAGCATGTATTTATTCATTCCTTTTCCTAGCTCTCAAGGTGCACGGAACACTAAATTAAAAGCCAAATTGGATTCTGCTTTTTTTAAAAGCCAGAATCATAGTACTGATCTGGGATGCCTGCATAGTGGGGGGGGGGGGGGGGGGGGGTTCCTGGAGTGTCCACTGTGGGAGAGCAGGCTGGGAGCTGTGCCTTCAGATACTGCACCTGGAGGGAGCACTTGCCGTGAACTCTTTTCAGAGGACATGAGGGTTGTGTGCTTTGTTGCAAAGACCAGATTCCTGTTTCAGACACTGAAGCTTTGACCAGGGCCTGGGCTAAGAGCCACTTGGAAGTTAAAGCCTTCGAAGAGACAGTGAGCGGCTCTCTCGCTGGACCATGTGACCTTCCAGGGGAGATGGTCCCCTGCTGGAGGGGGGAACTGCTTGCCTGCCATCCCTTGCACCCCCAGCTGCACCTGGCCCTTACTCCACGTGTGAGTAGGAACAACAGATGCAAGGAGGGTGGGGAAGAGACGTGGATGCAGTAACAAGGATCTTGTTAGCTGAGGACTAGAACCATGATAAGCCTTCAAAACTAAGGATCAACTTGATTTTTTTCTTTCTAGACTTGTAGGAACCAGTATCAATAAAAGTATCTTCTGTAGCAGCCCAAGAATTGAATTCAGTCTTAGAGAAACTCCTCAGGCTGCATTCTGGTAGTAGGTGAAGCTGAGGCAAAATGAGACCAACCAATATTTTTAAAAAGGCTGCCATATTTAGGTTAAAGCTCTTATTGCCAGTAATTAAGTTTTTGGAGAGGCATTGCATCCTTTTAGAATGGAATGTGTATGTCTGTATATGTGCAAAGTCCCCAAATGATTGCTGGTTAGTGGGAGGGAGACCATGGGAAGAGGGCTTTGTCCTCTGGACCCAAGCAGGGCTGGACTTTTCCTGCAGGCCTGAGGTGTTGCATTCTTCTTCTCCTCTGGAAATGTGGAAATCAGGTGACCGTTCCCATGTGTCATGGGACTGTGTCGAGCTGGAATAAGAAACAGCCCTTTAAAACCAAGCATCTTTGCACCTGACAACGCAGAGCCAGTGTGGAGCAGTGGTGTAAGAGCGTACGATGGCAGCGGATCCGGGTCCTCATCTCCACTGGGCCATGAAGCTTCCTGAGCATCTGGCTCTGAGGCAAAGCTGGCGTGCAGGGTCTTTGCACGTGCAAAAACAGAGAGGAAGAGGGCCACGTGAGCTGCATTAGTCTGCTTGCAAGAGAAAAAAAGCTGGGCTATAAATGCAATAAGGACATAGCATAAATAAGCCCCAACCGTGGGCTGCAAGGGGAGGGGGAACTCAGATCAAATCGCGTTCAGTCACGGGAGCAGTTCGCAGTCTGTGAGGGGGCAGGCGCGGGCACGGGCCAAGTCAACCTTGAGCTGAAGCCCTCCTGCTTGCCTGTAACACGGCCTTTCCACACCCCTAGGTGCCACAGGAATTCCCGCGTCTGAGGCCGCACCCCAACCTGTGTGTGCAGGTAGGAGCCACACGATTATGCTTCTTCGGGAACAATGGCCACATGGTAGACTTAAATGCTTTCGCAGCTGAAATAAAAGTCAGAAGTCAAAGTCGGCTCTGACCTAGAGCTCACTTGTTGCAGTGACTTGTGAAGAAAGGGACCAGATGGGATGTCAGGGGCTGGATGTGGCTGGCAGGAGACAAGAAGCACCAGGCCCAGCGCGACATCGCTTGAGGCGAGACAGAGCCCAAAATCCAAACGCGAGGCTTCATGGCGAGCCCAAGTCACAGTCACAGAGCAGGGCAAGGACAGCGACCAGAAGTGTATCTCAAGACAGATCAAGGATGTGGTCATGAGCAAACTAAGGGTCAAGAACAGGCACACAAGCAGAGGGGCAGGAACCTTGAGGCACGATAACTGTGCAGGGTTCAAGGCAAGGCAGGGCGCCTGGCAAGATGCAGCAGCTGAACCACAGCTAGCAGGCAAGCCTGCGCTGGTGGGGCAGCAAGGCAAGAGTCAAGCTGCACTGCCGCCTGGATTCAGGCCGGACGTCAGGAAGAGCTTCCTCACTGACCGAGCGATTCGACAGTGGGACCAGCGGCCGAGAAAGGTGGTGGGCTCTCCCATGCTAGAGACATTCAGGAAGAACCTGGACAGCCACCTGAGTGTGATGGTGTAACCTGGCGCCCTGCAACAGCAGGGGGTTGGACCCGATGGCCTTCAGGGCCCCTTCCAAATATTGTTATCATAGAATCATAGTATAGTATTCTATGATAACAATATTTATAAAATACTATAAAGTATTCATAAAATGGGGCTTAAAACTGCTCAGCAAAAACGTTGGTGAAAAGTAGGAATACAGTCTGAAAACAGTGTAAGACATTTCCTTGTAACTTTGCTATCTCACACAGGGATCAAATTGAGGGCACCTTCCAGCTGACATAAAGTTTCTTTTGCTCCATGGATTTCAAAGGAATAATTTAATATATATCTGCCTGATGGGTCTTAATGGGACAGAAATGGGACAGGTGTGGCCTCCAGGTGTTCCTGGAGCACAATTCAATGCTATGTTGGCTAGGGCTGATAGGAGTTGCAGTCCTATAACCCAGTCGCCACCATGGTAACAGGAGTTTTCCAGGTGCCACTCGGAAGCCTTGCAAGCTGTGGGTGGACAACGGACTTTGCTTGGCAGCGTGATTCCTGTTGGACTTCCTAGTCCTTCCCTCCATGCTCTCCTGATCTCTGCTTTCTGTGTGTGTGCAGGTGAGGAGCAACGGGATCGCCCATCTTCAGAGCTGTCTGCAGGGATGTGAGTGTCATGCCGGACTCCTTGGGCCAAATTATTCATGCAATGTATTTATTTAAAGCTTGTAAGCAAGGGCTGCACTTCAAAATTGCAGCACTGGAGTGGCGTATAAAGATGAGTAAAAAGACAATCTTGGCCTTTCATCAGGCTTGCTGTCTAAAAGTTGTGACATAAAAAGAAAGAAAAAGCACACATTCAGACATTAGTTCTTAGTGACCGAATCCCATTAACATCTTTTTTTGAAAAAATAAATAGCAGGCGAGAAGCTACCCTGACTGCGACCCTTGATGTTGGAAATGTGGAGACTTTACACCCTGCCTTTAGTGCTGTTCCTGAACTGCATGAGATTCTGCACAAGGGGAGAATTTGCCATGGGTGTAATAGAGTTTTTTCTCCGTGCAAATAGGACTTGTAGGGATCACGACCACAGCTGGGCACAACATTTTAAATTTCCACCAGGGGCTGCACTGGCTATTTGCATCTTTCATGTGATCTGATTTGAACCCCACTCTTCTAACAAGAAGGTGGGGCTCGGCGGCATTTTGAAGACATCAGCAGAGCCGCTCACTGAGCAGAGCGGCTTGTCTCGCTTGGCCCAGCCGGTGCTAAGCAAGGCTATGTAGGAATGCCAGACAGCCGGACAGGATGATGGGCAGGCGCTGAGCCTGAAACTGTTCAAGCATGTGCTTATGCACATGTCATGCTGCCTTCTCTGCTAGGAAGCAATCAGGGCAGGGGGCAACCACCTGAGACGTGTGACTCAGTTCTTTCCATGGAAATGCAAGGGCTCATATTTCAGCCCTGCCTGCCAAGTTCTAAAAGAGGGATAGGCTGCCCATGTGTCTTCTTTTTTATTCTTTGAAGGCTTGTCCAGCCCACGTTCAGCTTAAAGATTAAGGCCCACGGGTCGGGAGAGCCAGCAGGGGCCTTAAAATTGCCCATCAGCAGCGCAGCTGGACAGCACTGTGAGTGGGCTCACAGGTTACCTTCCCCACTACGAGATGCAGTATTTTTCTATTTAAGTTACAGCATCCATGGGAGCACATGTAGAGTTTATGCAAGGGTTTGCCCTCTTTTTTGCTATGCATAGGTGGGCACCCAAGTTTCAGGCTTTTGTAGACTCAGTGTCCCAGAAGAAATCCCCGAGGTGGGGAAGAAAACACTTGGTTCAGAGTCCCTTTTTTGAAAAATTCAAGAATGGAGCCTGGAGCCGTGGACTGGGTCTTAAGCAGCTATGTTGGATTGGACCAGGCCTGATCTAGTACAGGATTCTGTTCACACAGTGGCCAGTCCGCCGTCCATGGGACATCCAGGAGCAGGATGTGAGGACGAAAGCAGCCTCTCACTCCTGCTCCTGAGCAGCCAGTGTGTGTAGCCAGACCGCATCTGGTGCTGCAGGCTCTCCCATAAATTAATCCTGCCGCCACCCTGGCATGACGCTTTCCTTTCTCCTAGATATTGCAGGAAGCCACCAAGCAACTGGGCATCAGTTGCTGCTTCGAGAGACTCTGGATTTCCAGGGAAACTCCTCTTTTCATGTTCTGGAGCAGAGCGCCTGGGTCCACATTGCGCAGGCTGTCAGCACGGTAATGCCCGCCAGTCTTTGCTTTTCCTCCTGCTCTGGGTCAGGTCTCAATGTGCGTGTGCTGAATGCAGCTGTAACTTCCGTGGCACTCAGTGCTTTTTTCTTACTCTCTCCACAGAGAAAGAGTATCCTGGTAGAAGCCTTGCAGAATGACATACTGTCAGGAGAATGCATGCAGGTGAGTGCACAGGGAAGGGTTGAGAACTGGGAACAGGTAATTCAGAAGGGGCCTAGACTGTGGAAGTGCATGTCAGGTGATGTGAAGCTGCACCCAAAATAAGTTGGGAATGGTATGGTGGAGAAATTTTATCCATGCCCAGGGCCTGGCTGATTGCCATCTTTTGGAGTGATTTTCCATGAATCCACATCAATTGACTTACGAAGCTGCTTTCTACTGAGTCAGAAGAAACCACTTATTGCAAACCAGTTATTCTGGGATGCAAAACCTGAGGCCAAATCAGGCACACTTTCAAGGTTCTACGAATGGCCATTCCCCTTCTCTCAAGCATTGATCGGTTTTCAACTGCCTGGCTTTTGTGCAGTTTTTCCCATTACAAGAGGCTGAAATGCCACTTCTAAGGCTTTATGTACGGCAGTAAGAGTGTTCAGATGCCATCCAATATATGTTTAGACAGAAAAATGCCCTGTGCCTGCCAGCATTCTCCAGTTAGCAGGGCCAGGCGACATTCGCCTGGCCCCACCCTCTTTCGCGTGACTAGCAGTGATCTGGTGCCTTCTAGGTGTTGGCACAGTTTTGTCATTCTGAAATGTTGAAATGTCTCTCCTAAACTGGCAGAAAGAGTTTTGGAACACAATCCTATGTATGCTTAGATGGGAAAAATGGCTGGTTGAGAATGGTGGGAGTTGTAGGCCTTGCCTATGTCTAAATGTGCATAGGAGTGTATCTTTTCACTAAAATTGCTAATATATTCAGATCGGCTCCTTTTTAAAATTTTCCATTCAGTCCCACCCACCACTGGAGTGCAGTCCCTGAATTTTCTTTACAATTGGATCCATTTCTAAGGCTGAAAGTATTTCAACAGCCTTGACGCATATAATACAAAAAAATTATATACTGTGTATAAACATGGCAATAGGGAGGCAACAGCAGTCTCAGAGGAATCCTGGTACATAGTTTTGCTTAAAAATAACTTCTATAGACAGCACATAGTTAAACTATGGGATTTGCTGAAGTGTATAAAATTATGTGGCATGTGGAGAAATACTAGAACCAGGGGTCATTCCATAAAGCTGAAGGTTGTTGTTGTTAGTCGTGAAGTTGTGTCCGACCCATCGCGACCCCATGGACAACATTCCTCCAGGCCTTTTTGTCCTCCACCATCCCCCGGAGTCCACCCAAGCTCACACCAACTGCTTCACTGACTCCATCTAGCCACCTCATTCTCTTCTGTCCCCTCCTTCTTTTGCCATCTATTGTTCCCAGCATTAGGCTCTTCTCCAGGAAGTCCTTCCTTCTCATTAGGTGGCCAAAGTATTTGAGTTTCATCTTCAGGATCTGGCCTTCTAAAGAGCAGTCAGGGTTGATCTCCTCTAGGACTGAACGGTTTGATCGCCTTGCTGTCCAAGGGACTTGCAGGAATCTCCGCAAGCACCACAATTCAAAGGCCTCAATCCTTCGGCCCTCAGCCTTCCTTATGGTCCAGCTTTCACAGCCATACATTGCAACTGGGAAAACCATAGCCTTGACTATATGCACTTTTGTTGGCAGGGTGATATCTCTGCTTTTTAGTATGCTGTCTAGATTTGCCATAGCTTTCCTCCCCAGGGGCAAGCGTCTTTTGGCTGCAGTCCCTGTCTGCGGTGATCTTGGAGCCCAGGAAAATAAAATCTGTCACTGCCTCCATTTCTTCCCCATCTATTTGCCAGGAAGTGAGAGGACCGGATGCCATGATCTTAGTTTTCTTAATGCTGAGTTTCAAGCCAACTTTTGTGCTCTGCTCCTTCACCCGCATCAAGAGGCTGTTTAGTTCCTCTTCACTTTCTGCCATGAGAGTGGTATCATCTGCATATCTGCGGTTGTTGCTATTTCTCCCAGCAATCTTAATTCCAACTGGTGATTCATCTAGCCCTGCCTTTCTCATGATGTGCTCTGCATATAAGTTAAATAGGCAGGGCGACAGTATACAGCCTTGCCGAACTCTTTTCTCAATTTTGAACCAATCAGTGGTTCAGTGCCCAGTTCTAACTGTTGCTTCTTGACCCACATATAGGTTTCTCAAGAGTCAAATAAGATGGTCTGGTACTCCCATCTCTTTAAGAACTTGCCACAATTTGTTGTGATTCATGCAATCAAAGGCTTTAGCATAGTCAATGAAGCAGAAGTAGATGTTTTTCTGGAACAACCTAGCTTTCTCCATGATCCAGCGTATGTTGGCAATTTGATCTCCAGTTCCTCTCCCTCTTTGAAATCCTGCCTGTAGTTCTCGGTCCACATACTGCTGGAGCCTAGCTTGTAGGATTTTGAGCATAACTTTGCTAGCATGTGAAATTAGTGCAATGGTGCGGTAGCTTGAACACTCTTTGGCATTGCCCTTCTTTGGTATCGGAATGCAAACTGACCTTTTCCAATCCTGTGGCCACTGTTGAGTTTTCCAAATTTGCTGGCATATTGAGTGTAGCACTTTTACTGCATTATCTTTTAGGATTTTGAATAGCTCAGCTGGAATACTGTCACCTCCACTAGTTTTGTTGTTGCTTGGACTTCCTAAGGCCCATTTGACTTCACATTCCAGGATGTCTGGCTCGAGGTCAGTGACCACCCCATTGTGGTTATCAGGGACATTAAGCTCTTTCTTGTATAGTTCTGTGTAATCTTGCCACCTCTTCTTAATCTCTTCTGCCTCTGTTAGGTCCCTGCCATTTTGGTCCTTTATCATGCCCATCTTTGCATGAAACGTTCCCTTCATATCTCCAATTTTCTTGAAGAGATCTCTGGTCCTCCCTTTCTATTGTTTTCTTCTATTTCTTTGCACTGTTCATTTAAGAAGGCATTCTTATCTCTTCTAGCTATTCTCTGGAATTCTGCATTCAATTGGGTGTATCTTTCCTTTTCTCCCTTGCCTTTTGCTTCCCTTCTTTCCTCAGCTATTTGTAAAGCTCCCTCAGACAGCCATTTTGCTTCCTTGCATTTCTTTTTCTTTGGGATGGTTTTAGTTGCTACCTCTTGTACAATGTTGTGAAACTCCGTCCCTAGTTCTTCAGGCACTCTGTCTATCAGATCTAATTCCTTAAATCTATTTGTCACCTCTACTGTATATTCATCAGGGATATGATTTAGGTCATACCTGAGTGGCCTAGTGCTTTTCCCTACTTTCTTCAACTTAAGCCTAAATTTTGCAACCAGAAGCTCATGATCTGAGCCACAGTCAGCTCCTGGTCTAGTTTTTACTGACTGTATAGAGCTTCTCCATCTTTGGCTGCAGAGCACATAGTCAATCTGATTTCTGTGTTGACCGTCTGGTGATGTCCATGTGTAGAGTCGTCTCTTGGGTTGTTGGAAAAGAGTGTTTGCTATGAGTGTTTGCTATTCTCTTGACAAAATTCTACCAGCCTGTGCCCTGCTTCATTTTGTACTCCATGGCCAAACTTGCCTGTTATTCTGGTTATCTTTTGGCTTCCTACTTTAGCATTCCAATCCCCCAGGATGGTAAGGACATCATTTTTGGGTGTTAATTCTAGAAGGTGTTGTAGGCCTTCATAGAACCGGTCAGCTTCAGCCTCTTCAGCACCAGTGGCTGGGGCATAGACTTGGACTATTGTCATGTTGAATGGTTTGCCTTGGATTCAAACTGGTATCATTCTGTCATTTTGGAGATTGTATCCCAGTACTGCTTTTCCTATTCTTTTATTGACTATGAAGGCTACTCCATTTCTTCGGAGGGATTCTTGCCCGCAGTAGTATACCTGATGGTCCTCTGAATTAAATTCACCCATTCCTGTCCATTTTAGTTCACTGTTTCCTAAGATGTCGATGTTCAGTCTTGTCATCTCTTGTTTGACCACATCCAGCTTGCCTTGATTCATGGATCTTACATTCCAGGTTCCTATGGAGTATAGATCTTTGCAGCATTGGACTCTCCTTTCACCACCAGATACATCTGCAACTGAGTGTCCTTTCAGCTTTGACCCAGTTGCTTCATTCTTTCTGGCGCTACTAGTACTAGCCCTCCGCTCTTCCCCAGTAGCATATTGGACACCTTCCGACCTGAGGGGCTCATCTTCTGGCATCATATCTGTTTGCCTTTTGGTACTGTCCATGGGGTTTTCATGGCAAAGATACTGGAGTGGGTTGCCATTTCCTTCTCCAGTGGATCGCGTTTTGTCAGAGCTCTCTGCTATGACCTGTCCATCTTGGGTGGCCCTGCAGGGTATAGCTCATAGCTTCATTGAGCTACGCAAGCCCCTTCGCCACGGCAAGGCAGTGATCCATGAAGGAGAAGCTGAAGGTAGGAGATCCCAGATAAATGCTTGTCCTTCTTCACACAATCCATGCCGTAGTGAAACTGTGAAGATTGCAGCAACAAGATGTAGCAATAGCCGCTGATCTAGATGGCTTTGAATGGTGATTGGACAATATCATGGGGAAGGCTCTCCATGGCTGCTAGTCATGATGGCTGGATGCGATCAGAGCATACGCCTCTGTGTCCTGCTTGCTGGGGAATACCAGAATGCGGGTGCTCTTGCACGCGTGTCCTGCTTGGGGGCTTCTCAGAGGCTTTCAGTTCATCACTGTGTAAGCAGAATGCTGGGCTAGAGGCGTCTTCCACCTGGCCCATCGGCCGGCACTCTTCGGAGGTGGTTAGGCTTCACTAACATCTGCTGCCGATGCTTTTTAAGATAGCACGTTGCCAAGGACAGTTCCTTCCCACCTGTGTGATCCCCTGCAACCAAGCAGAGCAAATCACAACCCTTCCCTCCTCTCTCTTTCTCTGCAGTTGTGGCACACAGAAGGCAGCGAAGCCACCGTGCTCTGGGCCTGCTCACTGGAGAAGTGTGAGTGTGCCTCTGTCTTGGCAGGGACTGGCATGATGGGAAAGTCTCCACAGGGAGGTGACCTTGGATCGTGCCAAGGCTGAGCATAGGGAAGAACGGGATCTCTTGCCTGGCTTTGGGAACATAGATGTTGGGCAGGATCTTTGGCCACGCTCCAGAGCACCTCAACAGAAACTATGTACATCGAGTGGGGGTTACTGATTCCTTCAGGGTTGGCAGGAGGTACGCACAGTCCTTTTTCTGGGTACAGTTGTATGAAGGACTTCCAGAGAAGGACAGGTCAGCTTGCTCAAGATGGTGTCCTTCAGCCTTAGATTGTGGGGAAAACCACCCACCACTGTGTGGGATGAGCTGGTCATGTATCATAGAACTGGGGAACATTGTTACCTGCTGATTACCATTATCCTCTCCCTGCCCCATGTTTGTGCACAGACTCCCGAACACACTGGGCCCTGGCCTGGATGGTCACCGTCCTAGGCACCTGCTGTATCCTGCTGGCACTGGTGCTCAGGAAGGAAGCTCTGAAAGGTACAAGGCACCCTCCCTCTCCCTACGTGGTCCCACCCTTGGCCCTGCTCTGTTCTCACCTGATCTGACCAGCATCTCCACCTCGCTCTTTCCTGTGTCACCTCAGATGCTACGATTTGTGCCTTTTCTCCATTGCACCCTCCTCCAGGTGGGCTCCCCCTGCACATTTCTCTGGCAGTCAAAGGCCTTGTGGTGAACTCTGGGGATAGCACCCTCCTAAGACCTGCTGTTATGCTGCTCCACCCTCTCTAGGTAGCCTGAGCAACCTTGCCCAACCTAGAGCCCTTCAGATGTGTTTTAATGTAATGTAATGTAATGTAATGTAATGCAATTTAATTTAATTTAATTTAATTATTTAATTTAATTAAAACATATATATGCCGTCCTTTGCAGCACCCATCAAACTCAGCATGTGGAGGGCACTGCAGGCTGGGGAAAGCTGATGCACAGGCTCCAGGTTGCAAGTACAGCCTGAACAGAACAGAGGTGTATTTTGGTTGCTAACCACTGTGTGGGGCATGCCTTGTTAGGTAACTGGATTCAATTTCCTGTGGGAGCTGCTCAGGCAGTTAGACTCCCATTTCCTAAAAATGCTCATTAAGCTGCTTGTATCTTTGCACTCAGACTTACTCCAGTTGAACCTGAGAGGTGGAGAGCTCCAGCAGGGCCCGGCAATGTCCCCGTGAATATGGAGATGGTTGTTCTGGTTCTGCCCACGAGAGTAACTCGGATCCGACAGCTTGCACCTTCACACTACACCCACATTGCTCTGCTAATTTTACAGTCTCTAGTAATTGCAGTGCTACTGAGTTGAGCAGGAAGAACGCTTATTCTGTATTAAGGCAGCTTATGGCGATTGGGATCATTCTGAAGATCTGGGGTACTGCTGAAAAGGTCTGAGGCCGATTACCTGCACATGTTCTGTTGAAAGAACCAAACCAAACCCTTAACTGAATATCAAAATAAAACCTAAAATATCAGAGAGAAATATTCCAGCCAAGCCTGCTGCCTGCCTTCCAAATTTTCTACTTGTCGACATGTTTAATATGGAAAAGCATTCAGAAGTAGTATCTTCTGCCTATAGACAGAAGTCACGTAGTTCATTCTCTCAACTCAGCACTTTACAATCACTACATGTCCACCTCACAGGGTTCCTTGTGTAGGCAGGACCTCTTTTGTTGATCTCCCCGAGGCTGAGTTGCTGTCCAAGCCTTCTTCTTCTTTTTTTTTTTTTTGCTGTAGTTGTTGCCTTTTCTATGGCTGAAGAGCCCACTAATATTCCCTCTCTCCACAGGCTGGTTGAGGATCTTGAAAGAGGATTACCACTCCAGAGGTAAAAATAACAAGCCTTCTAGCACCTTGCAGACTAATGCATTTATTATGGCATAAACTTTCACGGACTATAGTCTATTTCATCAGACACATGAGGGAAAAAATGAAAAAAGGGGAGTTAAGGGGCAATGAAATGCCAAAATTACTGTCTGTGACATTTCAATTATTACTTAAATGTAAAATAAGCATAGTAATTCTTCACAATTATAATTATATATTATCACTTATAAGGAAGCAAAAGATTTTGTCTCTGTTCAGTTCCACATGAATAGAGTCAAGCATCAATTTAGTTCTGATTCAGCTGTTTCTAGGCAGTGAAGCTCTCCCTCTGTAATTCCCCTGCTGCTCAGTAGTAACTTTTTGGCCAACAGAAGAGTGTCCAGGAGGACTAAACTGCTCTTGTACTGTTTACTGAATGGTGCTGATGTTTCTGGTCTTGATTCATTTTACTTAGAGGGACAAGATGCAAAATAGAGAGAGAAAGGAATCTGAGAGAGAGCCAAGCTTTTGTGCCTGTTCAGTATGGTACATGGTGGGAGTAAGACTGGTTGTTTGGCCTTGGACAGATTGAGCCTGGGATGAAGATAAGGCCTCCAAGTGGAACTATCAGGAAGGTACTTGGGTGGAGCAAGAATGTTCCAGGATGGAGAGGCCCATAATATCTTGGGAGCATCCAATCCAAAGCAAACACTCTCTTTCTCTCTTTCTGCAGGAATCGTTCAGGGCCGGCGTGTTCTTATTCTCTACTCTCCAGACCACGTGGACTTCGAGCATCTGGTGGGCATCCTGGCAGGAGCACTGGCTAAGCTTCAGTTCTCCGTCTCGCTGGAGCTGTGGAGCCGTGGGGAGCTGGGATCACTGGGACCCATGCAATGGCTCCACGCCCAGCGCCGTGAGGTGCTGCAGGACGGTGGAGCCATTGTGCTGCTTTTTTCCCGTGGTGCCGTCGCTGGTTGTGCAGAATGGCTGGGCTGGGAGCAGACAGACGTGCTCTGCCCCATCAAGCCTGACAGCACTTTCCTGGCCTCTCTCAACTGCGCCCTGCCAGACTTCCTGGCTGGTAAAGCCAGTGGCAAGTATACAGTCATCTGCTTTGAGGAACTCCTTTCTGCTGATGAGATCCCAGCGCTCTTTCGTACGGTGCCAGTCTATCCTCTACCATCACAACTTTTCAACTTCCTGTTAGCCCTGGCTGGGCCCCACGTGGGGCAGGAGCAGAGAAGCAGCCTGAGGAGACACGCCGTGTGGATCATCAAGACTTTGGAGCGTGCGGTGCAGGGATGCCAGCCAGAAAGGCCACCCACGCAGAACCTACCACTGCTGCCTCCCCAGCTTGGGGATGAGCAGCTACAGGAGACCAGCAGCCTTCCTTGTGCAAACACTTGAGAGGTGGAGCATGTAAGAAGCAGGCTGTGCTTTCCCCCTGTGATTTGCAAATGTTTGGCCAAGTGCCTGATATGAAGACTTCTGCACTGGCCTTTTGGGCAAAGCGTCTCAGAAAGCAGCATGGCCCGGTCCCAGATTTGGAACTGGGATGTTCTGGCATAGCTGCAGTGCTAAGTGCAGGGATTCATTTGAACCCAGTGACAAAGGGGGATTATATGGTGGATGAACAGTAACATAGGTGTGTTGGCTCATGCTCACGTGGAGCTCTGGGAGGATCCTCCCGTCAAATGACTGAGCGACAGCCACCAGTATTTGTTACGCTTAGGAGGACAATTGTAGGCACATATGCAAATCTCCCCAACCTGTGCTTGGCTGCTCCTGCTCCTGATTGAATATGTCATGTGGTTTAATCCTGCGACCAGGCTTTTGGCAATTGAGCCACCTCTAATATTCTGTGGCAAGGTGCAGTACCTGCTCTGCTGCTTCCATCTTCATCTGATTTGTTTACAACGAATGGATGCTTCTCCCTCTGGAAGAGCTTGGAAGCAGGAGCATGCCAGTTCTCAGGAGAGCAGCCAATTCTATGGGCTCCGCTAGGCTCCCAACTAGTGGTGCAAAGGTGTATTCTGAAGCACCGAAGGTAATAGTTATGGCCCACAGAGTCACGTCTCCCAGGAGAGAGGGAGAGAGCAAAGCAATGAGGCAGCTCTGGATCCACTATGGATACCATCAGTCTTAAATTAAAACGTGTAAGAAAGATAGGCTACAAGAACTATGTTATTTATGCAGCAACTTTAAAAAGAACACTATCAACAGAACTTCCACGTACAATCTGTGTAAAGCAGGGGTCTCAAACTCAACTTACCTGGGGGCCGCTAGAAGTAGAGTCTGGGTGAGGCTGGGCCACATCAAGTATTCCACCACTGCGGTGGTGGTGGGCCGCTCATCCAGAGGCCGGCCAGGGCGCCGCCGGCGCTTTGAAGGCCGCAGGGCCCCTCCTCCGTGCCCCGTCCATCCCGGCAATTGGCCCATGGGCTGCGAGTTTGAGACCCCTGGTGTAAAGCCACAAGCATATGGTAGCTTTACACAGATGACATCTTAGCCATTTGGGTCTATACAAGGGCTAGCGTGCAGAATTACTAAGCCTATTAACAGTAAAATGTACCAGTAGTGCCATAAGGAAAAAAAAATATCCTGCCTGGATGGCCTAACTAGTGGAAACCTACAGCAGTGTGATGTATGGAGGAGGGAGGACTTGAAGGGGAGAGGACATCAGGACTCAAGCCTCCACAGGCCAATTACTCCTGCAGGCTGGAATTTCTGTACCTGCTTTGGAAGGATTATGTGTCTTCAGCAGAATGCTTGTTCTTTCTGCAGCCATGTTTTTAAAAAAGAAAATGACACCCTTTCAGCGTAACAGTTGTGAAGTATTTTTATTTCCTTTCAACCTGGTTCTTGGCAAGGCACCTTGGCCTGGCCTTGGGTCAGAGGGGCCCTCGAAGACCAGTAAAGCCTCTTGCAATGGCAAGATTCTCTAGGGTAGGTGAAGCCCTGAGAGACTGTCATTTACTCTTCAAAAAGTTCACAAGTTTTCCCCACAACTTCCTCAAGCAATTCATTCTGATTCCCTCATTAATTCTGAAGTGTTGCTTAGTATTGCAATGGATTCCAATTTCCTTAAATAAAACACAGTGTGTGTATATTAAGTATACATATACAAACACACACACTTGATACATTAGAAGAGACATTTATCTGAACAGCTGCATGATTTGGCAATATTTCAACACTGCAGATTCGTTTTACCATGTATAGATATTATAGTAGTTAGAAAAGCTAACACCCATAATAGAATACTCCTTAATAAGCCAACTTTTTAAACGTCACAAAATATAGGCAATCTAGTGCAGTATTCTGTGGCTGCTGAATAGGACTAATTAGAGTATTATGATAAGCGGGATTTGAGCATTTTTCTTGGGTTGACACAGCTGCCTTGGCTCTTCACGGGTGGGGGCATTAAAGAGATGAAAAAGGAGGAAATGCTTGTAAGATTTCTCCGAAGCTCTCCTTTGGACTCAGGGCGCCAATATTTTACGAAACGATTTCTCTTCTCACAAAGCCTGTTTACAGCGCATCTGATAAAAGCGGCGGCCCCCGTCCCGGGGTGAGGGGCATGGGGGGCTCCTCTGGTCGCCGAACGACGCCTAAAGCCGGTCGCGGACACACGGCCAGGCTCGCCTGCTGCAGCGGCGCCGGAGCCCCCACGCTGCTGCAGCGGCGCAGCGCTCCACCTGCCGGCGCAGCCCGCTCCTTGCGCCCGCCCGCTCCCTCTCGCCGAGCGGCCCCGCTAAGCGCCCGAACAGGTGCGGCTCAGCGGGGCACCGGACGGAGCCCGCCGATTGGCACTTCGGCGGCGATGGGGCTGATGTCATTGCACATGGCTCCGTCTCATTGGCGGAGAGGCGGGCCCGGCCACCTGACTGCGGGCTATTGGGGAGAAAGGGGGGGGGGGGGTTCTGCAGCAGCCGCCGCAGCAATCGCCCTGTGCGCAAATCTGGGCGCGCTGCTCCTCTCGGCGGCCTGTGCCCTGCTGGCCCGTGCGGGCTCCCCAAGCCACGAGCGGGAGGGAGAAGGAAGGTAGGTGCTGAGCGCCCGCCCCGGGGAAGGGCGATCGGGGCAACAGGACCTGGGGCAGCGGCTGGACTGACTGGGCCTTCTGGGCCGGGGCGGCGGCGGCGGCGGCCGCACCCCCACCAGCACCAGAGGGGCTCGGCTTCTTCCGCGCCGCTGCACTCTCCGTTTCCTGCCCGCCAAAGGGTGCATCGCCTGCAGCAGCGGCGAAATTGATCTCTCTCACCACGCCCGCAGGCGAGCAATGGGGAAGGGTGGATCCGGCCTGGCCTTCTCTGGCGCCACCGATTTAGACAGGCATAGAGCAATATTTCCTGCCGGCATCCCATACCGGGCCATGGATACGTGCACGCATCCCCTTATGAATGACTTTTCTCGAAGAAACTCTGCTCATTTCGTTCCGAGGCGCTCCCCGTCCCAGTGCGCATCAGCCTGCGGCTCTTGTCCTGCTTGAGGCTGGTACCGCGAACCCCAAAGGGATGGATCGTGTATCCTAGCCTTCCCCAACCTGGTTGCTGGCTGGAGGATGCTGAAAATAGTAGTCCAGCATATCTCAAAGCCTCTGCAACTTGTGCTTTCTGCTAATGAGTCGACCTGCCATTCTTACCAACATAGCCATTGGTGAGGGATGATGGGAGTTGTAGGCAAAAATATTTGGTGGGCCATATGTTTCCCATGTTTGTCTGAGGCTTCCGTCTTTTCTCATTCCACGCTAAGACCTCCACCACACAGGTTTCTTGATTTCAACAGCAATGATCATCATTACCTACTTTTTAACACCTTGTCCCATGGAAGGATCTGGCCACAATATTGTGTCTATTTCATTGGTCTTAAGAAAGATATCACTGAATGATGAATTCTGGAACTGATCTACTTCATTGTTTATGAGGAAAAAGCCAAGAGGTGAAGTGATAATCAGCTTCAGATAAAGGCTGTGTGGTGTGAGGGTGGTTAGCACCTTTAGCAAAGTCTGGGTGCCTGACTGGGGCAGCTGCAGCCACGATCCCCAGGCCTCGGACCTGGGAGTGGAGCCTGCATCAAATGTGCCTGGGTCCTCCAGCAGATGGGCTCAAGGACAAGTCATGTAAGTTTGAACATGTGTTGACTTTGGGCTACCATCAGAACGGGTAGGACTTTATTTCTCTGCATTTATTTTAAAGCTTGATATAATATATCAAAGTGCTTGTTCTCCTGATAGTGGCTTTCAATTGCTACTAGTCATGCTAGCAATATACAGAGGGAGAATGCCTTGGAATTCCAGTCACTGAGGAGCAAGGTTAAGAGAATTGCTGTTGTCCTCATATCCTGCTTGTGGGCTTCCTGTGGATACCTGACTGGCCATGGTGGGAGCCAGGATCTTGTACAAGACAGGCTTTTGATTAGCAAAGGTTTCTAATATTTCTGTAACTCAATTTTGGGGTTTAAAAGCCTCCACAAAATGCATCACACTTCTATCAAACTACAGAATACATATTCCAGCCCTAGAAACATTGTTCAATATCTAAATCATTCAAACAATGTTAAAAAGAATACTGAATGCTCAAATGGTTAAAAAGAAAAATATAGTAAAGATAGCCATGGCAGCAGATTAAAATTAGATTTAACTAAATTTAAAATAAAAACTAAAATTAACATTGTTAAAATCAACCAAATGCAAACTAGAATAAATAAGTCTAAAATCTCTCTAGGGGCCAGTCTAAAGACAAGTCCATGTGTTCCTACTAGGGAAGGCATTCTAAAGATGTGGGGTTACTGCTGGGGTATTGTGTCCTTGGTACTCACCAGTTCATAGCTCTTACTGAAGAATCAGAGAGTAGGACCTTAGTGCCAGTCTTAAAGTTTGGACGAGCTCATACTATAATGAGCACGTTTGTTCATGGACCTCCTTTGCTTCCTCAGTAGGACCACCTGCTTTTCCTCTCTTTTCCAGCCTTGCTCATGGTGTGAAGATGGCTTTTCTGCCCTGGATGAAGGTCCTGCCTGCTGTCCTCCCTTTTCTCTTGCTGACGCTTTGGACCCCAAGCCCTGGTGCTTCTCAACAGGAGCCCTGTCATACCTGCCGGGACCTTGCCAGCAACTTCAATAAGGTGGGAGGCTGGAAATAGTTTTGATTTGGGACTGGACTGGGGCAGCAGTTTGTGGCCACAGTTGTATAAAGCAGGGGCTTGCAAGCACCTAGCCTGGGGCCTGTGTGCCCGGCCCACCCTGTGCTCCTGCCTTGAAGGGTTAGGGAGGAGTTGTTGGTGGTATGGGAGCAGGGGATTTGCTAAGCATGTGTTGCAAAAATCAAAGATTTGTGAGTTGTTGCCTGCAAGTTGTGAGGCGACGGGTGGCCGTGCTTCGTGTTTGGGGTGGGGGCAAGAAAATCTAGCTTCGGGTTTGCTGTGAGCCTTCTCCTGCCTTCCCAGGGTCTGGAGCGGACACAGCGCGAGAACTTCGGGGGCGGGAACACAGCCTGGGAAGAAGAGAAGCTTGCAAAATATGCAAACAGGTGACCAGAGGTCTGGGCTACGCCAGGCCATGGGGGAGATGCTGCTCCTGCAGATTGCGCTGAACCAGCGACCTTGTTGGGAGAGGGCCACCCTTCCCTTGGCATCCTGATCATTAAAGGAGCCCAGACCAATGGGCACAATTACGTGTGTGGACTGTGATGGCTAATGCAGAATTAAGCACCTTAAGTGAGACTGCTTTTGAAAAAAGAAAACTAGTAATGCTTGTTTGTTAAAAGCAAGTTTCTAGGCCTGAGGGTTATGGATGCAAACACTGAGTAATCAGATGCGTAGATCCCACTTTATATACATTGCATTGGTAATCCTTACAACGATCCTGTAAAATAGGTCATTCTCATTATCCCTGTATTGCAGAGAGGTCCTTCCCTATGGCCAGCTAATGAGCTCATGGCTGAGATTTGAACCAGGAAAGAGCCATGTTCAAGCAGATGACAGATACAACATGTCTAGGGCTGTAGGCCCAGTCTTCCTATATGCAAGATGCAACTGGATGCCAGCTGAGAGGGATGGCTTAACTGGGGGTCCTGCACTGAGCAGGGTTTGGACCTGATGGCCCTCTGGCCTCTTCCAGCTGTACTGTCTGTAATTCTGTATCCAAATCTATCTGTCTTACTCTAGCGTTGAACTGAAAAGGATGGAATCTGAAAATTTGCATCAGAAGTTGGCTGTTCGTGTGTAGATTGCCTGGCCCCTGTGTTTGTTTATTTGAATAATTTCTATACCACCCAATAGCCTAAGCTCTCTGGGCAGTTCACAAAGCACATTAAATAACAATAAAGATACATAATATGAAAACATATTAAACATCATTTAAAATTGGTTTTAAATTCTGTATTCTCAACTTTTAAGATATATCTTTTAAAAATCTGACCTGTTTAACATCTAGCAGGCTCATCAACATCATCCCCCTTCTGCTTGGCTGGACTGCTTTGGGCATGTTGAATAAACATTTTCTTTTTATTATTAGTAAAGATGATTAATGAACAAAAACACGTAAACATCTATGCTGCAGTTGACCAACCTTCTCCCAGAAAAGTCCACCTTAAAATACAGGAGGTGATTTACAATGATATCTGGCCCACTGGTTGATTTGTTTGCATACATGTCTGTCATTTCAGTTGTTAATTCAGGTTCACCCTTAGTATGCATCAGATCTCAGTATTGATTTGTTGGCAGTTATCATCAAAGCTTAGAAAACAGAGGCTGTAGCTATGGGTGAGCCTTGTGTATTGACCAGAGGGGAGGCAGGGATTAGGCCCCAGCAGCCCACTCTATTCTTAACGGTTTTCTGCCTGTCTCTTTGCCCATACAGAGTTATTTCTCAGTTTTTTTCTAGATGCTTTGTGGTAGGGACGGAGAGGATTGCACTTTGAGGCTTTCTTCTGCAGCAGCCAGCAGGGACTACAAACAGAGTAGAGTAGAGATACGTAATTGTCCCCCGATTTCTGATATTTTGGCATTGTGTGCTGTTGTTTCTGAGCCTGTGATAGCATCTTCCAAGCACAAGAGGGAGGTAGCAGCAGGCTTGGAGCAAAGTGGAGGTGTAATTTTTGTACTTGCCAAAGTACAAAAAATCTTAGGAAAAAACTCCGAGAGCTGCACAAAGACCGAGGAAAAGTGGACTGAGCTCAGTAGTCATGGCCTGGGCAGATGGAATTGAGCTGCTGCAATGCTGAACAGGGAATATTCCCCCCGGCCATATTTTATTGCAAGCACTGATGGTTGATTCCAGTATTTGGATTGTTTTTTAATGGGATTTCTGCCCTGTCTCTGTACAACCAAGTGCACTCAAGGAGATTCACAGTACTACTAAAATAATAAGTCGAGCAAAACTGACAATAGTGTATGCACAGACGAGGTCAAATTCATAAAACACACCCTGGAATGAAATTTGCTGCCCCGTCCAGCAGAAGATGGACCTCTCTAGGCTGGAGAGTCTGTGTCATGAGGGAAACGGCCCCCTCCATGGCCCACCAGCCGTGCTTCACACGGTAAGAAAGTGTGGCATGTGAAGTGCTGCGTGTTCTGTAGTTTGCCTATACCAGTCTTCCCCCAGCTGGGTGCCTTCCAGATCTTCTGAACTACAAGGGCCATAATCCTAGAGCTTTCTCACCTTTTATGTTTGAGTCTGAATTTTCTAGCAGGGTTCTTCTGTCAGCCCAAATTGCTGAAGGATTTGTGATGGGTATTGATGGGGTGACGAGTGCTGGAAAGGTGCGGCGGGGGGGTCCTTTTAAAGGGATAAAAAGGGCAGACCGTCATATTCATCACTGGGAGAAAGTAAAGTGGTGGGGGATGGTGGAGGTAGAAATCCAAAATTAAAAACAACATGCCTTGAAAGAAGTGAGACAACCTTTGAGTTCATCAAAATGCTTAATGTATTAAAGATAATAATGCACATAGGAACTTGATCTCTGTGCACCAGTCACAGGCTAACCTAATTGTTGGTTCAACCCCTTGCTCAGTGTAGGTTTCCAAGATAAACCAACCTCTCTGATGGCTGTCCAGTTGCAAATCCATGCACATTTTTCTTTTCTTTGGCTTAATATCTATTCTGTTGAAGAACTCTGATGAACTCCAGAGCTCACTCTTTTCGGTGTCTTGTGCACTTTCTCAATAAATGAAGTTTAAACTGGATGAAGATGTATTCCTACCTTTGCTTTTGGCATCTTACAAGATGTTTGTTGTAAAGAACGCTGACAAGCAATAGACCTGTTTGTTCCCAACTAGGACAGCTGCTGCTGGCAGGTTCCCCAGGGTGGCTTACCAGCTGTGTTGTTAGCTCCTGACTTTGTTGTGGGGGAAAAGGAAAACAGTAGGGACTGGCAGCTTGAGCAAAGAAAAGTTATCCTGGCAGTCTTTTCTCAAAAGACCGCAAGGCCCTGCTGGGTCCTCCTGCACGGAAGATGCTGGAGAGGTTCATGAATGATTGACTGGGCAGAAAACATGTTAGAGGGGAGGCGGAGGGTTATTTGGGTCAAGGGGAGGGACTGACATCTTGGAGGGCCTCCTTTGGCCTGTCCGGCTGCCTTGATGCTCACCCAGCCTGTTTCTCTCCCTCCAGCGAGACCCGCCTGCTGGAGGTGCTGGAGGGGGTGTGTGCCACATCCGACTTCGCCTGCCACCAGCTGTTGGAGCAGAGTGAGGAACGCGTAGAGCGTTGGTGGTTCCATGAGTGAGTGGAAAAGAGCAAGGCTGACCCCCCCAGGAGATGTTTCTGCACTGGCCTCTTTGCCGCGTGCCTCTGTTCTCCAGTTGCTGGGAACATAGCGGGGGGGGGGGTGCTGTGGCACTCGTGTCCTGCCTTTGTGGGTCACGCGGGCAGCTGGTCGCCCCCCTGGGAACAGAGTGCTGGGCATAATGGATGCTTGGCCAGAGCCAGCGGGGCTCTTGCCATCTTCTTTTGCTACGGTATACAGCCCAAACGGTCTTCCCACAACCTGGCACACTGCACATGAGTTGCACTGCATCTCCCGTTGCTGGAAGGACACTGACTGGGGATGACGGAAATTGCAGTTCGGCTCATCTGGAGGTTGCTGGATTGGGAAAGGTGGAAGCAGTGTAATAGAGGAAGAGCAGAATGACCCATTGAAATTTAGCATTCTGTGCGCCACTGTTAAGAGGCAGCAGTGTGAGGATGGGGAACAGGCTTTGATCTGCAGCCCGGTGTTTGAGCCTTTCTGAGCTTGGTTTCCTGCTCTCCTTGGGGACTCGGTCCTTGGCAGATGGCCCTGACATTCCCGTAATTCCCCATCCTGCTTCCCCTACAGCTGGCTTTGGCTCGGAATGGCTGAACAATCACCATAGGCCATCTCTCAAGCGGGAGCATTTCCTTCCTAAATTGCTTTATCCTTGGCCCCCAGTGGCAGAATTTTATATTTCTTTCTCTGTAGCCCACCTTTCTGCCAAAAAGATGGCTAACAAAAAACCTAGATGTAAAATAAAATTGGAATTTAAGCATAGCATAAAAGCAAATAAAGAGCACACACCAATGAAAGAAATAAACAGCATCACCCAATTAAAATAACGCATCAGCAACAGACCAGCTTACAGGCCAAAGGGCTGCCTGAATAACATAGAAACTGAGGGAGCCAGAAGGGGTCTCCCAGGGCATCTAGTCTGACCCCTGGCTCCAGCTGGCTCCACTTGTGACATGCCTACCATGAAAACATGTCAGCGGAAGGATGAGAGCAAGTGAGCTGGCCTGCTTGTCCGAGTAGGGAGTGCTCCTGCCAAGAAAGCTGCCTTTCGCATCCCCAGGAGCCAAGCTTGCAACAGGGGTGGTACTTGGAGCAGGGCCTCCCACAAAGATACCTAGGCAAGTTTCAGGGGAGAAGGCAACCCTTCGGGGAGCCCGGTTCCAAATGGCATCGTCCTGCATGGGTCACACCCAGCACTTGGCTTGTGCCTGGAGACACTGAGCCAGTTTGTCGCAAGGGAGTTGTGTTCCCCCTGGCTGGCCTCGTCAGCAGTCTGACCGCAGCATTTTGGACCAGCTGGAGTTTCTGAATAGTTTTCACGGGCAGCCTCCATAGAAGGTGTTGCCCAAGAAAACGCGGCACGGTGGACAGAGGAAGCAGGCAGCAGTAACCGGGGTGCTCTTTCCTCAGGCAGCAGCAGCACCCAGACTTTTTCCAGTGGCTTTGCATGGATGCGCTGAAGCTGTGCTGTCCGCCTGGCACCTATGGCCCTGATTGCCACAGTGAGTTGTTTTGCGGTCTCTCGTGTCGTCGTGGCACTGCTCAAACAGGTGCATGTGCACACAGGCCTCTCCCAGGGGCAGAAGCGCTGTTTGGCTCTGTGGGATGCTGGGAGGGACTGATTCCAAGAGAAGCCAAACAAGTCTGGTCCAGAGGTATAGCAGCAGCAGTACTGCCAGAAGGCGGATGAACACGGGGAAAATCTGGGGTGGCAAAAGTGTGCTTATCCCACACCTCAGCCTGTTACAGCTGTTTATGTGCATCAGTAAAATGGTACAGTGCTGGCCTTAAATCTACAAAAGCCTGCTGCAAAAGGGAAAGGGCTGGGAAGGATAGAAGACAAAACCATTCAGCAGGGCTCTGGAAATGCCCCCCCCCACTTCGGTGCAACTTGCTGAAGTGGCTGCTGAATGGAGATTGTCGGTGGGGGGGGGGGGTCTTCTGGAGGACTGGTGGAACGGCCCTGTTTTCCGCTCTCATTTTCTGCAGCACATCTAGCTGAACTGGCTGCTGGTGAAGACCTGTTTTTAGGGAAGACTGCATCTGTGTAGGGTTCACCTGCCATCCCAGCAACTTGGAATGCAGCCCTTGCTAATTAGTCACCCACCTCTTGAGGTGAAAGGAGTTGTTAGTGTGAAGTGATGGGCTTTGGGCCTGGAACCTTTGATTAATCCATGCTAATGACGTGTGGCAGGATCTGGGGGAAAGAAAAGACAGGAAAGGGGGATGGAACGAGTGCAGGGGCAGCTGGCAGGCTGTGCGGTGACGTGGTGGGTCAGGAGATCTGCGGGTCCCGAGCCTGAGTGCCCAGTGGGTGCAGTGCCTGTTTCCGTCTCTCCACAGCCTGCCCTGGGGGCTCCCAGAGGCCCTGCAGCGGGTACGGGCAGTGCGACGGAGACGGCATCCGTGGAGGAACGGGCCTGTGCATGTGCCAGGCAGGCTACGGGGGCCCCTTCTGCTCCGAGTGTGGAGATGGCTACTATGAAGCTGTGCGCAACGACAGCCACCTGGTATGTGCGGGTATGTAGAATGCCCCCGTTGCTGGGCTGGACTGGGGCAGGTGAATGCTTTTCTGCCCCCCCGGCTAGTGCTAGTCAGTGGGCCTCCCCCCTCCACGCCTCCCTCCTGCTTGCCACAGGCCCTCGTGGCTGCTCTGGATCTTGGGCTTGGCCCTGGCCGTGCAGGGGATCTTTCCAAAAACCTCTTCAACGTTCTGTCGCACAAAAGGCATTCCTTTCAGGAAAGGCAAAGGTTCTGGATCTGCCCACCCGCCCCGGGCTGGCCCCTGTGCTCCTGCTGATACCAGGTGACTGGGCTCGGTTGGCAGGAGTCTGGCACAGAGGAACAGGCGATAACTGCTGGAGGTTTCCATTTTTGGCAGCTGGCCTGCCTGCTCCCTTCAGTGCTCCTACAGTGCCTACTGGGATACTGATGGGAGGATTCCGGAAGAGCCGGAGGGAGTTCTTTCTTTCTTTCTTAATTAATTAATTAATTAATTAGGGGACTTCTATGCCGCCCCATTCGCCAAAGCCTCAGGGCGGCTCACAAACCATAAATAGAATACAATAAAACTATATAAATTAACAATATAAATTAAGTCACCCTGGCCAAAGAATAAAATGAATAAATAATATTAACAATTAAAATAACATTTGAATAAAAAGGTCTTCACCTGGCACCGAAAAACAAATAACGACGGCGCCAGGCAGACCTCTCTGGCGAGCGCATTCCATAGATTGGGCACCACCGCAGAGAAAGCCCTCCTCCGGGTACTCACCCTCCTAATATCCTTCACGGAGGGTTCCCGGACAAGGGCCTCTCCCGCAGATCTCAGGGGGCAGGCGGGCATATATGGACATAAGTGCTCCTTCAGGTAACCAGGACCCAAGCCATTAAGGGCTTTATAGGTCATCACCAACACCTTGAATTGGGCCCGGACTTCAATGGGAAGCCAGTGAAGCTGACGGAGGACTGGAGTCATGTGAACATAACGCCCAGTCCCCGTCAGCAGCCTGGCAGCTCTATTTTGAACCAATTGAAGTATCCGGACCTTCTTCAAGGGCAGCCTCACGTAGAGCGCGTTACAGAAGTCAAGTCGGGAAGTCACCAACGCGTGTGTCACTGTCGCCAGGCAGTCGTTCTCCAGGTAGGGGTGCAGCTGATGGATCAGCTGAAGCTGAAAGAAAACACTCCTCGCCACCGCTGTCACCTGAGCTTCCAAGGGGCAGGCCCCCTTTTAAAGGGGCAGGTACCCGACCCTCCCTCAGAGAAGCGTTAACCACTTCCAAGATTCAGATCCCAATCCCGTGCTTGGCGTTGTTTATTAACCAAGATGGACAAGGGTCCAATAGGCAAGTGGTGGGACGTACTCATCCAAGCACCTTGTCCACATCATCAGGCCGCAATAATGGAAATTCATCCATTAATTTTGGACCAGACGGCGACATTGGTATCTCCCCAGAAGCCTCTGAATCACTAGTAGAGTCTAGCTCGTGACGAATCTGAGTGATTTTCTCCCTGAAATGCGTGGCAAAGTCGTCACAGCGGGCCTTCGAGGGTGGAACCAGATCTTTCTTAGGGCCAGGACGGACCAGCCCTTGTACCACCTGAAAAAGCTCCACCGGATGGCATTTTGAGGAGGCAATGGAAACGAAGAATTTCTTTTTCACCGCCCTCACCGCCACAGCATAGGCCTGATAATGGGCTCTTAAGTGTGTTCATTCAGATTCATCCCGTGATCTCCACCTACGCTCTAGCCATCTCCCGGCCTGCTTCATCGCCCGCAATTCAGATGTATACCAAGAGGAAGAGTGGGCTCTGCATGGTGGGAGAGGACGCTTAGGAGCGATTGTGTCAACAGCCCTAGTCATCTCCCCATTCCACAGTTCGACCAGAGCCTCGACAGGAGCACCAGTCTTGTCAGCTGGAAACTTCCCCAGGGCCTTCAGGAATCCGTCTGGATCCATCTGGCTCCGGGGGCGGACCCACACAATTGGGTCCACACCCTTACAGAGGGAGAGGCCGCTCTCAAGCACAAATCTCACGAGGAAATGATCTGACCATGACAGGTGTCAGACATAAATTACTCACCCTCAGACCACCCTCTTCCTGCCCCGTCGAGAAAACCAGGTCCAGAGTGTGTCCACATTCATGGGTCGAGCCAATGACATGTTGAGATGGCCCCATGCCCGTCATGGAGGCCATGAAGTCCTGAGCCGCCCCGGTCAGACCAGTCTCGGCATGGAGATTGAAGTCCCCCAGGAAGTCCCCCAGGACTTCAATCCTGGGGGTCCTCAACACCAGGTCCGAGACGATCTCCGTCAGCTCAGGCAGGGAGACTGTTGGGCAGAAGGGTGCACGGTACACCAACAGAATCCCCAATCTGTCTCGATCGCCCAACACCAAGTAGAGGCACTCCAGCCCTGGTCTCAAAGGGACCGGAAGTCCCGTGAGGGAGATGGAGGCTCGGTAAACCAAAGCGACCCCCCCTCCCCTCCCCTCCAGGCATGGACGGTGCTGAACCAGATACCCGGGCGGGCATATTTGAGAGAGGGCGACATCCCCCCCCCGCTCCCACCCAGGTCTCCGTTATGCAAGCCAGGTCGGCCCCCTCATCCACAGTCAAGTCATGGATGAGGGAAGATTTATTGTGGACCGACCTGGCATTAAGCAGCAGCACCGACAGGCCCAAGGGGCGGCTGACAAGACTACCTGGAACCCTCCGGCTGGGGGCAGAACCAGAAGGAGGGACAGGTGTCAGCTCTCTGTCCTTCCTTCTTCTATGCAGACACATTAAGCCCCCACCGCTGTAATGACCATTGCCCGTGACCACCCCAATGGCGGAGCCCACGCGCTCCCCAGGTAGCTCAACCGTCGACATAGCCAGGAACGACTCCATAAAAACAAAATTAAAATACAATAAAAATTTAAAACAGTAAAAACTCCCCGTCTACCCCCCCCCCCCGAGTACTTGAGGATCCCTGCTGTGCCCAGTGGTGAGCTGAACACTGCTGGGCCCTGCAAGCAACTTTAAGTCCCTTGACTTGCGACCCTCCAGGTGCTTTTGCCTACAGCTTCCATCATCCCCAGTTATGATGGCTAATGGAGAGGGAAATTCAGGAGGGCCACAAGTGGCCCACCTGTGAGGTGCCATAAGGCTCAGCTGATTGTGAAGTGCTGAGTCACAATGGTAATAGGATGTAATTATCACTTATTAACATTGTTAACATGTGTTCCTTGTGAATATTTAGGGAGATGGGAAACTGCCTTAGACTGGCTCAGACTGTTGGTCTGTTTAGCCAAGTACCAATTATTCTGACTGGCAGTCATCCTCCAGGATCTTGGGCACAGAAAGGTCCTCCCCATTCCTTGCTTCCTGGTCTTAAGACTATGGTTGCCAGAGACTGAACCTGGGACCTTCTCCTTCTGCCTGCAAAGAGCTTGGTCCTCCCGCTGTAACACTTGGCCACAGGTGCAGAATTGGCATTGCCGCCCTGTGCGTTGGGCTCCCTGAGCTGGACCAAGCCTGTTGCATCAGCAGGGCCTGTGGCGCTGCGTGTGCCGTTGCCACCTCTGGTCACTCTGTCGCAGCCTGGGGATACTGCCAGGTGGAAACAGGCTGCACGCCACGGCCTTAGTGACAATCCTCACTAGCACACCAGGGTCACTCCGAAGGTAGGAGATCCCTGCGTTTCCTCTTCCTCCCTTCCTGTGTGATCTTGGGTGTGCCACTATTGAATTGATTGATATTATTAATAATAATAGTAATAGTTATTTATTTCATTTCTATACCATCCATAGCCAAAGCTCTCTGGGTGGTTTACAACAAAGTATATAAACAATAAAATACAATAGACAAAAACATTAACAGTGACTACAAATTTATTTAAAGTAACATAAAAGCACATAAAAAGGCAGTAAAAGAGACTTGGCCAGGAATAAAAGAAAGGCACCTGGCTAAACGTGGCAAGCCCTTGAAAGAGCAGGGAGGCCTTTAGAGCCTTCATGAAGGGGCTGTATTAACCTGGCGCTGAAAAGATGGCAAATTTGGCACCAGGCAGGCTGCAGCAGGGAGGCTGCTCCAAAATGGGGGGCCAGCACAGAAGAGAACCTCACCCTAATTTTAAATCACGCCCTGGCTGCTGTTCACGGTGGAGCCCTCTCAAGGCAGCATACAAGACAAAAACCGCACAGAGCAGGTAAAATAAAATCCAGGAAGCCAGTATTCAATGGACGTTCCATAAAAGCAGCAGTGTGCCAGGGAACACGATCCCCTCAGGCAGCTTGTATCACCTCTTCAGGGGCTGCTTGCTTCGCCAGGGCTTGGAAAAGAGGGGAGGGCTTTCCCTTGCTCCCCCGCCCACAAGGCTCTCTCCCCACCCAGAGTGCTACCGGGCCTGTGGGCGCTGCTCAGGCCCCGAAGACTCGAGCTGCCTGCGCTGCAAGAGGGGCTGGATGCTGCATGACCGAAGATGCATTGGTGAGCTGGCGGGCGGGCGCGGCCCACAGAAATGCACCATCGCCAAGCCGCCTTGGTGACCTGAGGTGCTGTGTCTTCTGGCTATAGGTAACTTCGGGTGTGTGGGGAAGAAGTGCCTTCAGAAGGGAAATCCCAAGAGAGGAGTGGTGTTGTATTATTACACAGTGTGGCATCATAGGAAGAAAATGCTCATGTGGGGTGAGGAGAGAGAACTGCTGTATGGGACTGTCAGTGTGACACCTCTCTCTGTCTCCTGCAGACATAGATGAGTGCGGCACAGACATGGCCCACTGCCGTGCCAACCAGTTTTGTGTCAACACAGAAGGTTCCTATGAATGCCGAGGTAAGAGCACCGAGCCTGGAAAGTGGGTGGAACAAGTGCCCCACATCTGCCCTTCGCTGTAGGGCATCAGCAGGCATGTTTGTGTTGAGGGAATGCATCTCCTTGACATGGTCTGATGACTCCAGCTGGCACTGCTGCCATCGCACAAGCGACACCTCACTGCAGAACACTTACTAGCGTCACGGCTTCCAGTTACGCTTCAAGCCTCAAAATTTGCCCTGGGAAATTTTTTCCAGGGCAAAACCCAGCAGAGGCCATGTGGGACCCCCTTCCTCCCTGAGGATGAGAGTGTGCGGCAGCAGCTAACCGTTCAGGAAACCCTTTTTCTCTGTCACTCCTGCCCAGTCACTGCCTCAGCAGCTCCACAGCATGCCTTGCCCTTAAGTCGCAGGCCTGCCTCTAAATTCTGCACCTTCCTTTCCCTTCAGACTGTGCCAAGGCCTGCATTGGCTGCATGGGTGCCGGACCGTCCCGCTGCAAGAAGTGCAACAAGGGCTACCGACGTGACGGTGTCAAGTGCCTTGGTACGTGCTGCCACGCAGCAGCTTTTCGCCATCGTGGTTCTGTTCCCAGCAGAGCAGGCCATGTTCTGTGCGGTCCATGAAGGGACAAGTCCTCTAAAGCTGCTGGACCTTTCTCGCCAGCCCCACACATATCTCAGTAGCACCGACTGCTTGCCTTTCCTTCTGCTTTAACATTGCAAGCGGCTGAATTGTTGCCAACTGTTCTTATTCTCCTTCTCCCGGGCCTCTGAGCCCCTTTTCTCTAGGGAAGCCAACAGTGGACACTGTTGCAGAGAGTACCATGGTGAGCCCGAGGATGTGCCGGATGGGGGACACTGCAGTTGGGCCTTGCTTAGGGACAGGAGAGCAGGGTCAGGCCTAGCCCACTGAAGAGGGCTCAAGAATGAGGTTTCAGAAACAGTTTTTAAGGTTCTAGAGTTACAGCAGCTCTAGGGAAAGGGTCAGCAGGCACTAAATGCAGCTAGAGAACAAATGAAGAGGCTGATTTAAAGAGGGGCTTTCAAAGTGCATTTTTGCTGGCTTTTGAATCACAGAGGATGAAAAGGATGCATTTAAACAGGAGACATGGGACAGTCTCTCTCTCTCTCAAATTAGTATTGGAAGCAAGACTCGCCCAACCATGGAAAGCCCGGGAGCCAGTACAATGGTCCATGGATGAGGCTGGGAGACAGACGTGCTCTCTCCAAATGAGGGGAGGGGAGGTGGGCCTAGGGAGGCGATTGAGGGGACTGTGGGCTGATTGCTTCTAGCCAGCTAGTGTGACTCAAGTGCCTCCATCCCTCCTAGACGTGGATGAATGTGCGGGTGAGGTAGAGGAGCCCGTGTGCACTGGTGCTAACGAGGCCTGTGAGAACACAGACGGCAGCTATCGATGCATTTGCGCCGAGGGATACGTACGCAAAGAGGGGCTCTGCGTGGAAGAGAAACCCCCAGGTAAACCTCAGCATCATCAACCATAACGCTGTTTATACTTTTCAGGAAAGACATTTTTGTTGGCATTTTTTAGTTTAAAATAACAACACAGTTGCAGGAAGATCGATACTACACCACTAACAACTTATTCTATAGCAGGGGCATATGGGTGCTGCCCTGTGGTGTCAGACCCCAGAGCGTGTCTTCTGGTTTGGAAGTTTTGTTCTCTCTGACTTTCCCCGAACGCATTTTCATATTGCCGAGATTGCCGCTGTGTTCCTTGGCAGCAGTCTGCAATAGCGTTTTTCCTTATGTGCTGAGCCTCTCATGGGTCATCTGGCTGCACAAACAATTAGCACCATCCAGGACTTCCAGACAAGTATCCAAGTGCCGCGTTTCATACAAATACAGGTGCTTAATACTAGGTGCGTGGAACATTCAGAAGCAGAATGGGAGATGTATGGAAACTGCTCATTTCCGCTACTATCACAATGGTTTTGAGTGATGCATTCCTCTCTTGACACAGATGCCCCTGAGAAAGGATTCTTTGACGACATCACGGACGACGAAGTGGCTGTGCTGCAGCAGATGTTCTTCGGTGCCATCATCTGCGCGCTGGCTACGCTCGCCGCCAAGGGAGACATGGTGTTCACGGCCATTTTCATCGGCGCTGTGGCCGCCATGGCTGGCTACTGGCTCTCAGAGCGCAGCGATCGGGTGCTTGATGGCTTCATCAAGGGCAGATAGTGCATGGTGACATGAATTTCCCCTTCGGTGTCCTGCCTCAGAGAGCCAGCTGGTGGGCAGGAGCTCCTTGGCCCCCCTCCCCTCCCCTGGCAGGGCTTCAGAATCCAGAAGAAAGAGGTGGAAAGGCCAGTCCGCATCCCAGTCTGGGCCAGTGGAAGCCTCGACCTGGCAAGCTGTGAAATGGGAGGAGAGACAGAAGAGGCTTGGCAGTTCTCCTGTGGGCTGAGAGGAGGGAGGGCTCCTGGCAGGACATTGGATGGAGAGTCTTGGCATGGCCTGAAGAGGATGCCCCGTTGACTCTGCACTGGGCCAGCTCCTGAACACGGGGGCTGCTCTCCTGTGTGTTCCTTCTCGTGAGCTTGGGTCTCCCGCATTGTATGGACCAGGAAGAGGTTGGGCGACTGCAGAAAGAAACCTGGGATTGGGTGGCCACAGGAGTACTGCCCACTGGCTCTTTGACGGGCTGTCTTCTCGGCTGGGAGCGGATCTATGCATTATGCTCAAGGAGCTGGTATTTATTTATTTATGAAGTGCACCTCTTCCTGTAAAACTCTCCCTGCATACAGTGAACCAGCACCATCAGAACAGTTTTAAGGCGTAGACCTCTCTCTGATGAGCTGGCTTACGGTGCGCCGGGGGCCTTTTACAAGGGTAGAGGCGGCAGAAGCATTCAGAATGCCTTCAGCCACACTCGCCCATTGCAGTCTGGAATGGCACAGTTCAGAATCCTGGCGCTCCCTAGATAGGCTGAACTACAGCTCCCAACATCCTCGCTGGCTGGGGAATGCTGGAAGCGGTAGTCCAACAGGAAGAGAGTGCAGCTTGGTGTGTAGAACAGCTGTGATGAAGCCCGCGTGTGTGCGTGAGCAGAAGAAGCCGGGTGGCATGCATGTGCACCCTTGCCCCTTTGCATCTGCCCACTTAGAGCACCGTCTGTCCATCCACATCTCAGGAAGATTAAAGGTCTCTGTACACATCCCACGTGGGTCTTGCTGTGTCCCTTCTGTGTGCTTCTGTTCTACGAGGCTGTTCATTTTAGGTCCAAAGCTTGGAACAAGGCCCTCTCTCTCACCTCAGCCACTCCAAGGTTTAAAGCAGCTTATGAATAAAGCAAACCTTCGCTGAAAGGCCAATTTATCTTGACAGGCAAATGGCACGGCACACTTAATATATTTTAGTCTCCGGCTCTTTTCTCCACCTTGTCTTCACCTTGTGGATTTTCTCTCATGTATCCAATCCAGGGAGGGAGACTGTTCTTCCACAGGGTTTTGGACAGCTTTGCATTCGGACAAGGGTGGAAGAAATGGCGTCTCCCCTGTGTGTTCTCATCACTTTTCAATAGCAAAGAGTCCCTCTCTGAATTCCTATTTCTCCTAAGTAAAATGTCAGTAAAAGGGGGGCAAGGAGCTTCCCTTCCAGAGTAATGGGGCATGCAAGGAAAGGAATGGATGGGGTGGGGAGAAATGAAATAGCTTTGAAACAATTGCTGTGCTGGCTGAGAAACATGGGAATCGTACTCCAACATATGAGGAAAATGCCAAGAGGTTGAAGGTGGTTGTAACTTCTCCATCCCCTTTAAAGCAGTCACTCTGCATGCTAACGCAGGTCAGGACCTGGCCCCACCTTCACACAGGGCCAAGTCAGCCAGACTGGTTTTGGCGCAGCTGCTTTTTGAAAGGCTTTCTCTCCTCAGCAGTCAGTTCACTCCTGCTGAGCTCTTCAAAGGTGTTGTCCTTGCTAAATCCATCCTATTTAACCAGACCTTGGTGTCAGTTTCCATTTGCTCTACAATTCATCTTTCATCCCTCCTCCACTCCCCCCCCCCACCCCCGCCATGGCCACTTGGCAAAGAAAGGCCTGTTGCTCTCAGTATTTGTTGGCTCCTATGGCTGCGGAAACCTTTCCCAGGATTCCCTGCTCTTTGATAGCAGAGAGTGGGCAGTCTCATTTTTTTGAAATCAGTTCCTGCCCCCACACTTGGAACATGCAAACTCTTGTTTTTGCCCTTTTGGAAGCCAGTGAATGAGCTCCTGAATTAAATACCCTTAGCCAGAGAAAACACCTCACCCAACAGTCTTGTATAACTTTATATGATCACCTCTCACACGCCACTTCATGCTGGCCACACCACAGCCTGCTGGGAGTAACACAGTTTCCATGGGTGCAGTCATTCATCTGGGCCAGGCGCTCATTTAATGCCTGAACATTCAGCAAAATGAGTAGGGCATTGATCTTGCTTGTCAGGCTGGCGTGCTTGTTCAAAACCTTTAAGGCCTCTGCAGTGGATGATTAAGAACTGGAAAGCACTATATATGTAAATGCGTACCTAGGAATAATACCTCTGTTTTCTGAAGAAGGTTGGCAGGGAGACCAACTCTCTTGCATGACGACAGCAGTGTTTTTCAAGGGGAGGCAAGCTGGCTGTAGACAGCGCCACATCCTTCCTCATCTACCCTTGGCCTGGCCTGTGAGGTGCAGTCCTTGTTGTGGCAGGGAAGCTCAGCCTTGAGCTCAGTTCAGCAGCACAAGTCGCTTCGGCCTCTACTTAAAAACACGGAACGCCTCAAATGCATAACCACAGGAATTCTTATAACAGCAACCCCAGCCCATTGGTGTTTGTGTGGTGGAGGGTGTTTCTGGGGTCGTGGCTTGTGTACATAATAGCAATATTGGTTGTATGCCAAGCACCCTAGGCCATGAGGCCTGCTTTTAAGTAGCAGCTAAGGAGCTGTAGTAATAATCATGCTGTTAAACATGTAGCAGTGGTGCCTTCTTTATGGGTTCTGCTTGCAATTGGCTTTGTCCCCCTAAGTTTAGCTTCTTCTCCTGCATGCTGCTGCCACTTGTGGGGACAGACTGCTATGTTTTCAAGGCTGACAAGACACTGGATTCTGTCTGGTGGTTGTAGAGGGGCAGCCAAAGGCCACAGCACAGGAGAAGCAGCTGTGTGACCATCAGCCCAGATAAAGATTCAAGGTGGGTTAAGTGGGACACTAAAATGGTTTCCTATACAATGACTGAGAACATGGCCCCTTTTCTCCATCCAGAAGAGCAACCCACACTTTGCAACCACAATTCTCTTACAGAGCAAACCGCTTTCTTACGGCACTACAGCCTGAATTGCCCATCTCCCCCCAACCTAGCTCTGGAGAGACTTTTCAGAGAGAACCCAGTTGTCAAAAATGTTTCCCACACCTGCAGACTCCTCTCAAGACGGCCCCTGCACTTTGCACAGCCTCTTCACCCTTCGATTTCTCAGCTCCACTGGTTAAGCCATTCCTCCCACTCCCAATAATCCAGAGGCCATGTGGTGGCCCCTGCCAGGCCACAGTTCTCAGCAGGTGCCCAACCATGGAAATGGTTGAGGCTGGCCCAGATCATGTCTATCGTAGTCTGACATTGGGAATGACATCACGACCCAGTGCTTGCGCCACAGTGATGTTTCTCAGTGTGACGACACACACCTTTAAGTTAGAGAGGTGTCGCCAGCACAGCAATAGCATAACATCTAGTTGTGCTTTAATTGGCTTGGCCTATTTACAGCTTAGGCTGCACTGAAGAGGACTTTACCTACAGAGGGGAGCACCAGAGGAGGAGTCATAACTGGGAGTCCAAGGCGGGCATGATCAAAGGTGGGCTGAAGTCAGGGCAGGTTTGGGTAATGAGGCCCAGCCTGGAAAAAAAAAGGGAGGGGGGACCTCTGGGCTAAAACAAGCCAATGGATCAAGAATGGGTGGAAAGGAATGAAACGGGCTGCCAGAGGGAGGGAGGCCATCTTTCTTGCTGGAAACACTTCGTGCCTTGGATGGTTGCATGATCAGTAGAAAACAAGTGAGTGCAGATTTTCTGGTCACAGAGATGCACTGATGGGCAAAGCTTCAACTGGTTTGAGTTCCTGCCTTTGAAACAGCTATTCAAAGCAGGGGCCCGTTATTAAAAATAGGCCCTCGCAGAAAGCTCCCTTCAAGGTCCAGCTGATTTTGTACTGAGGAAATCAGAACACTAAAATGCTTAAGAAGTTAGGATTGATCGAGTGAGGTTTTCTGGGGGTTGGGTTTTTTTTTTTTGGGAAGGTTTCATAATCTATGCCAATAGACTGATAAGAATAATGCTATTTCCAGACTAGTCCATACAGGGATTTGTTGAACTGGCCAGAGATAATGGATACTCCAAAACAGAAGACAGGTAATCAGTGTTGTGACGTGAACTGCCCATGTCATTCCCTGCTTTGTGTGCGCTGTCCGAGCAATTAATGTATGTTTACCAAGAAGTAAGCCCTCCTAAGTTCAGTGTTTTTTCCAAGAAAGTGTGCAGACTATTGCAGCTTCTGACCTTTGAAGCAGAAAGCTTATCATGGAAGGTACCGCTGAAGGGAAATACATGATTGAGACAGTTACCAGAACCTATGTTGCAAGACCTGGATGCTCTGCTATGTCCCTGCAGGGCTGACTCGCACCACCGTAGGAGCTCTTTTTATTGCATGCCTTGTCTTGGGCTTGCAGTGCTTGAATCCCCTCTCAGGGACATCCAGTTCCCTTGCATAAATATAAGCTTCAAAGAATGAGAGGGCTGGAATTCTGAGGTCATGCAATGACTTGTCGAGCTCTGCACACATTCTGTGAGCTGAAAAGCCCAGTGCTGAGTGTTACTACCAGGGAGGGCCTTTCCGTTAGGTAGAATGAGGCAGTGCTTCAGGTGGTAGATGCCAAAAGCAGCAATCAGGTGCTGGAGGAGCGAGTCATGGGCTGCCTGTTCTCTCTTGCACCCCCTAAGCTTGCCTGCTGCCTTTGGGAGTGGTGGGAGGTGCTGTCCCACTGCTAGCAGCAAAGAAATGCAACTGGGATGGGAGGGTCTGCTATTTTGTCCATTGCCTTGAACAGTGACATGCCTTGGGCCAGCCCTGCTTACCGCTAGGTACCTCTTTAGACCAACTTTTCTTCGCAGGAGCAGAGCTGCCCTTCACCAAACTCCTGCTGAGGCAGGCTGCCTCTCTCTCTGAACTGCTATCACAGGGCTTCTCAGATCCCTGTCACCCTGAGGGGCTTTCTGAGAGCCAGTGTGGTGTAGTGGTTAAGGCTGCATGACTGGGACTCAGGTGATCTGCATCCTAGTCCCAATTCAGCCACAGGGCTGGGTGACTTTGGGCCAATCACAGACTCTCAGCCCAACTACCTCACAAGGGTTGTTGTGAGGATCAAAGGCAAATTCTGTAAGCCACCTTGAGTTCCTTGGAAGGAAAAATGGCAGGATATATATTAAATGTTTCTCCCTACCCTATTTTTACTGTTTTGTTATAGTGCTTTACTAAAGCTGATCAGTATTTTTATGTAAACTGTTTTATGAAACTTATCCAAAAAGCTGTCATATGTACACACACACACCACAAATAGCTGCCAGGTAGAATCTTGCTACCCCAGATGTCTGGAACTTTGCCCAAGAACAGCTCCGAGATGTTGCCACATCTTTCCGGTGAGCTGGATCCTTATGAGTTATTTTTACCATTGTTTTATAATGGTTTTATTAAAGTATTGTTGCAAGCTGCCTTGGTAAGATTTTATCCTGAAGGATAATAAAAATAATATTTTACTGATAATAATTAGTGATGAACTTACCCCAGGTGAATGCATTATGTAATCCAGTAGTAACACATTCATCCATGTGAGCTCAGATGAGAATTCCTCTTTAATACAAAATCCCATTCTGTGATACAAGATTTGGCATGTGCACATTATCAAAGTGCATCTTGGGCACTGGAATTATGGAGAGCAGCACCCGCCACATCACACCCTTTCTGCTTGGTCGCTTCACTTCGCCTTCCTGCATGAGGAATTTATTTACTGTCCCTGATGACCGCTATGAAGATGGACCCTGCGGAGTCTTCTTCCTCTTTGCAGAGCTAAGCAGCACAGAGGAAGGAAGCAATCGGAAGATTACTTCATTGAAGCTTTCTGGAGGGGGTCCAGGTGGCAGGATGACCGAGCATTTCAGCACTGGCAGGGAGGGGAATCTCTGCTACTCTGCTGTGCATGCTTTGACACAAGAAAGGTATGAGTAACGAGTAAGCAGGAGTAAGAAAGGCGCAGAGACATCCCCAGCAAAGGGTTTATTTCTTTTTGGCACAAACAGACTGTGTGACCTTCGGCAGTACCCTGTCCAGACACTGCTCTGCCCAAGCACTATTTCCCCGCCCTGACCACAGCAGCGAGAGATAAGACCCCGGGGCAAGTAGAATTTGTGCTATGGGAAGCCCTCCTCTGGCAAAACCACATTCTTCCTTCATCTTCTGCTTTGTTTCTCCTCCAACTTGGCAACACCGGACAAGTTTTGAATTTCAAGCAATTTCTTGCAAGTTTAAAAGGACACAAGGGATGAGCCTAGAGACAAAGCCATGGACAAAGGGTCATGAAAGGTGATAGGAGTTCTTAAGAGCCATATTCTAGCACACTGAAACATAAACCAGGTGTCTATATGTGGGAGGGGGGTTCGTCAAGGTTTTTGATAAAAGAAGCCAGTTCCATGGAGTCACCTTTTCCACTCCAGTCATGTCACTCAAGCATTTATTTTCTGTTTCAGAAAATGCAAATGAGAGATTAACTTTTCCAGCATCCATGTGAATCATCCCATTTTGGACTATGGATTTTAAACTGGAAACCTTGACTGTGATTTGCAGCATCACAGAGAGACACAGCCGCACAGGCGCCTGTGAAGCAGCCTCCTTATACGGACTGAGACAAGTATTACCTGCTTCTGACAGGCACTCCCCCGACAAGGTCTCAGAGGAAGAAAGCCTTTCCCAGCCCTGGGACTTGAGATGCTTTCAGCAGGAGATGCCAATGAAGGAGCATGGGACATTCTGCATGCATACCATGCTCTCCATCACTGAGCTACCCGTCTTCCGCTTTCCCTTCTGGGTTTGCCGCCGCCGCCGCAATGGTCTTTGGCAACCTTTGCCCAGCTCCTTCCCAGCCACAACTCTGTGCACCTCTCTGCAACAAGCAAGGGCACCACCAGTCGCAAAGTGCAGGCTGAGCCTCTTGGGGTCAGAGACTTAGCAACTGTCCCACCCCACTGCCCCCTACTACTCCCCCAGGTGGGGTCCAGACACCTGCCAGTTGCTGGCACGGCAGAACTTGGCGGACTAGGTGGCTGGCTAGTGCTAAGTGCATGGCCGACAGGTGTGGAGGGCTGGGACAAGGGATTCAGTGGCAGCCACCACAGGAAAAGCCCAGCACCTTATTTGGGCTATTATGTGAGGGGCCGCTCCTGGGCCTGCTTAGGGCAGAAGAAGCCGCATGGCTTTTAAGGGGAAACGGGACTCTTCCTCCCCACTCTTTGCAACAACAAAGCGGCTCCATCGAAGTTTTCCTCTCCCGCTCCATCCCCTCAGCCAGCAGCCAGACGGCACGCTGTGGGGGCCAGTGCAGACAGCACGCTGGGTCTCACAACTCGATGGTGTCGCTCGAGAGGCTGCGGGAATCCACCTGCTTGCTGAGGGCCAGGAAACTCTTCCGGGCCTCACGCTCAGAATTTGGGGCACTGCTGGATGGGGCTGGGGGGGGCCCCGTCGGGCAGCAGCTGGGCCTGGCTGGGCAGCTCCTCTGGCGGCAGGCTCTCGGGGGACGACAGGCCGTGGCGCCAGGGGTTCCAACTGATCTTGAGGGAGGCGCGGGAGAAGGAGGTGCGGGAGAAGCTGTCGAAGGAAGAGTCCGTTGGGGGCTCGCTGCCCAGGCCCCGGCTCTGCGTGGTGAGCTCCCCCATGGAGCTGGCCCGCGCCAAGCTGTACAGGCAGTCTGGGTCGCTGCTGCGGCGCGGTCGAGCCAGCAGGGGCTGTGCTGTGTGGGAGAGGGTGGAACAGTCGCCCCGCAGCGAGGAGCAGGAGTCCTGGCGGGCCAGGCGGGATGGAAAATGGAGGCTGGAGCGCAGGAAAATGGAGTCACGCACCAAGTGCTCGCGGAAGAGGGCCTCGTCGATGCTGCGGCTCAGGTTGATGGGCGAGGGAGGCCGGAACTCCAGCTCTGCCAAGGAAAGAACCGAATCCCGCTCGAAGCAGATGCTGGTGTAGGAGCGTCCCACGGTGGCCGCGGCCGCATTGGGGCACTTGGGACTGTAGACCGGGTGCACGGGGGATGGGCTGGAGCCCTGGCTGGCGACCGCCCGCAATTCGTTGCTGTCCTTGAGGGCCCAGACGCGCCCGCTGCCGGGAGGGTTCCGGATCAGGTTCTTACTGATGTCGTTGTTGGGCACCTTCTCCAGGACGCTGCCAGTCCAGTCATAGCAGTTGTTGGGGTACTCTGGTGCCTCGGCTTTGCGGTAGCTGCAGAAGTAGCGTGTGAGCTTGGTCCAGCAGGAGTGCTCCCCGGACCCGTAGCGCTGGCAAAGGGCCTGCCATGCCAGGAAGAGCAGGGCGAAGGAGAGCAGCAGCTCCCCGATCCGGGACCAGAACTGCGTGAGCCACCAGCCCCACGTGAAAAGGTCCCGCTGGCCCAGGAGCCCTGTGAGCCACAGCACCCCATAGAACTGCAGCCCGCAGCAGGGCAGCACCACCCCGCCGCTCGCCATCAGCACCCAGGCCCCACTCCACACCCCGGGCTCTGGGGTGCCTTCGCCCGTCAGGCCCCGCCGCAGCTGCCAGTACACAAAGATGGCGGCGGGCAGGAGGCCGATGCCAGCAGTGCCGGAGAGCACGTGCAGACCCACTGGCACGGCCGGGTGCAGTGGGGGGGAGAACAGGTCGGCCATCAGGAGGGCGGCACTGTGCACGGCCCCCAGGGTGGCCCAGATGGGGAGGCTCTGCCACTTTGGGGGCAAGACCTGCAGGCGGGCCTGCTGGACAAGGCGGAGCAGGAGCACCACGAACGTGTTCAGCAGGAGCGGGAAGGGGGCCGTGTGCAGCACCCGCACGGCCCAGGTGGGCAGCCAGCCTCGGGAGCCGTAGGGGTCGGCCAGGAAGGAGGCGGCCCGCAGGACGGCGAAGAGCAGCAGCAGGGCGGAGGCGACCATGACGTACGGGAGATGCGGCACACGCAGGGCGAGGGAGCCCCCCCGCGCAGGCCAGGCTCAGCAGGCCAAGCAGCAGGAAGAGCACGCTGGAGCCGTAGACGTGCAGCGGCCAGGCAAAGCTCAGTGTCTGTGCCAGGTCCCCCCAGCGCAGCATGGTCTGGTTGGGCCGCAGCTGGCTGCAGGCGCTGCCGAGGCGCGGGCAGGCGGGGCTGGAGGCAGGCGGCCCGGCAGGCGGGGTGGGCTGCGGGCGGGTGAGCTGCGGGGCTTTCAGGGCTCTCTGAGTGGTGACCCGGATCAGGCCCCGGCGCGGAGTAGCCAGGAGGCGGTCAGATGTGGTGTAGGTCACAGTGCTGCTCTGCCTGGGGAGCCGGGTCCCAGATGCATCTGCAAAGGAGGAACAGGCTCATTGGGACAGAGAGGGCCAGAAAGACACCCCCCACCCCCCAGAAAACAGTGGCACATTTTTGCTTAGGCACAGGAAAAGACAGGCAGCAAAATCTGCATTTCCCATCTGCCTAAATATCGCTGCTGCCGATGGACCTAAAACCCACCTTCAGCTTGAGCCTGCCTATCTCACTCACGGAGCACCGTCTCCCACCTGCGCCTGCCCACCTGCTAGGAGGGTCTTCAGGGCCTCTTCTCTGGGTGCTCCTGCCTGCAGGGCTGCTGTGGGCGGCTGCCAGGGAAAATGCCTGCTCTTTTGGGAGTGCCCCTCCCCATCTGAGGAAGGGGCTTCCCAGGGAAACCCACCTATTCTTCTCACTGTATCCGTTTGGATTCCAGGCTGGCAACTCCTTCTTTAGGCCGACATTCAACCTTTAACAAGTCATTTTTCTTTTCTTCCTTATTCCACCCAATGGCCAAAGCTCTCTGGGCAGTTCACAACAATTTCTCAAAAATACAAAAAAGAAATACAATAAAAAATAGTTTGCTGCCGGTCCCTTAATGTTTCTTGTATTTTAATGTTTTTGTTGTTTAATGTTGCATTATTTAATACCTGTATGATGATAATGATGAAGTTGTTTCCTTGTTCTTGTTTGGCTTTATAATTGTAAACTGCCCTGAGGGCATTTGCCACTCGGGCGGCATACAAATTGAATAAATAAATAAAATTATGCAGAATCTACCTTTAAAAGTAACATGGGAGGAGGTGGTGGTGGCAGAATAGAGATCCCTTACTGTTGCAGATGGCATTGAAAATAGCTATCTGCTGAAAGCATGTGGTAAATGCAGCATGAAGTCCCAGAGGGGTGCGACACGGGGTGGGGCGGGGGCGTGAATAAGCATTCCGGTGGCTGGGATGGCTTCAAAGTCTTGCCAAGCTCTGTGCTCCTCCCCAAGATGACTAATAGCAGAGTATATGATACAAAAGAAGCAAAAATAGGCCACTCGGCGTAATTCATGGAGCGTACATCAAGTTGCAGAATGCAGCTTGGGGCAGAATTTGGCTCACCTTGACGCAGATTGTTTTCGAAATGCACAGACAGTGCTTGCGAAGACTCTCGGGTCCCTGCCTCCTCCTCGCCCTGCATTCTGTGTTGTGTTCCCAGGATTATTGAATTAATTAATTACAGTGGAAGCATGCTAACTGTTCTCCAATGGCACACAGCTTGGGAAACTAGTGAGTGGCATCTGCTCCCCCAGGTCTCAGGCGGAGAGAGTCTTCCTAGTCTGGCGCGTGCCTGAAATACGTTCACCAGGCATGCCAGGGGGTGAAGCCCTTCTGCACGGGACGCATCTCTTGGAGTCATCTGGGCGGGAGGGGAGGGGAGATGAATGCAGGGGCAGGACTCGGATATTTCTCTCCCTTCCAAATGCAAAGCAATGTCAGCCAAGTTAAAAGAAGAGCTTCAGCTGCCCATCTGCCGAACAGCAGGTGCCTGACCCTGAGCCTCATTCACTGCCTTCCTCCCCCTTCACTATCCCGCCACCTGGCAATACTAGGCAGGGTGACTCCAGAGGGGACTGGAGAAACAGAAAATGCTCTGCAGGCAAAATATGCTGTAATGGTAACTAATAATACTCTGGACTGAGAGCAAACTTGATTCTCTGGAACTGATCCTTTATGAAGTCAAAAATGCATTAGCCAGGCACAGAGAGAGGTATTAGCAGGTTGGGGAAACCCCGGGTATTGTTGTGGTTTTTTTAAAGGGGAAAAAACCCAAAGGGGCAGAACTGTCCCTGTCCCACCCCCCACAAATACTGAGTGCCCCCCAAATGGCTGACTGTTTGAATGGTGGTGGAATGGGGTATCCTAGAAGAGGTTTGGGTGCCTGGCTGGAACCTCAAACAGAAATACTCTGCACTGCAACATTTTGTTGCAGGTTGCAAAGCTGGGCGGGAGGGAGAGATCAGGGGAATCTTTGCAGAACAGTCAGGAGTACAGCAAGCCCAGACCACTGCTGAGAAGAGCCGGAGGCTACAGCATGGAGAACCATGGCAGCCGCAAGAGGGAACCTGCTCTTGCCAGCCATGCTTAAGAACACGAAAGCCTTTGGGCCCAGCCGCCTGGAGGGAAACGCAGAGCTTTAAACCACTGACAACCGAAGGTCTTTCACAGAGTAAAGCTGGGCATGGTGCCACCAGAGAGCGATGCTGAAAAGCAGGTGCCAGTGCAAGATTAGCAGGAAAAGAGTATCCAGGGCACCCTTTCTTGAACCAGGCCCCTACTCATGCCTTGGATGACAGCTTCCCTCATTCCTGACCAGCACATGCCCTATGGTACAACTGGAAGACATCTGGTTGATATACAGGAGAAGAAACTGCATGGCTGCAAAGGTTACAGTGTCAGGTGATGGGCAGCTGACATCCATTTCTAAAGGTGAAGAGTATGAGTGTGTATGATTTGTTAATGGTAGGGAGCCACGTTGCTGGCTGAAGAACCAGTTAAATATCTCTGGTCCAGAAAACATCTGTATCCAATACTGAAATGGGAAATCCTTGCAAAAAGAGTGTGTGTGTGTGTGTGTGTGTGTGTGTGTGTGTGTGAGAGAGAGAGAGAGAGAGAGAGAGAGAGAGGGAGGGAGGGAGGGAGGGAGGGAGGGAGAGGGAGGGAGAGCGCAAGCGAGCACACAGAATCTCAGCCTCATGTGCTCATGCTGTGAGCCCAAGGCACAGCACAGGAAGAAACGGGGGGGGGGGGTGTACTCTGGGCAAGGAAACAGTGAAAGGAGGGGAGAAGCCAAAAGCAGTGAAAGGAAGGGAAGCTGGCAGCAGAAACAAAACGGGCAAGGGAAGAGGCAAAGAGCGCTGGGTTTTTGCCTTTGACTCCTTTTCCTCCACAGCATTGCCTCAGTACCTAACAACAGAGGAAGTTTCTAGTCCAGTTTTGGTGGAGGGGTAACATAATCTGAAAATGTGTTAACTGCTTTTGCTCAAAGAACTTGTAAATAAAGATGGTCTGAGCCCCATTTCCAGAGGTGCTGGGATAGGATCTTGGCTCCCCACCACATGCCTACATTTACCACCTTGCCTTCTGGGCAGGCAGGCAACTCACTTCTCTAGCCAGCTAGCTGGAGTGATGTGAGAAGCTTCATCTGTTGAATTTCTGCCTGTCTAAGGCTTGTGTGACCCTACCAGGGAAATAAGAAGGTGGCAACTTTAGGCCCAGCCAGAACAACAACTAGAGTTTCTGACTGTTGCATAGTGCACACTTCATAGATGCAGGAATCGCCACCAAAGAGAGCAAAGTTGCTCAGGCTGACTGTGCACGGGGCAGCTTCTTCCTGCCCTCCCAGGAACATTCAACAGAGTCTTCTGGGAAAGGTTCCTCAGGGAGGTGTGGTGGGGATGCATTAGCACTAATCAGGTTGAGAGATTACCCTGATTGAAAGCGGCACTACGCTCAATATAACCAGCACCCCCTGCTGCCTATGAAACAATCCATTCAGGACAGAATTTGCTCCCTCACACGGCATCCCTGCCAGCCCATCAAAGCCCTGTGTGCGCATCTAGGGCAGAGCTTCAGAACAGGCTCCAGAGAAGGCACAGACACTTGCCTGCCTGCCTTGACATGGTGGAGCTGCCATATGTCTGCCTGGCAGACGGGGAAGGGGATGCTCCTGGCCCTGAGCTCCATGTGGTGCAGCTGGGGCCCAAGTCCAGAGCATCAGTCTGCCCAGCCCGGAGGAGTTGCTCCTCTTTCAGCCGGATGGTTGAATACCGTTTTGGAGAAGCTTTTGGGAGCCGCATCCCCGTGGTGGAATGGGCCAACAACAGTTGGGCAGGGCTGAAAGTGGAAGCAGTGGGGTTAAACGGCCAAAAATGCCAGCATATTTTCACTTACAGCATTTTCTTATGGCCTGCAGCTAAGTCGCTGGAGAGGCCTTTCAGCCTCTTAGAATGGGGAAGAAATTGTGAAAGGGCTGAGAAGCCACCAGCCAACTAGGGGGAACTTTCTGCTGATTTAAGGAGATGTGTTCTTCTGGAGAGCCCTAGAGGGCTGGACTGGGACCTTGGGTGGACTAGACTTGGCTGCTAGGCTGCAGGTCAAGCACCTTGATCTAGCCCATTTATTTTGGCCAACAGCAGCTCACCAAAGTAAAGGCCTTTCTCCAAGATCTGTTGCCAGGAGTTGCCAGAGACTAAAGACACAGCTATGGGAAGAAGGCAGCTTGCTTTTCATGAACTCTGCATGCTCCATCTCTTGATGCCTTCAATCATGTCCCCCTATGCATAGTCTTAAAAAACAAGTAACAAAGGGCCCAGTACAGAAGGTAAATGGGGGGGGGGGGACGACTCCGCCTCCCCACCACCACACGCAACCCCAGGGAGTAAGCTCAGGGCTCCCTGCATGTAGCCAAGGGATCTGAACTCATGTCTCCATTCCGTGGCTAGAACTCCTTGCAAAGGGAAGTTGAAAGTTTGAGTCTAGTACTTCAGGGCATTCAACCACTGCAATACTCAGAGCAGTGCCCAGTGCAACTCATCATTCTGCCGCTGTGACAGAACACATCATTACCTTCAGGAGAAGAATGATACCAGTATGTTCACAATTTTTGCTGCAACTGCCAGTTTAAAACCTGCTTTGAAACTAAAGTCCATCAGTAATGCAATTCCCTTCCTTCAGTAACATTTCAAATCTATTATTATGCTCTATTATTAATAGAGCACTGGCAATGTTCCTGGCACTCCCAGGAACATTGTTAAGGAAGGAGGGAGGGAGGGAGGAGTCTTTGCCCTGAGGAGCTTCCACTTAGAATTTCAACAGTGGAAGCATGTAATAGATGGAGGAGGAGAAAGGAAGGCAGAAGAGAGCCAACAGGCCAAATATGAGACAAAACTTGATCATATGATATATTCAGAATCAAACTATACATTACATTGCTCACTATTTGGAGAAGGGAACATGTTACAACTAGCTAGTTTTATTTTGAAGAAAATCCCTAAAATGAAACTTGCTCTCAATTTGCCTTCATCTACCATTATTAAATTCTAGCCAGTCTATTAAAGATATTTATCCAGATAGATAGATAGAGAGCACAGCTAATAAATCCAAAATTTCTCTCCCCCAATCCTTTTATCTTCACAACAGCCCTGTGAAGTTGGTTACATTAGGCAGAGAGAGTAACTAGCCTGAGAATGACCAGCAAGCATCATGGCTGAGTGGTGAGTTGAACATGGTCAGCCAGATCCTAGTAAGACACTCTTAAACAGCTTCAGCCCATAGACCATGAGGAAACATAGTAGAATCACCAGTCGTGACTATTTCATCTTTCCCCTCCAAAAAGGCTTTACAAAGTATAACATCCACAAAATGTTTTCAATTTTGGTTTTCAAATATCTGGAGAGAAATTTTATGATTCTGGTATTAGTTTCTACTGTATTTTATTAATTGATGTACACTGCCCAAAGACCTTCGGCTGTTGGGCCATACAGAAATAAATGTCTGTACTGGCAAGTTGAAGGGAAGGGGTGAGGCCAGGGGAAGAGGGGCAGCAACTGGGGAGCCCAGGTGGGAAGCATTTGGCCCAAGGTCCTGAAGTTCTGCACTCCTGCAGTCTATCTCTGAATTGCTGTTGCTAGGGAACGGTGATGGAAAAGGGCAACTGCCTTCAAGGCCCACTTCTGGGCTTCCCAGGGGCATCAAATTGGCCACGGCAGGGAATGAAGGCTCAGTATGGACAAGCCTTTGCCATGATCCATCAGTGTGCTCCTTCAACCCTTGAAAAATGTATTTGTGGTTCTGCTCTCACTCACCTGGATGCCTGGTTCCGGGGCCATTCCCCACCACAGAGGTGCCCTGTCCAGGAGTAGAGGCGCCGACATAAGTCGCAGGGATCCTAGGGACTACGGCGCCACGGACACGCTGGGGTTCTGCAACATCAATGGCTACCCCGAAGCCTGAAAGAGAGGAAGAGGCCTTGGGTGGAGCCAGCAGCCAGCAATCTCTCTCCATGCCATCCTAGCTTGTGCAAAATAAGCTCCCCTCCCCCCGCCCCCCCCACACCAGCTCCCATCTCAAGCAGCTGCTCTAGTTCCTCCCAGAGGCTTTGCTGACACAGGCAGAGGAAGAAGTTCCAAGAGAACCCACAGCCTGTGCAACATCACTCCAACAGGCATTCCAAGTGGAGGAGGAATGAGATGCCCCTGGTTTAGGGAAGATCCGCACTTGATTTGATTTGTGTCACTGAGAGCTGGTGTAGTGGCCTGAGTGTTGGAGTCAGGACCCAGGAGATCCAGTTCTAGCCCCTGCTCAGCCATGAATGGATGCCTTTGGGCCAGTGACTCCCTCTCAGTCTAACCTACTTCACAGGGTTGTTGTTGTGAGGATAAAATGTTGCTATGTAAACCATCCTGGGTTGCTCTCAAGAGGACAACTGGCAAGATATAAATACAGTGGAATAATAATAATGGCATTTTAAAATATTTGTATCTTTTGCTTGCGGCAAGAACATCTCAAAAAATAAGCAACGCTCAACTAATAATAAACTGGGCTATGCTATGCTATTCATAACACTCTGCAGCCAAAAAGGCAATTCCCATTACTGTTCCTCCTAGCCTCTTTGCCACCCGTGCAATTTCCAACAACTGAACCTGACTTCATCACCACACTAGCAACGTAATTATCTTAACTGCACCCCAACCAGCCACCTGGCTATTTACCCTCTGCAGAGGCAAGCTTAGGGCAGCCCCATTCCTCCTACTCCACGATGCTTGTTGTTAGTCTCGAAGTCATGTCAGACCCATCGCGACCCCATGGACAACATTCCTCCAGGCCTTCCTGTCCTCCACCATCCCCCAGAGTCCACTTAAGCTCACATTGACTGCTTCAGTAACTCCATCTAGCCACCTCATTCTCTGTCGTCCCTATGCACATACAACATTCCCAGTCAACACAATCCAAGCATCTTTCCGCCCCTGTGGGGACATATTAAAACGGGGAGTGACAACTGGAAGAAACAAGTTGGACCTGCAGCCAAGCAAGAGCTCCAGTCAGCCTTGCACTCCCAGGATACTCCATTCCATTTGATTTTCCTCATCTCAGATTTTCTTTTCCAGCCAACATCAACATTTTGCAGCTACTGAATATGTCCAGTATTTGTTTGGCTGGTTTGAGGGAGGACAGGTTGCCTGCTTAAATTTAATATAAAATAATGTACTGAAACCTTGGGGTTCCCCTGAGCATGCTTATATCCTGATCTTGCTCCTCAAACAGCCCCATTTTGGCTCCGTTTCTAGCATGCACTGCCTGAGCTCGCTATTAGAGGAGTGATAGGTGACTGCTGGTTCTCCCATGGTTTTGCATCAACAAACAGTAAACAAAAAGTATGGAACATTAAAGCAGCACCGATTTGCATTGCAGGGGCTGGAATGTTGTGTCTTCGCCTGCTTAATGCATAATAGCGTTTTGCAGCCTGATTGAAGCGTTTTAGTTTAGGCAGGCCTAAACTGACCTGCAGATATACTTTATATGATGTGCATGATTTGTGGCAGATTTCTACCTTCATTCTCTTCCCTTCACTCCGCTATGCCCCAAGTCCCCCTGCAGCCATTTCCTGTTCTGTTCGCCCAGTCTCCTCATGATCTTGCCTCCATTTCCTAACGGCAGCCCTCTTCTCCGCCCCCAATTCGGCCTGGTTAGCTTCAGCCCTGTACATCCTTTCACACGTGCTGCCCCTGTCGGTCTCCCATGCACAGAGCAAGAGGGACGGGCGAGGGAGCGGTGGCAGCGGAGCGGGGCCGGGCAATGCAATCAGGAACTGAGGCAGAGGTACTCAGGCGAATTCAGCCCTTCCGCGATCCCTGGCCTGCCAGGCCCGCTTCCTCTGGCCTTGCCCTCCTTCCTCGACCATGAGTCCTTTCGTGGTTTCCCAGAATCTGAGCAATTCCCCAGAGATTGAAGTATCTTTTCCTAAGGCTTATTTACTAAGCAGTAACGCTTTAAATTACTGCACGAATTTTCCCCCCTTTCTTTTTCTACTTTGGGCTGGAATGTAGCCCTGAAAGCTTTTCTGAAATGGAATTTGGTGCTCGGTCTGAAAGATGTTCTGCACTCTTTCCTTAACCATCCAAACCCGAAACCTACCTGGGGTGGCAGCGTTGCCTTGGACGGGCGTCCTTCCAGCCCCAGCCACATCCCGCGGTGCCGGCTGCTGCGTCGCCTCAACCGCGAGGCTCCAGCGGGTGCTTCTTTCACGGGCAACTGTCCTGCCCCCTGTTGGCGAAAGGCTGGAATGGCTTGGGAGGAGTTCCTCCGAGGGTGGTTGATGGGAACTACCTGGGCTGGGACTAAGCCGTGGGCCTTTCCCATTTGGCCGGCTCGCTGCGGTGGTGACCTGTGCGGGCTGGGAGGTGGAAGCCACAGGCACAGCGCCCCTCCATGGCCCAAGTGGAGTCTGGGTATGTCCAGCAGCCTGGGTGGGTCTGAAAGGAGAGGGAGAGGGTCCCTCTTGGTCCTGAGGGCCACCGTAAATCTGAGTGCTCCTGTATGAGGCTAAATATTTGACGGTGGTCGCATTCCTGCCCAGCAGCTCCTGCTCAGGTCCCCTGATCACCAGCTGCCCCGTGGAACTCTGGCCCCTAACAGCCGGGCCCTCAGTTGCCATCCACTGGACGGGGGACCTCTCAGCAGGCAGTGTCCCCAAGGGGATGGTGGACACTGTGGGCTTGGGACTTCGTGTGGTCGCCATGAGGACATCTTTGGGTACTGCTTGGTGGTGATTCCATGTGGCTTCCTCCTGGGAGGCAGGTAAGTCTGAGGCCTGCTGTGTGCTGGCTGGTGCAGGCAGAGAAGCTGTCGTGATGGGAACGATTCTTGTAGGCTCAGTGGCCGGCCTAGGAAGAGAAAGCGGTGGCTTTCCCTGCTCTGGCCTTGGCTCCAAAGTGACGAGGCTCATGTTCTCAGGCCCTGCCTGCACCCTGGCGAGGCCTACTGTGGGCAGCCCGAAGTCACTCACCATGGAGGAATGTGGGGCTGAGTTTTGTCCAGAAGCATCAGTAGGCAAGCCTGCCTGCCCAGTAGTTGCAGGAAGGACAAAGGGCACGGTGGGAGCCAAAGTCCCAGGATGGAGAGTGGGTCTGGCCCCTGTCCAGTTCTCATCACTTGGTCCTCCATCACCACTGGAGATGGGCTCTGAATAGGATGCTGAGGGAGCGCTTAGGAGAGGCTCCTGAGAAGGGTCGTTCGATCGAGGCAGCTCTGGGGTGGGAGCGGAGGGACGATCCCAGGCAGGGCTGTCCTGGCTGGGAAGGTGGAAAGCCAGGTGCAGCGCTGGTAGGAGCAGGCTCCAGGCAAGGAACAAGCCCACAGCAGCCATCTCTGATGCAAGGCAGCGCAGCGCAGCATCCAGCGTTGTTAGAGGCTCTCGTGCTTCACCCTGTGGGACAGGAACATTGTGAGGGTGGAGTCGGGTGGGGAAGAGGTCTGTCTGAGGGCAGTCGCAGGCGAGGAGCAGAGGTGGGGCTTTGCAAGGGGGACTGAGCCGAAGGAAGCAGCTGGCGGCATGGGCGCCTGGTCAGGGCAGAGCAGGGTTAAGCTGGGAGCTGGCTGTGAGCAAAACACTGGAGTGACAAAAGAGAGAGAAGTGGCCAAGATTGGAACGCAGAGAGCTGCAGGCAAGCAGAAGCACATGTTTGTGCATGGCTGCACTCGTGCCAAGACACATGGAGGCAAACATGAAGATGGAGTCACACGCTGTTCGTCCCCCCAAGGCTGCGCAGATGCTTCTCTCCTGCCCCAGGACAGCAGCTTCATATCCCCTCCTCACCCTGTAAGGGGCAGCCTTACAGGGAACCACATGCAGGGCCGCAGCTGCCCCGAATGCTGACCCGTGCCGTGGTGGTTGCACCAGCCGCAAGCGAGCCCAGGTGCACAGCAGTGCAGCGTTCCCTGAGGCATTCTTCTGGCCTGATGGGGCAGCGCCTTGCATTGGACCGGCAGCTGCTCTCTCGGACTAGCATAGACCTTACTGAGGAAGTGGAGTTATGCAAGAGGCTGCCTGCTCTGTATGAGCCCAGAGTTAGGGTTAGGCAGCACCTCAGAGGTCTTTCCTGTGCCTGCAGAGACAGGAGATACTAGGAACTGAATCTGAGACCTGCCACAACTGGAAGACAGCAAGCTAAGCACATACCTCAGAGGATGCAGGTGATTGCTTGGCCCCTCCAAAATGGCTTGCCCCCCATTTCCCATATGGTCCTATGGCTGGTACCGAAGCCCCGCAGTGCACTGATTCCCTGCAGCACATGCAAGTTCACCTTGGGCATCTGGCTCTCTTTCCAAGGCAGCTCAACAATGGGGATGCTCAGACCAAGCTAGCAGAGTCCGGTACCAGTGATTGGAGCCTAGAATCCTGCAGCACTTTAACCCTTCCCAAGCCACACAGTAAAGAGGCAGGAGGATGTGGAATTCCCCACGTTTCAGAAGACCCCACTGATACCCCTTGTTTCCGCCGTTCGATAAAGGTTACTCCATACAAGAGGCATTCAATATTTCAGAATGAGTTTTCATCTGTCTACAGAATCCTTTCCATAAGCTAGCACAGCCTATTTTCATGTAACAGGGTTAGCATGGCTCACTCAGTGGGACAGAGAGTGAAATGTGAACCTGGGTACAAATTTCCATACAGTCAAGATCTTTGAGTATTGGCCCTGAGCCAAATTCCTGTTTTCCAGCCCCAGTTCCCCTATCTGCAAAATGGGAATAATGATTGTCAACTTGAGAGCTGGTGTGGTGTAGTGGTCAGAGCTTTGAACTGGAAGAACCTGGGTTCTAGCCCCCACTCAGCAATGAAGCTCACTGATTTTGAGCTAGGCATTGACTCAGTCTAGCCTGCCTCATAGAGTTGTAGGGATAAAAAGAGGAGGAGGGCCATGTAAACCACCTTGGGTTCCTTGCAAAAGGAAAAAAGGCATGATATAAATATAGTAAACGAAATAAATAAAACCTGCTTGATTTGATGTAAGAGAAGTGTTATGTCAGTGGTGTGTAATCACAAAAACACAAGATTGCACAAATGGCGTCTCCTGACAGCTTCACCCATCTTGCCTGGAACATTTAGCAAGGACCTGGTCTCTCTTTAATGCAATCCTTCCCTCCTCGTTGTGTCCCCCAAGAGCCAGAATACTTCACAAGGAATACAGAGCTCTGGTAAAGTGAAACATACTCTCCCTTCCACATATACCTGCACCCCCTCCCTGCCTGGAGTCTTCTTGTCAGCTTCTGACCTGTCCAAATGCTGTCATTCCCTAGACGTGATGCCCTCCCCAGCCAGCCTGGTCATTGGCCTGCTGGCAGGGGAATGATGGTAGTTGTTGTCCAAGACTTGGCTGGGGAAGCCTGGTAAAGCAAATGGCAAAGGAGGGAGGGCCAGCTGCGTGGCAGGAGGCAATGACGACGAGTGGTGAGAGCAAGATGTGTCCCGGGGTGAAGCAGTGAGCGGGCAACTGCGGGCGCCCCTGCTGCGCGGCCAAGGCGGGGAGCCGGCGGGTGCCTCCGCGTCCAAGGTCACGAATGCGCGCGGCGTCCGGGCGCCCCAGCGCTCGCAACGCTCCTCGCCTCGCAGGCAGCCCGCGTCTCCCCGGAGACAGCGCCAGCGAGGACGCCCGCAGGCTCCTTTCCGCGGCAGGGACCGGAGCCGCCGCATCCTCCTGTCGGAGCGGGCCCGCACAGTCGGAGGGTGCGCAGGCTGCTTACCTCGGCTGCTGTCGTGCAGAGGCACCCTCCCTCCGGCCATCCCCGGGAAGGGGCCCTCTGTCCTGCGCGTTCTGAAGCGACCCGTTTCTGCTCTGCGCTGGGCGACCCGTAACTAGCTCCGGCAGCGCTCTCTCTCCTCCTCCGCCGCCGCCTCCGCCTCCGCCTCCGGAGAAACTGCGCTGCGAGCAGCGGCAGCCTGCGGTAAATCAAGCCCCCGCTACTTCCACGGACGAGTGTTGATCTGCTTGACGTCTTCAAGCCCCCAGCAGCGAGTCAGGCTGGCGGAGGAGAGGAGGGCGCACGGGAGGGAGCGGAGGAGGAGGACGAGCACCCGGCGTCGGGATTCGCACTCTGTGCAGGGGCCCGCACGCCGCGAGCGGGGCGAGACGGGCGCTCGGCGGCCGCCCGATCGGCTCTCCCGCCGCCTTCCCGCCCGCTGGCCGGGCCGGGGCGCTGCGGAGGGCCCGGCAGGGGGCAAGGTGCAACTGCCGCGCGTCACGGGCGGCGGCGCGGCGGGCACGCGGGCGGCGGGGGCCTCCGCGCGCGCGGCGGAGCGAGCGCCCCTGAGCGAGCGAGGAGCGAGCGCGCGAGGCTCACCGCGCCGAGCTGCAGCTGCAGGCCCGCCTCTTTATCCCTGTCCCTCTCCGTGTCCTTCCCCACCTCTGCCCGCCCTCCTCGGGCCCGGCCGGCGAGAGAGTGCGGGGCGGGGAAGGCGCCGGAGCGGGCACGTGGCTGGCCCTGACCCCCACCCTGCTCGGAGCGGCGGCGCGGGCGCGGAGCAAGTGCGCGCGGCGGCGGCACTGGGGGAGGGGTGCAGGTTCTAAAATGAGAGCTCGGGACCGCCTGCTTCTTCTTAACAGCTGAGCCAGTGTGCACTCTGCTCATGCCCAGAGGCAATGCACTCACTTTTATCATTCTCTCTCTCTAGTCTTGGGACTCTTGGGTGGGCATGTCGTGAGCGGAGCCGGCTGGTGCCAGAAGTCAGACTAGATGGCCTGGGAGGACACTTCTGACTCGCTCTGTTTCTATGTTCTAATATGAAGACGTGTGACTTCACCATCGGTTTCCCCCCTCCCCCCAGCCTTACCCTGTTCTCCCACAACCTTATTTTAATAACATCTTGCCTAATTAAAAGATCTGGAGATCTCAGAAGCTTGCATATACGTTGTGCTCTTTGGGTTGGAATTCCACCAGTATGCATTTTGGAATTTTAGTCACTGACAACATGGCTACTCTCTTGGCTTTTACTACTGTTTTGCTGAGAGTGATTGGGAAGCCCGGCTTAAAGGAAACCCTGGAAAATTTGCCAGCCTGCCAGGAGAGATTGGAAGGCCCGTGTGCCAGTGACAACTGTGGGGAAGGAGGCATTTTTCATTTCAAATCAGTTATGGATGCTTGTGAAGCTGCTGGGGAAGGAAACTGGCAGTGCACTCAGAGCGTGAGTCAGCAGAAATCCAGGCTTGGTGATGTGAGCAGGAGGGCTCCCAAATGCTCCGTGCCGGCTTGCTACTTCTTGATGTACCATGCATTACTTTCTAAGACTGCCTTCTCCAGCCTTATGACCGGTGGGGGACTTCAACTCCCAACTGCCAGCACAGGCAATGGTCAGGAATGGTGGGAATTGTAGTCCAAAACATCTGGAGGACACCAAGCTGGGGAAGGCTGCACGAAGGAGACCATTAAATTCAGAGTCTACCATTACCTAAGTATACTCTTGTTCATATATTGTGAATAAAATGGAGAACTAGGGGTGTGGGATTCTTAGCTGAGTCTCCCCAAGAAGACTCACAGCAATGGCCTTTCCTGCAGAAGTTCTGGCTACAGGAGGGGAAAGCATTTTGCACATGCACAGAAGCAGCTATTACTATGTACTTAAAATCAGCTTGCTAGAGCAAATCAAGGTTGCATCTGGTCCATCTAGTATCTAACAGCAGCCAGAAATTCATACTACATTCCTTCCCCTTGGATTCATGAAGTACACTGCTTCTGAACATGGAGGCTCTATATAGCTGCCATATCTAATAGCCAATGGGTTCTATTCGGTGAAAGCTATTTGTAGAGTAGACCCATACAAATGGATGAGGCTTAAATTAGATGAAGATTGAATACAATCCATTGACAGATCCACATTCCATGAATAATCTCCTTTTATAACCCATCTGAATTATTGGATTACACCACAGCTGATGGCAGAGTCAATCCTTTAAATGCATTATTTGTTGTGTGAAGACACTCATGGCTTGAGCCCTGCCAGTTAAGAATAATGAGTTCGATCCTGGATCTGGGCAGATGGGCTGTATTCACTGAAGGTGCCTCCTCCTCCTCCATGGCTCACCGTGTTCAATGGCCACTGGAAGGTTCCAGGGCTGCCTATGCTCTTCAGAAGCATCCTGCTTCTGCTTGATGGCCACCCATCCATTCCTTTCTGTTCACTAGAACCCACTGCCAAGCCGGGGAGCCTCATTGCAGCTACTTCTGCCTCCCTTTGCCGTGCTTCTTTCCCTGGAGGAAACCTGTTCTCTCTGCCTCTTTTTTTTCTTAATCCAGAGAATCTAGATTTGAGCCTGGTGCTCTTTGTATGCAAAGACAGTCATCCCACTATGGCCCTTTCCTGATCTCATCACCTTTGGCCTGTTCATCCCAAGAGCCTGTGAGCCATTAGCTGAGTGATCTTTATAGCATCTAAGGCCTGCCTTACTGAAGGGGCTTGGTTAGATATTCATCCCAGTTCTGCTGTTGCTGGTCAGACCCAACACCAGCACATCTCTTCCCAACCATCAGTGGCCAACTGCACGAGCTGCTCTCAGCTCACAAAGAGAGCAAGATGAAAGAGACTGCCCTCTAATGCAGCCTTCTGCAAATCAGTGTCCTCCAGTTCTGTTCGGATTACAGGTCCCAGTATCCCCAGCCAGTGGCCAGTTGTAATCCAGAAACACCTGGAGGGCACTGAGTTGCAGAAGGCTGTCCTATTTTTCACCCCCAACTCCTGGTAATTACAGCATTTGTGGGAGTTGCATTTAGCTGTCAAATTGGTCTATTCCCCATTTTAAAGCCACATAAATTTGAGGCTGAGGCTGATGGCATGTGGGTTTATGAATCCCTCGTGTTGAGTAAGAAGGAGGACTTTATTTTGGCAATCCGGAACCCAGTGCTTTTTTTTTTTTTTTTAACAACCTCAAGATCTGGTTTTTAGAATTCTCACCACACCATACATAATGCTATAAACCCCGCTCCTTTTCTGCTTTGAACCGAACTACATGGGAAATGCATTACTTCAGTGGCATGGTTTCTTCTCCATGGAAACAACAGCCCCAGGTACAGGCAGAAGCAATCAGATTTGGGCCTGCCTGGGGAAGGGAGAAGTTTAACTCTCGTCTCCTCCACACACTGTGATTCTGATGAAATTCCCCCTCCAAAGCTGTTCTTTGACTCAGGAGGGAAGATGCCATCGGCACTAGTACAAATAGCAGCTTCCGAACTGCACTTTTTGCTAGGACTCAGCAGCGGGAGAAAGAGTTAAACTTCCCAGATTGCCTCCAGGATCTGCTTTCCATTGACAGAAGGTCTCTGCACATGGAATGTCCCTCTTCCCAAATTTCAGGGATTCTCCCCTACCCCATTCTGCCGGGTCCCATGACCTGCTCTGTACCATTTTCAGAAAGCTGAAGGGGCTGCAGGGGGTGGTGGGCAGTGGGCAGGAAAGTCCACTTCCATCTGCCCTATTATATGCACCTAAACCTGAATCCAGCCCACTTCCTTTCCCCTATCAGTTCCCAGCCCTTTGAGGCTGCTAATTATACCTCAGGGGGAAAGACCCACACTACTTTAAGAAACACATTAAATGTCATGCACAATTACATAATGCCTTTTTCTAGAATGTAAAAGACAATCACTAATGCTTTAGTCAGTCCATGATGGGGAGCTACTTTGAAAAGATGATGCTGTTTGTTGCCCTTTAATGCACATTTCCAGCTCACAGATCTGGTATCATGTTTAAGATCAGGCAACCAGAACTATACAAGAAACTTGCATTTACTTGTGACAATTTTTATCTTCCCCTTCTCCAAGTAGTTGATGATTCTCTCCTATTTATCTGCACAACACCCCTGCAAAGTAAGTGTGGATGTGATTGGCACACAGTCACCCAGTGAATTTCATGGCTCGATGGGGCTCTGAACCTGGAGCACAGACCTTTGCTTTATCACTATTAATTCATTAGTATTATTACTTTTATTTCTCTATTCCCCCATAGCTAAATTCTCTGGGTGGGGTACTACAGTTGAGTGCTTATTTATATGAAGTGTCCCAGAAACAATGCTCTTGCACACATCCGTTTGGACTAGTGGAGGCAATTATAACCATCCCCTCTGTCTGGCCAGAGCTGGGGGGACGAGGGGAGCCCTGTGCAGAGCTGCAGTGTCGGACAAGCCGGGGGTGCGTCTGGGACACGACGACAGCTCGAATGTGCTTGTACGAGTTCAGGCCAGCCTTTGGCAGTCTGGTGCCCTTCAGATGTGTTGCACTACAATCCCCATTACTCCCAACAAGCAGTAGAGATCATGGGAGTTGTAGTCCAACATGTCTGGAGGGCACCTGGCTGGGGAAAGCTGGTTTAGGTGACGGAAACGCACAAATTAATTCTTCACCTCACCCTTCTCTGAAGGAACTCTAGCAGTGTACGTGGTTCTCTCCATGCCCTGTTTTATCCTCACAACAGCCCTCTGCAGTAGGTCCGAGAGAATGACTGGATCAAAGTCATCCTGTAAACATCTTAGTTGAATGGGAATTTGTGGTGGGATGAAAAGAAGGAAAAGAAAACACAACTCAAACAGGTAAATCAGTCTGTTTATTTATCTCATGAGTTTTTATTCTGAAATGCAGAGGGGGATAAGAAAGGGGTATAGCAAGACACCCTTCTTTTAAACATAAGAACATAAGAAAACCCATGTTAGATCAGGTCCAAGATCCTTCTGGTCCAGCGCTTGGTTTCTGAGGCAAACCAGCTGCCCAGAGGTTATTATAGACCTCCTCCTGTTTGAGCTCCACCGCAACTGGCGTATGCAGGTCAGCTACCTCTGATAATGGAGGCAGCACATACCCAGCAAGGCTAGTAGCCATTGGTATCTTCCCCCTTGTAAGGCTATCCAAACTGGTGGTCATGACTGCTTCCTGTGGCAGTGAATGCCACCCTTTAGCTACTGTATGTGCCGTGTGAAGAAGACCCTCCTTTTGCCTGTTCT